GACTTGGAAGAGTTTGTGTGCCAGCGGGGTTGACTATCCTTGTTGTACATGACCAGGTTGCAGTCTTCCTGCATGCACAGGCGGACAGTGTCTGATCCAGAAGTGTCTGAGGCCCACATAGGCTTCCAGCCATAGATGATAAAGTTACCATCGTCCTGCAGCCAGAAAAAGAGACTGTTAATGTGACTGGTACCAGAATGTGCATTTCCAAACACTTACTGTCTTTCTTTTTGCATTTACTTTTAAACAGACTAGTACACATGTATCATGCACCGTGATTAGTGTTGCAAGACCAGAAATATTCAAAATGACTCACCTGGAAAATAGCCTTCCACTCCTTATTGTTGGACAGCAGGTAGTCTCCCCTGCGGAGCTCATCATTTTTGGACAAGAAGTTCCTGCTCATGATTCTGCAACAGAAAGAAAACCCTTTTTGCATTATACACAGTATGCAGCTTTTATAAACCTAATAACTGCAATGATTCCTTCATGCATTAATCTTTCAGGATGAATGATAATGTATGAATCCACCCATCAGTATAAATGCATAAAATACTTACAGGCCTTGAATGTCCCACCCCAATCAGACTGCACGCAGAAGAAAATGAGTGAAGTGTAAGAAGGGAAATTCTTCTTTTATATACCCTAATCTGGGGGTGGAGAGAGAATGGGGACAGAGAGGGAAGTGTCATGCTCCTATTTCACTGAATCAAATCTAAACAAGTTGATTGTCCTGCAGAAATTAAAGTGCATGGGACATCACTAGCAAACAAAAGACCTTGAAATAGTAGTAAAAAGGCACATTAACACCAATGAATGTCAATGAAAGACAATTTATATTTAAATATAAGGAAATATCAAAAATGTTCACACATGTAATACAATAACCAAATAAAACTTGTAAGAACAATATTAAAATTAAATATTAGAAAACACTAAATCACACTAAGAGCAACCAAAAGCCACTGAAAACATACACATCTAATGTCTAATGAGAATTGAACTTCCTGTTAGTGGATTAGACTCTTTTGACTCCTTCCAACTATGCATTCCCCAAAAGCGTCACACCACATCACATCGTTTGGGCTTTTATGACAAGAGCGTTATCTTTGAAGGGTGACATATTTCAGAGAGGGACTGTCATGAATGGACGTGAAAGAGAGACACATATATAAAATATTTGTACATATTAATTAGTGATGAAGACCTTCTAGGTTATGCTATGTCTAATATGCACAAGAAAATTCTCCAGAACTTTAACCCATCGGTGGTAATCAGTGAACATGTTTGAGCTGGCCATGAAGCTGGTATAATTATGAGGAAGGATATAACGTGACATGAAGTATTAAAGTCAGTTTACTAAACCAATTGAAATCTGAAAAGGCAATGCGATTTAATTCCCCTGACCTTTCCATTTTATGGGAGCTTTCTTTATTGCAAAGAAAAAGGTCTTGTTGATTCCCTGCACATCCCACGCTCTGTGCCTTGTGTAAAGAATGAATTATGTACAGTGTCAAGTTCCTATCAAGACTGCAGAATAATTTAATTATATGTCCAGAAACCAAGAAAGCAACCACTTGGCTAAAATAAAGACAACTTGCTTTGCTATGAAAAAGTAAGAGTTACAAGCAGTTTAAGTACAATTTAAGATACTCGTGTTGTTTATTATATATTACTTGAGAATTTCCATTTTCTGCTACTTTATACTCCTCTACTTTAGTTACTACTTTCAGATTCAGAATATTAATGCTAAATATAATCAACAAATAAATAATGATAAGGAAAATGTCAAGCTACCATGCAGTGTAAAATAAGCTCCACCTTTACCAGCTGCAACGTTAAAGTAATGTACATATTGATGCAACTATAATTATAATCTAATAACTTATAGTAATTGACCATCTGGTGCAGTCAGAACAACCTGGAGCTAAATGCTCTGAAAACAATGGAGATGGTTGTGGACTTCAGAAAGAACCCAACCCCACCCGCCCCCGTCATCCTGTGTCACTCCTTAGTTGACTCTGTGGAGTCCTTTCTTCTGAACATCAGCTCCCTCTCTAAGAAAGTCCAGCAGAGGATGTACTTCCTGCGGCAGCTGAGGAAGTTCAACCTGCCAAAGACGATGATGGTGCACTTCTACACCACCATCATCGAGTCCATCCTCACCTCATCCATCACCATCTGATACGCTGCTGCCACTGCCAAGGACAAGGGCAGACTGCAGCGTATCATTCAATCTGCTGAGAAGGTGATCGGCTGCAATCTGCCAGCCCTCCGGGACCCTGAGGCATGCAGGCAAGATTGTGGCTGACCCCTTCCACCCCGGACACAAACTCTTTGTAACACTTCCCTCTGGCAGGAGGTTGCGGTCCATCAGGACCAAAACCTCTCGCCACAAAAACTGTTTCTTCCCGTCTGCAGCTGGCCTCATTAACAAGGCCCCGACCCCCCCACTGACACTGACTCTGACCCACCCTGTATATATAGTATACATTACATTAATGCACTCCCATCTTCTGCACTGTTTTCTTTCTTTCTTATCTTTATTTGTTTATATTTTAAAGTACTTTATTTTTCTGTGTGATTTTTGTGTGATTTGTATATTTGTATATTTTATGCACCAATGCACCAGAACACATTCCTCGTAGGTGTAAAAACCTACTTGGCAATAAACATAATTCTGATTCTGATGAATGAATGAATAAATGAATGAATGAATGAATGAATAAATGAATGAATGAATGAATGAATAGCTAAATACATACATGAATGAGTGACAGAGGACTGCTACAACACCAATAAATATCAAATCACTGTGAAGTCTAGAGTTTGAGGGTGACATATTCACAGTCACAGCCAGCAGTGTAGGAGCTCCACTGTTGTAGTTCATTTTTTGGCAGTGCATTGTCCTGGTTGTCTTCATGTCCTGAAACAAGAGAGTAAACACATTAAGATGTCGGTTAAGGCATCATTTGTGCACAGGAATCAACATTTTCTAACACAGCAAGGTGCAGACCAGTGTGAGCTTCAATGCAGGAGAAACAACCTGAGGAGAAAAAGCCAAGATAGAAAACTACTCATTGGGGTTTTAATGTCCTAAAATCTCCATAAGGAGTCTATAAGGCGCCAGTCTTTAGCGATAGGTGATAAGAAGACAGGACATGGGTTACAATACGATACCTCTGTGAGTCTCGGTTTCTGGATACAGTGAACGTACGGCTTGGGGCTCGATTCTATCTGGTTGTTGGCCATTTTGTAGCAAACTGCGCAGTCCATCAGGGGCTGGGAAATAAATGAAAACACGTGGGTGAGGATGCTGTTGACGTTTTGATCACCGTACCTAGATTTGAAAATGAATGCTTCACTCACTCTGTCATTCCTGAAGGGGCACCTCTGAGGGTTGGAGTCAGTTGTTCCTTTGGCACACCTGGTGGGTTTCAGGTAAAAGTGGTGGTAGAGGGAGCGCACGCTGAATCCGGACTGCAAGAGAGCAGAGGGTTATTTCAATGTCAAAAAGTCACGCTTGATTTCTATGTGAGTATTCAAGTTAAACTAGAATACTATGCTCTTAACACAACATCTAGTCAACATCAGTGCTATTGCTATAATTTGGATGGTATAGTATCATGAGCCACAATTAAAGTATTGTGACACTCATGCCAGGCGTTATTGTTGTTGTTGTTGAGTTTCCGCGTGCCGATTGCTTTGGGCCGGGCCTAGTCAAAGTCCAGGGCCGTTTTTTAGTCCCAGTCCGTCCCTGATCCAGTCACATCAAGAGGTGGATGATAGAGATGTGTGACGATGCATTTTCCAGCTAAATCCAAGAGGGGTTTTAAATTTAAATGACCAGTCTGTAGGATTTAGTGACATCTAGTGGTGAAGTTTCAGATCCAACTGATATAGATCCTCCTCAATGTTACACACTAAACGTTTATCTTAAGAGACAAGAGAATCCCAACACATCAAAGAACAACAAAGAGATTTGTGGTTTTCACTGGATACTGGAAGAGTATGAAAAATTGTAATCTGAAAAGTAACTAAAACACACAAATGTAATTGAGAGGAAACAATTGATTGGTATTGGGTTGAAGTAATCAGCTTAAAAATAAAAAAAGAAATGCACAGTTTTAAGTGTTTGGTACCAAATTTAAGAAGTAACTGTACCACACGGTGCCAGTTAGGAGCATGAGTTAGTTTAAATAAATTATTGCAACTTCAGCAATGCACCACAAGATGTCACACTGATCCTACTGTATCCACATACACCTTACAAGCATTTACTAGTTTACAGTGGTGGAATGTAAACAAGTACATTTACTGAAGTACTTGTACTTTAATATTATTACCACTTTATGCAGCTTTCTATTTAGTCTCCACTGCATCTCAGAGGAAAATATTGTACTTTTCACTCCACTATATTTGTCTGACTGCTTTAGTTACGAGTCAATTTTCAGATTACAATTGTTGTTCAAATTAAAACAGCATATAAAAGTTGCTCCTTACAGAAACACTTGTTTAACCTTTGTATGGTGTAGGTCATTGTTTTTTTATATATACATGCAGAAGATTACAGACTGGATCTTGGATAGATTTTGTTTTTATTTTTATGTAATATACAGATCTGAATACATTCCTGTAAACGTGTACACCATTCGATCTTTCTGGATTCTTTTTGTCCAGCAACTTTGTGTACTTAAGTAAGATTTTGAATGCTGGCCTTTTACTTTTACTTATATTTTTACATTATTGAATTACAACGTTTACTTAAGATCTGAATAATTGAAAGGCAGTATCTGTCTACCATTAGATTACATATCTGAGTTTTACCACACAGTTGAACTTATCTATAACAGAACTCAGTTTCCCTGTTTTAATTGTTTTGAGATAGAAAATGTAGATAAAATCCTGCAGTGCGTCTATTTCATGTATTCAACACTCGCTGTTTTAAAGTTTCACATTTGTATCATAGATGTAGTTTTAAATGACAGAGCAAAGACACATTTATACATTGTTAACATGTGTTTTTATTTGATTTCAGGTTACATGACAGTCAGGTTTACTGTAATTCACACTGACATCCAAACACGACTTTCACTTGCCGAGCATTTTAGTTTAAAAAGGCTTGCAATGTCATGACTTCATTTCATGCCTGTGGAGTTAGCAGAGCTCCAAAGTTCTTCCCCTTCCTTGAACACCAACAGTTTGCCATCATCGGTCAGTTGAAGACGGCTCCTGAAATCACCATTCACATGTGTGTTTGTGTGCCACCTGGGATGCTCATCCTTGTTGTACATGACCAGGTTGCAGTCTTCCTGCATGACCAGGCGGACAGCGTCTGATCTATAGGTGTCTGAAGCCCACACAGGCTTCCAGCCATAGATGACAAAGTTACCATCATCCTGAAAGCAGAAACAGATATTTGGCTGTAATCAAAATATAGCAATAGAACCAGACAGGCTAGAAAATATGAATTTTGATGAACTTTTGGACTGCAAAAATTCTGGTTTATTCACCTGAAAGATAGCCTTCCACTGCTTGTTGTTGGACATCAGGTAATCTCCCTTGCGAAGCTCATCATTTTTGGACAGGAAGTTCAGACTCATGATTCTGAAACAAACAATTATTATCACTGAACCAGGAAAGAGGACTCGAGACACAAGAGCTCAGTAAAACAGTTCTGTACCTGCAAAGTCTGGCACACAGAAATCCAATCAAACAGGCAAACAAGTCCAAAAAGTGCAAAGGCAGAGTCAAAAAGGCACTTCAACACAAAGGATGACAGTAAAAGAAGTGTAAAAGTACTCACATGCTTGAATGTCCCACACCAGTCAGTCTGTGAGCAGAAGTGAAGGAAGTGAAATTCACAGCTGGTCGCTCCGTCTTTATATTATCTGAGTTGTGGAAGTGTTACTAAATATGGTATGATGACGTTTTTAAAAAAATCTTAGTAAGTAGTCCTATTGTTTCCCAACCTTCATTTACAGTATTTCATAATCACAGACAGTAACATACTGGCCATATTTCAAAATAGCTGTTCTATGTTACCATACACAGGTATATGCAAGGTGAGACTACAGTGTGACAAGTTGCAATAATTTCCTCCTTGATGACTTTCACAAGAATACGAGACTAAAGTTAACAGAATTTTTTTCTTCTAAAGATGTCTTATTGATCAGGGGATAGGCTGCATTCCTGTAAAAAGTAACCCTTAAGAACCACTGATCACAAGGTTTTCTCCACATAGCAAAATAATTAATCACTCATGATCTTGAGATAACAGCATAAAAATAAAATTACAAGCACATATGTACACCTTTTCGTAAAGATATACATTTATTGTAGTTCAAGGAATAATTTACAGTTTATTTCCTCCAAATTAATTGCCTGACCACAGCTGATATACACTGTTGTGTGTTTACCATTTTATTGGTCTAGCGGCAAAATACTGTGAATATATGCTTGCTATGGAAGTGAATGAAAAACTGAAACCAGCTAAAAAGCTAATTTTACCTCAGTTGACCTCAAAAGCCATTTCTGATGTAGATACACTTGTTTTTCTCATAAACAGGGCTCATAACAAAACTCTAATCGCTTCCTAAAACTCAAAGCATCTTCCTCTTACCAGAATAAGTGAAAATGTAGCATGAAGAATGTTGTTCTTCAACAAGTCTACACAGAACACATTTGACTCCTATCAATGCCCTTTTTATAGTGATGTAGATACACCCCTGACATTTACTTTCCTCACCACAGAAATAGAAGATAACAAGACAGAAAAAGCGTGAAAAATCGTGAATTAGTGAAACTGGATCGTATTTTATGGAGAAAATGTTTTCTGGTTTTCCGTCTGATCTTCTGCAGCTGCTCTGCCTCAACTCTCTGTGATTTAGTTTCCTGATGGACAGAAAGCTTCACTAGTTGCTTAAAAGTAAGTTAAAGCTAGTTAGCTCAGTCCTGGACTGGGAGCTCAAAGCACTGAGGGAGTGTTGGTATATTTACACTGCCAGCGAAGGAGCTTTGGACAGAGGAAGTTTTCAGGCCTAGGGCGAGGGGGAACCAGTGGTTCTATACATTTTGAATGCCAACCTTTTACCTTATATTTTTACATTATGGAAATACAAGTTTTTAAGATCTGAATATTTGAGAGGTAATATAAGTCATTAGATTAAATATTTGGGTTTTTTCATATCGTTTGTTGTAATTTATCTAGAGTTTCCCTGAGTTTTACCACAGAGTTAAACTTTTAGAATATTTGGCTGTTTTTTAGTCCCAGTCCGTCCCTGATCCAGTCACATCAAGAGGTGGTTGAGAGAGCTGTGTGACGATGCATTTTCCAGCTAAATCCAAGAGGGGTTTTAAATTTAAATGACCAGTCTGTAGGATTTAGTGACATCTAGTGGTGAAGTTTCAGATCCAACTCATATAGATCCTCCTCAATGTTACACACTAAACGTTTAACTTAAGAAACAAGAGAATCCCAACACATCAAAGAACAACAAAGAGATTTGTGGTTTTCACTGGATATTGGAAGAGTATGAAAAATTGTAATCTGAAAAGTAACTAAAACACACAAATGTAATTGAGAGGAAACAATTGATTGGTATTGGGTTGAAGTAATCAGCTTCAAAAAAAAAAAAGCACAGTTTTAAGTGTTTGGTACCAAATTAAAGAAGTAACTGTACCACACGGTGCCAGTTAGGAGCATGAGTTAGTTTAAATAAATTATTGCAACTTCAGCAATCCACCACAAGATGTCACACTGATCCTACTGTATCCACATACACCTTACAAGCATCTACCAGTTTACAGTGGTGGAATGTAACTAAGTACATTTACTGAAGTACTTGTACTTTACATGCAGCTTTCTATTTAGTCTCCACTGCATCTCAGAGGAAAATATTGTACTTTTTACTCCACTATATTTGTCTGACTGCTTTAGTTACGAGTCAATTTTCAGATTACAATTGTTGTTCAAATTACAACAGCATATAAAAGTTGCTCCTTACAGAAACACTTGTTCAACCTTTGTATGGTGTAGGTCATTGTTTTTTTATATATACATGCAGAAGATTACAGACTGGATCTTGGATAGATTTTGTTTTTATTTTTATGTAATATACAGATCTGAATACATTCCTGTAAACGTGTACACCATTCGATCTTTCTGGGTTCTTTTTGTCCAGCAACTTTGTATACTTAAGTAAGATTTTGAATGCTGGCCTGTTACTTTTACTTATATTTTTACATTATTGAATTACAACTTTTACTTAAGATCTGAATAATTGAAAGGCAGTATCTGTCTACCATTAGATTACATATCTGAGTTTTACCACACAGTTGAACTTGTCTATAACAGAACTCAGTTTCCCTGTTTTAATTGTTTTGAGATAGAAAATGTAGATAAAATCCTGCAGTGCGTCTATTTCATGTATTCAACACTCGCTGTTTTAAAGTTTCACATTTGTATCATAGATGTAGTTTTAAATGACAGAGCAAAGACACATTTATACATTGTTAACATGTGTTTTTATTTGATTCCAGATTACATGGCAGTCAGGTTTACTGTAATTCACACTGACATCCAAACATGACTTTCACTTGCAGAGCATTCAGTTTATAAAGACTTGCAATGTCACTGCTTTATGCCTGTGGAAGTTTTTCCCCTGCCTTGTACACCAACAGTTTGCCGTCATCGGTCAGTTGAAGACAGCTGCTGAAAACACCCTTGACATAAGTGTTTGTAGCCCACCTGGGTTGCTCAACCTTGTTGTACATGATCAGGTTGCAGTCTTCCTGCATGACCAGGCGGTAAACATTTGTTCCATCAGTGTCTGAAGCCCACACAGGCTTCCAGCCATAGATGACAAAGTTACCATCATCCTGAAAGGAGAAACAGATATTTGCCTGTTATCAAAATAAAGCAACAGAACCAGACAGGCTAGTAAACATAAAGTTTGATAAACTTTTGGATTGCAAAAATTACTTTGGTTTACTCACCTGGAAGATAGCCTTCCACTGCTTGTTGTTGGACATCAGGCAATCTCCATTGATTGGTATTGGGTTGAAGTAATCAGTTTAAGAAAAAGACAATGCACAGTTTTAAGTGTTTGGTACCAAATTAAAGAAGTAACTGCTGACAGTGTAAGAGATTGAAGAACCAGGATGTAACTAGAGTCTTAAAAACTCATTGCTCACTTTACCACCTGGTGCCAGTTAGGAGCATGAGTTAGTTTAAATAAATTATTGCAACTTCAGCAATCCACCACAAGATGTCACACTGATCCTACTGTATCCACATACACCTTACAAGCATTTACTAGTTTACAGTGGTGGAATGTAACAAAGTACATTTACTGAAATACTTGTACTTTAACATTATTACCACTTTATGCAACTTTCTATTTAGTCTCCACTCCATCTCAGAGGAAAATATTGTACTTTTTACTCCACTATATTTTTCTGACTGCTTTAGTTACTAGTTAATTTTGTTGACTAGTAACTAAAGCTAGTCAACTAACTAAAGTCAATCTTCATGCAGAAGATTACAGACTGGATCTTGGATAGATTTTGTTTTTATTTTTATATTATATACAGATCAGAATAAATTCCTATAAACATGTACACCATTCGATCTTTCTGGGTCCTTTTTGTCCAGTAACTTTCTATACATTTTGAAAGCCAACCTTTTATCTTATATTTTTACATTATGGAAATACAAGTTTTTAAGATGAAGATTGAATATTTGAGAGGCAATATAAGTCTGCCATTAGATTAAATATTTGGGTTTTTTCATGTCGTTTGTTGTAATTTATCTAGAGTTTCCCTGAGTTTTACCACAGAGTTAAAGTAGAATATTTGTCTATAACAGAACCTTGTAAGTCAGTTTTTCCCTTTTTTAATAGTTTTGAGTTAGAAAATTTAGCTAAAATCGCTGTTTTAAGTGAAGAGTTGTACAAGGAGCAGAGATTTAGATAATAGCTCACTACAAAGAGAAGGAGAATCCTCATTTATGCATTGTTAACATTTTATTTGTTCCCAAAAATCCAAAGATTACTTTCACATGCAATGAATTTCAGAAGCATCATTTCATCACTTCATGCCTTTGGAGCTGGAAGAGTTCCAAATCTCTTCACATTCCCTGTTCACCACCAGTTTGCCGTCATCGGTCAGCTGAACACGGCACATGTTACAGCTGGACTTGGAAGAGTTTGTGTGCCACCTGGGTTGACTATCCTTGTTGTACATGACCAGGTTGCAGTCTTCCTGCATGCACAGGCGGACAGCGTCTGATCCAGAAGTGTCTGAAGCCCACATAGGCTTCCAGCCATAGATGATAAAGTTACCATCGTCCTGCAGCCAGAAAAAGAGACTGTTAATGTGACTGGTACCAGAATGTGCATTTCCAAACACTTACTGTCTTTCTTTTTGCATTTACTTTTAAACAGACTAGTACACATGTATCATGCACTGTGATTAGTGTTGTAAGACCAGAAATATTCAAAATGACTCACCTGGAAAATAGCCTTCCACTCCTTATTGTTGGACAGCAGGTAGTCTCCCCTGCGGAGCTCATCATTTTTGGACAAGAAGTTCCTGCTCATGATTCTGCAACAGAAAGAAAACCCTTTTTGCATTATACACAGTATGCAGCTTTTATAAACCTAATAACTGCAATGATTCCTTCATGCATTAATCTTTCAGGATGAATGATAATGTATGAATCCACCCATCAGTATAAATGCATAAAATACTTACAGGCCTTGAATGTCCCACCCCAATCAGACTGCACGCAGAAGAAAATGAGTGAAGTGTAAGAAGGGAAATTCTTCTTTTATATACCCTAATCTGGGGTTGGAGAGAGAATGGGGACAGAGAGGGAAGTGTCATGCTCCTATTTCACTGAATCAAATCTAAACAAGTTGATTGTCCTGCACAAATTAAAGTGCATGGGACATCACTAGCAAACAAAAGACCTTGAAATAGTAGTAAAAAGGTACATTAACACCAATAAATGTCAATGAAAGACAATTTATATATAAATATAAGGAAATATCAAAAATGTGCACACATGTGATACAAAAACCAAATAAAACTTGTAAGAACAATATTAAAATTAAATATTAGAAAACACTAAATCACACTAAGAGCAACCAAAAGCCACTGAAAACATACACATCTAATATCTAATGAGAATTGAAAATCCTGTTAGTGGATTAGACTCTTTTGACTCCTTCCAACTATGCATTCCCCAAAAGCGTCACACCACATCACATCGTTTGGGCTTTTATGACAAGAGCGTTATCTTTGAAGGGTGACATATTTCAGAGAGGGACTGTCATGGATGGACGTGAAAAAGAGACACATATATAAAATATTTGTACATATTAGTTATTTCTGCTACTTTATACTCCTCTACTTTAGTTACTACTTTCAGATTCAGAATATTAATGCAAAATATAATCAACAAATAAACAATGATAAGGAAAATGTCAAGCTACCATGCAGTGTAAAATTACCTTTACCAGCTGCAACGTTAAAGTAATGTACATATTAATGCAACTATAATTACAATCTAATAATATAAATACATTATTCTGAAAAGGGCCAGACTGTAAATGAGTTGTTTTACTTTTGAAACTTTAAGGATATTTTTATGCTAATGCTTAAATGTCTCTAAAGTAGAGGCACAAACGTGGGAATATATTTGTTTTTCTCACCCTTTTACGTGATAGCATTTGTAGATTTATTGATTTAGTTGTATGCCATCCAAGATAAGGTACAACAATTACATGGAAGTCTCCCTGGCGTGTTTGGCCTGCTGGGACTTGATCAGATGTTGAACTTGAACTTGAACTTGATAATTAATAATGTTGTAAAGGTGCTGACACAGCTGCCTTTATAATAGAAAATTACTCACAGATTCTCATTTCTCAGAGATACTTTGAAAGGAAGTTGGGATGTCAGATATGATATTATTACAGTAATAACTGCAATCTTACCCGATTTCATCGAATAGTATTGTTTTTGTGGTTTCATCGCATGCAGAATGAGAGTAAGTGTCGTTTTAGGAGCCAGATAAAGAATCTAACCACTCTTCACACAACACAGATGAATGCCAATACATTTTTTTCTTCTTTATTACATCGTTTTACATCTGGCAGACGGTGACTTTACAAGCAAAGAAGAAACTAATCTCTTAAAGGGAGGTACAGTGATTTCATGAGAGCATTATTGTAACATTAATATAAGACACAGACACTCGCTGACACACTTGTTGTCTTTTATATTACAAGTGATGTCTGGATGAGAAATATTCAGGAAATTAGCCTGTCGAAGTTCCCTAACCAGTAAAATAAGCATGCAACAGGTTAACTACAGATTATTCGGCTACTCGCCTATTATAAAGAATTTTTCTTATGCTATTAACTTCAGGCTATTTGTTTTTTTTTTTTTAGCCAGTAGACACAGCCAGCAGTGTAGGAGCTCCACTGTTGTAGTTCATTTTTTGGCAGTGCAATGTCCTGGTTGTCTTCATGTCCTGAAACAAGAGAGTAAACACATTAAGATGTCGGTTAAGGCATCATTTGTGCGCAGGAATCAACATTTTCTAACACAGCAAGGTGCAGACCAGTGTGAGCTTCAATGCAGGAGAAACAACCTCAGGAGAAAAAGCCAAGATAGAAAACTACTCATTGGGGTTTTAATGTCCTAAAATCTCTATAAGGAGTCTATAAGGCGCCAGTCTTTAGCGATAGGTGATAAGAAGACAGGACATGGGTTACAATACGATACCTCTGTGAGTCTCGGTTTCTGGATACAGTGAACGTACGGCTTGGGGCTCGATTCTATCTGGTTGTTGGCCATTTTGTAGCAAACTGCGCAGTCCATCAGGGGCTGGGAAATAAATGAAAACACGTGGGTGAGGATGCTGTTGACGTTTTGATCACCGTACCTAGATTTGGAAATGAATGCTTCACTCACTCTGTCATTCCTGAAGGGGCACCTCTGAGGGTTGGAGTCAGTTGTTCCTTTGGCACACCTGGTGGGTTTCAGGTAAAAGTGGTGGTAGAGGGAGCGCACGCTGAATCCGGACTGCAAGAGAGCAGAGGGTTATTTCAATGTGAGCAAAGAAGTCACGCTTGAGTTGGGAAAGCACTGAACCTCTTTCACATGTTGGATGTGGAAGCAGTGGTGGAAGCTGTCAGGGGTCCCATCAAGGGTGGGCAGGGTGAGACCACATATAATTAACCCTTCTTAAGTCCTGCTCCCTTTTTGCTTTGTGCTCTAATAAGAGTTGAGCTTCCTCCTTTCCTATACTTCGATATATTTTGTGCTGGGTTTGTGTATGTTGGAAAAAACAACCATATCTTTAAGATGGTTAAAAATAAAACCCACCCCACTTTTTGGGTAACATTAATTTAAATCAGTTAACTGAAATAAATAATGCATATTTGTCATTATAGTTAACGTAAAAAGAAAATATGAAATGCATAGCTGGCTTTTGTCACTTGGGCATAAACGTGTCATTTTGGGGCACTTAATGAGATGACGGATGCTTTTTGTTCTTCTTTGGAGGAAGCTATCAAAAAGTCAGGTGATCATTAAAGTCACTAAGATTTATCCTCTGAGGATCAAGAATAGTCCGTACCAACGTTCATGGCAATCTACGCAGTATTTGTCTCCTAGAGGCTGTGATATAGTAGTTAACCCGGCGTTCAGTTGAGCTTTTTGGTCTTATTAAAGAACTTATTTCTGTTTGCTGCACTTGATTTGACGTAAACTTGAAGATATGGTCTATCTTTAGACTTTTGATTCTGTTGTGATCGGGCAACTCCCACCATTGGATCCATTATCCAATAGGTGTTTGACCAGCTTCATATGTATGTATTTGCCTTATGTCTGTGTTGTTTTGGCTCTAATGAAGACACAGTACTGTTTAAAGGCCTTAAATCTACTATCAAAGCCTCAAAGTCTTTATAGGAAGACAGATGAAAGAAATCTTCTGTAGCAAAATACATAAATAAAAAAGAAGGGCAGTTTATTGGCATCATGTTACATTTTAATTTTTAACGCCTCTCCCTGCCTTTTCAATCTAACAGTCTTCACTGTTACCTTGTGCAGATGCAAGCTGATTATTCAACATTTAAACTATTCAATTATTAGACCCTCTTATTAATATAAGGCAGGTAAAGCAAATGCACAGCAGAAGCAAATATATCAAAAACAGCAGAATATCTCTTCCCATGTGAGTTTATTTTATCTGCCAGGTTTAAATTCTTGATGGTAATAGTTTCCACTTCAGATAGTTTCAGCTCATATTTGTCTTAATTGCTTAATAACTGCTGATATAATCTTGTAGGACTCAACTTGTTCAATATGAAAACCACAAAGTGTGAGTTCACTCTCAAAGTATCAGAGTGTCTTTTTCCTTTAATCTTCTTCAACCTTCCAGCAAAGACACACCTTACCAGTGCTTTAAGATTCAAAGTCCACTTGACCCGAAGCAGATGTGAAAACAAGTATGAGCACAAATTCCCGGAAGGCAGAGTGCGTGTGCCAAACCGTGGCAGAGTGCAGATCCAAGGAGTAAAGGAAACTGAAAGTGGGACGAATCTGAAGCAGAAGTAATTTTTCTTTTGCTTTTTACATTTACTTTTCTTACTCAAGATTACAATTTAAATGTTTGTCTGTTTAGTTTTAATTAGAAATTTTCATTATCTCACAAAGACCTCTCAGGAGTGCATTTGTTGTTGTCCACATTAATGCTCACTGAAGCTGCAATATATATATGTTTCTCATGAGCAACTCACACAGAAAATGTTATAAGCAGAGATAGACACCTTAATTACTCAGGCCAGGAACTGTTAATAAAATCACAAACAGGTTTACCTCAATGTCTGACTTCTCCAGACTTCTCAAGAAGCGAAAATGGTGTTGCACCCCAGCATGAGAGTTGAGTTGCTCAAACGCCAGATCCACTCCCTTCTTATAGTCGTCAGGGAGCTGATTATAAAGATCCTGGGCATTGGCAGAGTACAGGACAGCTCCGGCACAGACCAAAAACAGCAGCCAAGCAGCCATTTTCCTCTGAGTGTGTGAGGAGAGCAGCTCGTCTCACAGGGTGAACACCCTCTTCTCTCTGCAGGATCAATGCTCCTGTCCAAAACAAGTCCTATTATGGCCGTATGAGTAAGAAGATAAAGTAAACGCACTGACTGGCCCGCTCCACTGACTGTTTACTCTTTATCTGTGAGTTCCTGTAATACCCCAGGGGACTCAGATGGAAGCATAACACAAAACACATTTGCAGTGGGGAGTTTTGAAAGCTGCTCTATCCACTCCTATCTAGAAATGTTATTACAATAAAAACTTGGATTAGTAATACAATTACTGGAAACAAGCCTTGCATGTGATGAAAAGCCTTTGGTCCCGGGACAAATGAAGGGTCAGAGGTGATGTGTGGGTGAATGAAGGTCCCTTGTTTTTGTATTTACAGGAAAGTAGGTCACTTAAAGGAAATAGTGCTTTTTTTACTTTGTATATAGTTGATGAGGCGGTTGATGCAACTGTTTGCTCTTATCTTATGTAATGAGTCACATAAACCAAACAACTTTAAAGGTCCAGTGTGTAACATTTAGGCTCTATTGGCAGACATATAATATAATATTCATAGGATTTCTTTAGTGTATAATTACTTTAAAATAAGAAATATTGTGTTTTTGTTACCTTAGAATGAATTGCTTTTATCTACAGTGTGGATAAACCATGTTAAACTGCCATGTTTCTACAGTAGCCCAGAATGGACAAACCAAACAGTGGCTGTAGAGAGGGCCATCACATTCTTCACGAGTTTTTCCAGCCACCGTAGTTTCTCCTACACACCTCTTCTCATTCCCAGGTCGTCAAATACAGACGCTAGCAGTGTTCACTTATATGCAATCTGCAACTTCACCACTATAGATGCCACTAAATCCTGCACACTGGTCCTTGTTGATCCTTATAAGCCAGTGGACTTAGGTGGGAAGAAGTAGTTGCTTTAAATAAAAGTCCTACAGTGTAAATATATATATTAGTCAGATAATGAATTATGACAACATTTCAAGCAGTTTGCTTAAACAGAACCTGGTTTAGGAATATGCATCATATCAGCACATTATAAACTAAAGTCTTTAAACTAGGGCCCCTCTAAAATACAAGGCCAGAAAGATTAGGAGACAATGCAGGTAAATTATAAACAACCAATTGAAACACAATCATTTTTTTAAAGTCTGGTGAAATTGAATCAATGAAATGAAATGAAACTTTTTAATTAAATGATGAATTCACTGTGTACGTGACCCATTGTTAAAGATTTACATCTTCAGTGGGGATGAATGGGCTTTGGGCTGAGTGCCACAGGCAGGAAAAGAAAGATTTAAAAGAAGACATGTTGTTGGCTTTGGTCTATTTACAGGTTTTGGAAATAATAGGAAAAAGAGGTTGAATATTCAGCAATTATACTTTATTACAAACAAAACAATGACAAATTCTAACGTATTTCCACAAGTTGCTGAAGATGTGACATAATGAACCTCACTCAAAGGTAATAAAAATGTATCCTGACAACAGAAAGACGACTTATGAGGTTATGAAAACATTAACAATAATGCAGTAAACTCCCTTTTTGTTAGAAATTATGATAAAAAATAGCTTCAAAAAGCACAAAGAAATGGCAAAAGCTGTCACAGTAGATACTAAATGAGTCAACCAAGTATTCACTTTTTCCCAACTGATGCCAGAAGAGTCGGGGCTCCACTACTGTAACCCATTGTGTTGCAGTGCTCTACTCTGGCCGCCTTCATCTCCTGCCATACAGAGAAAAAGATAAATGGGAAAAATATTAGAAGCAATCTCATGAAGTTATATTCCAGTTGTTGCAGTGAGGTTTTGTCAATTAACATTAGGTCAAACTGACCTCTCAGTATCAAAACTAACCTCTGTAATGACCGTTTTGTGGACACAGTTAATATACGGCTTGGGCTCCTGCTCAATCTCTCCTTGAAATGTTTTGTAGCAGACTGCACAGTCTATCAGCGGCTGCATGAACGCACAGAAACAAAAACAGCACACAGACGAGTTAGAGCAGGCCCTGGCTCTTGAATTCCACATTTCCCAGTTCAGTAATGCTGCTCCCAAATCAGACAAAACTTACTCTGTCGTTTCTGAACTGACACGCTGTGGAGTCGACCGTTCCTCGTGGGCAGTTGGAGGCTTTAAGGTAGAAGTGGTGGTAGATGTATTTCACATCAAAACCAGACTGAAAGAAAGAGATGGAGGATTAAGTCTGATCAACTCCAACTGCTTTAAGGATAAACATCCCTGATAAACACAATCTTTAATGATTAGAGCTTTTCCTGAAGATTTTACTCACAACAAAAGATTAACACTGATTCTGAAAAAGCAGGCATACTTGTACACTACCTCGATGTCTGACTTTGTGAGACTTCTGAGGAAGAGAAAATGGTGCTGGAGCCCAACATGAGAGTTTATCTTGTGCAGGGCCAGATCCACTCCTTTCCTGTAGGCTTCAGGAAGTTTATTGTAATTCTTTTCCTGGGCATTAGAGCAAAAGAACAAAGCTCCAACACTGAACAGCAGCAATAAAGCAGCCATCTTTCTGCCTGTGTATGTAACAATAAAGGGCGAGGGGATAGTGCAGAGGACCGCCCACTCTGTGTTGTTTTTCCTGAATAGGAAAGAACATCCAGCCCACTTTTTACTGGCTGAAAACAATCAGTTCTTTTCTGAGGCTCGACTGAATGGATGTCGAGCAGATCTCAGCAGGAGGGATTTCATACGGTGGCCCTGAGAGCTCAATGCAGTGCAACTTAGAAAACACTTATTAAAAAAGACAAAAGCAAACATAAATGCTGAAAAAAAAAGATGTTTAGTTTGGGCATTCGTCCCTTTTTTAAGTTTCTCATTTTGTAATTAATTCCTGTCATATTCTGTGCAACTTGTTGTTTTCTGTGTTTGGTTGTGATTTCTGAAATAGTTTTGGGGCTTTTATCCTCCTTTATTTGATAGTAGTGAATTAAAAATACATGCAACACTGCAGATTACACAAATTAATAAAAATCATTGAGGACAACACAACACAATACAGCCAGCAGGCAGCAGCAGGGATTTAACACACCTGCAAGATAGATAAAGTAAAACAAATATTGTTTAATATGCTATTATAAAAATGTTTTAAGGCCACTTTTAATTTCTCTATAATGCACTATATGCACTATTCCCTTTGTCTTAATGCTACAGCTGAAGATGGACAGGAAAGGGGGAGTGAGGGTTTTTCTTTATACATAGGAATCAAGGAATCAAGACAGAACAGCCGCCAGAATAAATAGAAAATAACTTTTTATTTGTCATCAATATTTCAACCATTAATGTACAAGGGAACATCAGCAATAGCCTCTCGGACTCTGTATTGCTTTTGAAATGGAACAACATTTTGTATCAGCATTTCATGACTTTTGACAGATACTTTGGCATACACAGACAACCTTCACTTCATCCACAGGCACAATAAGCAAACATAGAGCTGACACTGTACTGCCTACTTCTCATTAACATCCCCTTCATTGTCCATGTCCATGATCCAGACAAATGTGAGCGTACATTATTAAAAAACTGTGACATACTCCAAATGAATCTTCAAAAAAAAAAACCAGCAATAATGCCTCATATTGCAACAGATAAATAATAAAGAGATGTTTGATTTATGAGCGTCTCGAAAAGTGCAAACTATTGTAACACGTGTGTCGTCCTTACAAAACACAACAGACACCTGTAGTGGATCACTTCATGGTCCCACAGGCACTTGAGATTTTGTGCACCTTTGTGACACCAGACAGGCACAAGATCACAACGACAGTCAGGCTGAGACGGGCCAGTTCAAAAGTAGTGTCTGAAATACACACTTGAGAGTAACAGAGGACCGAAAATGTATTATTTGACACAGTCAAAGCTTTAACCAATCCATGTCACACTGATACAACATGACACAAAACAAAAAAATACACATATATATTTATATATATATATGTATATTTATATATGTGTATTTTTAAAGCCTTCCCCCTCAGTAATGCATGAATATTGAGATTGTCTACACAGCTTGTGTGGAAATTTGGTCGACCAAGTTCACATGAGCGTGAAATGAAATGTTTAAACAATCAGTCGATGCCCAAAAAAAAATTAAAAAAGCTAAAACTAGGAATGTTATACTGTGTAATTGTAGTAATGTAGGCTTATAATGTTAGGAGACGTTGAGATGGCTGAACTGCAGCTTATTGTTCTGATCACAAAACTATTTACACGAGACATTTGGCACTTGGACAAAGAAACTAATAACTTACAGTGATTCCCATAAATCAACCAACACCAAGTGTGACCTCAAAACAAACTCTACATTAGTACATTAGTGCCCTAAACATGTGCATGGAGACATTTAGAGTATATTCATTATGCCACTGTGTTAATTTTCTACTAATAAAAAAACCAAATGTGTCATGATGACAAACATGATGTCATGGCATTAGTGTAATGAGAAACTGCCTGTTCATGTATTGTTTTTGGTATGCAATCATCACAGTCCTGCTAGATCTCCCTCTGTTGGTGATCTTAATACACTGCGGATACATAATTTGACATAAAAGCCCAACTTTCATCTAAAACTGTTTCAGTACAAAACAGGAAAGACTGGTTATAGTTAAAAATCAATCACAGAAAGTCATTTAAGAAGCAAAACTAAAGCAACACTGATATTTATGAGATTTAAGAGGACACTAAGGAGATAAAATGATTACATAAAATACAGTCATTGTTCAGATTTGGTGTCTTAAAAAAAGTGCTACGAGCTTTCGGGAGGCGGGTAAAGTGATCGACTGTCTAGAATAAGACAGCATGAGGGCAAAAAAAAACAACAACCTTTTTATCTCCTTCATAAGGCGCTTGGTGAGTTTAAAACATGAACAAAGTGACAAACTTGAAAAGCAATAACTCGGCATGTTAATATAAAAGAATAAATCCCATATATCCTCCACATATTCAATGTGAATCAAAGCAACCTTTCAGGGCTAAAAGTTAATCAGTCTTGCAAACCTATCTACTGTAATCGCGTTTAATTTCGAGCTCGAGATCACATCTTTTGATTTGGAATCTCTTGTCCCCTGAAATATATATATATTTAAAAAACTATATTATGAGTGAACGTGAATCTGTCTGATCTCCTCTGTCGGATTTCACTCTTTCACCCCAACGATCTGATAAAACGCAACTTAAATAGTTAACCAAAGTATCAACCACCCAGACCTCTGACGTACTGTACGTTTACAAGTGATTATAAAGCAAGTGCACAGTGATGTGTTTCAGGACTCATTGGTCGGTAGTGATTGAAGGATTCTGGTTTGTCCACTGTGAGGAGTTGAGTGGTGATACGAGGGCTTCTTAAAAAGGGGTTACACAGGCATGTGCATCTCCGAGTACTCATCGTGACACTCACGCTCGTCAAACTTCGGCTCTGCGTCGTCCGCATCCAGCTGGAGGAGGAAGAGGAGACGTCAGGATTAACATTTTCTTAAAAGAAGAAAATACTATGAGGAAGTTTAGTTAGACTAGTCCATTTTCTGTATATTCCTAATGTTTAGTCTACTCAAGAAATTTCCTGCAGTTCCCAGAATGCCTTAGAAATAATTTCACTTGCCATCACATTTTAGCTCTTAACTAATCATGGATGTATGCATGCTCTATGTGCATAAAGAATATGACAGGAAAATACAAAACCTATTTTAAATTACATCTCAACAATTTCAAATGCTTGTGCTTGTAAATTAATTTCTTTCATTTTTTAAAAATATTTCAGAGATTCCTCCACGTCCCACTAGAGGGAGTCTGCAATAACAGAAGGAACTGACTAGTGTATGTGGGTCTAATATATAATAAAATAATAAAATAAGATAATAAAACCAAAGTAAGCAATGTATTTTTACCCAAATATTATTCTAAATCTTTCCAAAACTTCAGAGTAAATGAAGTTTAGAATAGGATTTGTTTGTGAAACTCTGCTGGTAATTCAGAATTTAAAGAATATAACCTTTAATAAAGTTCTTCTGTTGTCTGATTAAACAGCTCCATAACATTTCTACAGCTGAGGTTGTGGTTGCAGGTGTATAAAGAAGCATATAGCGCCCTCCTGTGGTTCACTTACACATGCAATCTCTCTGGTGGTGAAGATGCGGCGCAGCAGGAACATTTTGACAGGGACGGTGAGGATGAGGACGAAGGGGAATGCCAGCGATGCTTGGGTTGACATAACGGCCCACAGGACGCCCAGACACACCAGCTGGATGCAGGTGAACAGATGCATACGCAGCGTACGGACCTGGAGGAAACAGGTTCTTTATGAAAACTCTCACCAGCACTAGTGTGAGATAAAAATCTTGTAATGCCGTCATCGCTAGAGTCAAAATGTCAAATATTCCAGGTTTGTCTCAGATTTTTAATTACTGAACATTTTAACAACATTTTATCAACTAAACCATTAATAAATAAAATCAACAGCTAAATCAATACTTAACTTTCATATATTTCATTCCTGAATGTGAGCTAAAACTAAAGTTTTTGATCCAAGACTCAAGAACTTTAACACAATTTAATATATTTAATTCCTCACAGACAGATTTCTAAAAACTGCAACCTTTTTATGATTCATAATTTATTTGATTAAATTTGTATTAATTGCACCTGAAATCTTAATTACTTTATGTAATGACTAAATCAGTGATTCCCAAAGTTTTTCCTTAAGGGACACCCTTTTTTTTTAATCATTGTGTTAACTGATGACCCCTGACTAAGGTACATATATTATATTCAATGTGCCAACAACAATACAGAACAACTGATAATCTGTACAATGAACCCAAATAGTGAACACAATAACTGCAGGAACTTTGTGTCAAATGTGACTGTAAATATATCTTGTGTTGAGGTCTTTAAAGTTTAGACTTCAATAATCTAAACTTAAAAAACAATTTCATTCAGTTTTCTTTACAGAAATGAACGAAATCCTGAGATATAGGCGTACTATGTATATTTTTTAAACTTTTCTTACACCCCTTAAAATCAAGAAGGCCTCGCAAACCTAAAATAAATAACAATATAACACTCTACCTTGCGCACGTAGGTGTGGTCTGGGTGATACTTTGGTGGCATGAGCAGCAGCATCATCCGCTCTGTTAGCTGGATACCATTAAGGGACATCACACCCATGTAGAGGAAGATACCAAACAGCACCGCAAGGGGGATCTGACGCAGCAGCTTGCCTATCACAATGGACATACCTGGGAAGAGGAAGTAATGGAAGATTAAAAGCTAAACATGTTTAAAAATGTACTTTTAAAAAGTTAAAATTATTGAATTGCCTTCAATAACTGGAATGACACTCACCAACCATGATGGCCACCAAGAGCCCGGTGACCCTCTGCTCCTTCACCTCCTGGATGCGAGGCTTGTCTCCGGGGGCGACGGCCTTACTCATGACAGTAAGGGCGTTGACGTGGGTCACTGAGCGAACTGTCGCGGCGGCCATCCACGGCAGGCCGAACACAGCCGAGCAACCGCCCAGCACCACAATCAGCAGCAGGTCCAAATGGAAACCAGAGCCCTTCACCAGCATCCGCTCCTTCTTACTCACGATCAGGCTGCGGGAGAAACACAGACGTAAACAACATTTTTTGTGCCATGATATAGTCAATCCATATCAAACTGTCAAAGTTAAGTTGCTTATCTAACTGTAGCTATTCAAGGGCAGGGATATTTGAAGAAGTTAATAAAAACGTTGCTTTTTAGACATCTAGAATCTGTTATTACTATTCCACTGACACTTCTTCTGCAATGTGCACTACTCATCAGAGGATTGATTAAATTCAGATTGTGTTTTTATTTATCTAAAGGTCTTCTATCATTTAATCATATGGAAATTGCTACAAGACTATGAATCTAACTGTAAAATCCTGTTATTTCAGATTCAGGTAGAGATTAGTTCAACTCTACTATGTCATAATGTGGAGTAATGAGTAGCAGCGTAACTCACGTGGTGATCTGAGTCTCCATGAAGATGAGGATGAAAACCAGGAGAGCGGGCAAACAGCAGGCAAACATCATCCAGATGGGGAATTCACCGTTCGTACCCAGAGGATTGATGATCCAGCCACGTTTATGGGGACTCGTCACAGAGAAACCTTCAGGAACGCTCAGTTTCTAGACAGAGGACGATGACAGGAATGAAGAAGAGGATGATGATGGTCTGTGTTTGGGAACCTTTAGCACACATGAATCCTAGTGTCAAATATTTACATAACAGTGATAATATTTGCGTCTTACCTGTGTGTATGTGTCGTTTATACTGTAATCCACCAGCACCATGATGAGGATGGCAATTGGTACACCGAAGTCTCCAATAATCCTGCGTAACTAAACACCACAAGATGCGAGTTTGAGCAGAACTGGCAGCTTCATATTTTAAATCCAATAATAATCAAAAAGGTTTACATGTCGGTATTACACATTACTATTCTGGCTGTGTATTCTGGAGCACATTTGTTCTGGGGCTTTAAACTGCGTCACAGTAAAGGAAGAAAATCACGAGATACGATTGAAAAGCTCCAGAACAGCAACTAAATGGACCTTGTGGAAATAAATCTGCCTAACTGCACTTTTAAAGTTCACTAAATAACACTTTATATCTTGCTTTTGCTTTGGTTTTTGTTCTGATTAAACAAATGAGTATCTAGTCTATTTCAGACTTTAATTGTAGTGTCTCTGGTCCTAAAAACATACATGTAACCTTGATATATGATGATATGATGATTCAAGGAAGGTTAAATAAATATAAAGGGGTTGATGTTTGCAGGACAGAGGTTTATGTAGATGATTTTTGCTCCTCACCCTTCCAGGGAAGAACGCACTGTTCTTGAACTTGCGCAGGTAGAAAGCGATGAAAAATGTTCCGGCCATGAGAACCAGAGAGAGCAGCGCGGTGTTGGGCTCGCCTCTGACCGTTATCTTCTGGGTGCTGTTGCTCAGCATGAGTGAGATATTTTCTTCTGAAGTGTTCCCTTCTATGCTGCTGTTGAGGGAGCAACGTTTCAGGGGGTGCTCCTTGAAAATCTACCCGTGGACACAGAGGGTTCAAATTAATGCATAATATTTCACTACAGAATACACACAGGAATACTTACGCACAGCTATGTGAATACTTTCCTTGGAGGAATTACTGTATAATTTATCTTTTAGGTACCACAAACACACTTTCTGAAAAATATGATTAACCCGTCACCAAACACCTTTCAAGTCTGTGCCATAAAAGTCTAAAAATAGTAGACTTTTAATACCCTGGATAAATAGTTAAACTCTTAATCCACTACACTTTCAAGGCCAATCAATCGCAAAAGATTTCAGGTGCACTTGTTAAAAAAACATACTCATTTCGACCCCGAGGTTTGAATTCTGTCCAAAGATATGTCAGTTCACTTTAGTGTCGGGGACATGAACCCGCAGCGTGCCAACAAAAACGTTTTGTAATCAGGAGTTGTTATTTCAAGTCTCAGGTATACCCTGCCGAGCTTGATGAAGGTCTCGCAGATGAAGATGAGGGAGATAAGGAAGGAGAAGATCTCCTGGGTGAAGCGGGAGACGAAGCGGACCAGGAAGCTTCCCTCGAAGGCCACAGTGACGATCACGATGATGATGAGCCAAAACCCGATCCAGACGCGACCCGTCAGGTACTCCATGTCGTTTGCTTTGCAGAACTGTGAAAACACAGAGCAAAGAAACTCTCTTCATCCACTGGAAAATGTTCACAGCAGCAATAAAAACATTTTAATGCTCTACTGAAGTTAGAGAAGTTCTGATTATTTTAGTGTGAGTTTGTTTTGTCTACTGGTTTCAAGTGGGTGGGCTAAGTTGGAAAAATATGATGTCAAGTACTTTGTGCACTAATCAGGATTTAGTATCAAACAGTCGGTTATGTTGCCAAGTCACAATTTTCTTGCCAAGAGTTAGAGGAGATGTACAACTCTCATATCTGTCTGTTAAATATAAGGCTACAGCCAATAGCTGATTAGCGTAGCTTAGCTTGGCCTAGCCTGCCTCTGTCCAAAGGTAACAAAAAGCACCTTTTAGTAAATCGACAAGCCACAACATGTTGTTTTTATACTTAAAATGTTGTGGGGATTTAAAAAAAACTAGATAAAATATGTTAGTGAGGTTCAAAGGTACTGGTAGGCTAATGTTGTTACCTTTGGACCCAGTTTCCAATCATTATTCTAACATAAGCTAACCAGCTATTAGCTGTAGCTTCATATTTAACGTACAGACGTGAGAGTGGCATCAATCTGCTAATCATATTCTTGATAAGAAATTAAATAAGTGTATTTCCCAAAATGTTGAACAATTCCTTTAACTATTTCCTTTTACAGAGAAATAAAAGTATTATGGTCAATAAAAGAATATATGGTAAACTAGATTTTTAAATTATAGGCTACTGTTACTTTCCAGAGACTTACTATTTATCAGCACTTACACTGTAAAAGGCTTCTTCAAAGACCAGCAGGGGTCCGGAGAAGCCCACAACGAGTAGCGGCTGCGCTCCGAGCAAGCAGAAGATCACACCCTGCACTGCTGTTGACACAATCAACTCAGAAACACCAATCAGACCTTCCGTCTTCTCACCTAGAGACAGACAGGCACAACAAATTAACACCACGATGAGCACCGACAAGGTTTAAAAAAGGTCATTCACTGAACCTTCAATACAAAAACATGAAAAGGGATTTGACATATGAGACGATAAGCTGTGAAATCCACAGTAACTCGCCTCTTGCTTTCCAACGTGCAACTCACCCAGTAGGCCTCCGAATGTTATGGCTGGAGAGAGGGCAGCAAAGTAGATAAAGATAACGGCAGCCATGCACTGACTGTTCAGGGCGTCCTTGAAGTCACTGAGGTACTTTGGGTAACGGCGCCGCACATCTCGTACCAGCCCACCAAAGGGACGTCCGGTGCGCTTTAAGGGATCGTCTGACTTTTTCAAGGGTGTGAGGAGGGCCTCTGCGTGACGGGAAAGAGCAGGATATTAATTACAGGAACAGGAAGTCACAAACAGCAACTAGAATTTCCTTTGATAAAGCCACAGGTTTGATATTTGAGGAGACGCTCACCTTTTTCTTCAAGGCTTTTAGGCTCATTGGCCATCAGTTTGACCCCCTGCTCCTCCCTCTTGCGCAGCATCTCCCTCTGAAAGCGAGCGACAGAGCGCAGCAGCTCATCGCCTCCCATCTCTGAAGGCGGCAGCACGATGCTGCAGTCCAAGAAGCTGTTGATGGCATTCAGCAGGTCCTGCCTGTCGTCTGCCAGGTAGGCTGCCTCGTGGAATTGCTGGACGGCGAATCAGATACAGACAAATGTAACCAATAAAATAAGCAATGAGGTGGACATGTTTTAAGACATTTATTATGTATGGGTCCTGTGACAATGATTAGACTGATCTGATTTTTTGTAGGTTAAATCTTTCATAACTAATATCTGAATTGGGGTTTTATATTTAAAAAACACCTCGCTCACCTTGTCAGACATGAGTGTGGAGATGGAACGTCCTATCTGGTGATAGTCCATGCTGGTGGTGGGGGGTCCCAGCAGAACGAAGAGAAACCTGACCGGCACGGGGACCTCAAGGACAGACTCCAGCTCCACCGCCTCCTGCAGCCGCACAAACGCCATGGTGGGCTGCTCCAGGAAGTCCACGCTGCCTGGAAGACGGCGGGACATAAAAGTCAACATACAGACAGCACTATACACAATGCAAAAATTTAAAAAAGTGATTTTGAGTGTGTGGTTTTCAAGGCTTTAGTGGGAGAGAGATAACTCACCCACAAGAACAACAGTGGCCTCAGCATTTTCAGGAATCTTCTCCAGCAGCTTCAGCTCATGTTTGGATTTGGACCGATGCATACCGGACATCAAGGTCGGTTCCTTCTGCTGCAATGGAAAGCAAAGTGAAATCAGTATTATGACGAACGCTTAAAACTGGTACTTTTAGAAGACGTTTCAGCTCTAGACTCACCTGCACTTCGTTTTTCTCCACGTCTATGCGCGTGTCGGTGTCCCCCGTGACGTGGGTGGTCCCCATAAGCGGGTCGGTCACCGATGGTTCTGGCTGATGGGTGTGATTGGCATTGTGGTGGTGTGCTATCAGACTGCCCAGGCTGGCTGCGGAGATGTTCCTGGGGAAAGGGCTACTGTGCTCCTTCTCATCACTCGGGTGACTAGGGGAGGCAGGGAGAGGCAGAGAGAGGGTGAGCAGGAGGAAGAGAGGTAGTGACAAGGCATAAAGCCACCTAGTAGCAGGAAGTGTGCAACAGTGGGAGTAAAGATTTAAGCGGAGTTTAATCGCTGCTCAACATACAGGCACACATATATTGCCAATAATCAACACTATGAACTTGTATTAGCATTGGAAGTCAAAGTGTAGTCTCTTGCAAACATGCACACAAGCACAGACAAAACAAATAATAAAAAAAACAGGTAATAAAATGAACATCATGTCTACTGCTAGTCTAAATTAGAGCCATAAATGTAGAAAGTCAGAAATACTATTTCTTTTCATCCTTATCCCTTTAATAATGGTTAATTTGCAGCCTTTAATAGTGTTAACAGTTTTCACTAGTGTGCTCCAGTCGTTTTGAGAAGCACCGGATTCAGCTGCAGATTGCTGGATTTAACTACACATTTGGTTGGTACAGTAATAAATATATCAGTGAGCCTTTGATGAGAATTTAAACTGAAATTCCCTCAATAGGTTGCTTAATATCCCCTTAAAGGGAAATCACTGCTCGTTTTTTACAGTCCAGTGCAGCAGGTCACCTGTGTTTCAGCAGCAGGGCCCTCAGGACGTTGGCTCGGTCCTCAGCCTTGATCTGGTCAGAAATTATCATCTGCTCCACCACCTGGTGGGCGATGCCAGGCAGGGTTTTCTGGTCAAGGTCCAGCAGCACTGCACCTGTGGACACACACATACTGAGTTCAGCAATCTGTGATCTGCATCGCTGACTTTTAGGTCAAAATGAACCCGGTTTGTGTCTCTTACCGTGAGAGATGGTCTTTCGGAGCTCCAGCAAACTGCGGAAAGACAGCGAGGCCACGTGAGGTTTCCCCCAGCGGTCGGTCTCCTCCTCCACATCTTCCTCAAACTTGATCCATCGAGCCGTCTCCTTCCACTGCATCTCCTGGTTCTTGTCCATAGTCAGCTCATTCAGCTCCACAAACACCTGGAATCAATGTCACATAGGAGCACATGCAAGTGTAGGTGAGATACGGTAGAGAACACCCACGCTGTTCACACAAAACGACATGCGCCTTCAGCATATGCCAAATATTCATTTAATAGCCAAATAACTTTGTATTTAGTCAGGTGATGTACACTCAAACATTTCCAAAGGTTTGCATCTCAACAACAGAAATTAGACTCCATGCTTTCCACCAAGCAAGTACCAAATTATTTAAATTTACTGAACTCTTGTTCATGTTATTTCCCTAGATGTTTAATCACAAGAAAACGTTGCATGAAAACACAGAAAACAGCCAATGACATTTTAAAAACATGATACTAAAAAGTCAGAGGAGTGACTTTAATCAGCTCTCAGCATCAAATATCTGGTTAATAAGTAAGTTATTAATTGAACACCATGCTGGTCAGTCGAATCCGCTGTGAAATGACCAAAACACAAGCTGGAAAACACTCTCCTCATTGTATCATCCTGTGCCAAAATACACCTGCTGCATGCCTGTGAAATCACGCTCACACGGCTCAAACCTGACTCTGGCCCGTCACCCAGCCTCACCTTCTGGTACCGAGCCATTTGACCGGAGCCCACGTCCAGCAGGACGCCTTCTTGCCGTGAGGCGGAGCGGTACACAACGACCGGTAACGACTGGAGGAGCGAGACGGTGCAGGAGAGGACTCAAACACTGATACAAGCCACAGCGGCACAAAGGAGGGGACCCTGACTCTGACACACATACCCAAAGGTAACTCTGCCTCATTACACACACCTGACAGGACCTGTTGTTTACTCGGGCTGCTGGGGGCTCAGGGCTGTGTATGAGAATGTGTGTTAATAAAACATAGCTCTCCCTCTCTCAGGGAGCTCCCAGTGTCTGGTTACCTATGCTCCTCTCCCCCCTCTTTTTTCCTTTTCGTGTGTGAAAGGAAAGAGCTCATTCATTCATTTTTAATTGTCTCCATCCCTCCCTGTCCCATCCACAAAAGAGACGGGACAGTGCTACATTTGAGAGAGGGAAAGAAGGGAAAACATCTCCCAGGATTATGGTTTTAATTTTGGGGCAATTAAGAAAAGATAAGACCAGAAAGTTTCCCCCTCCCAAACTCCTTCAAGTGCAACTTAATTTAAAAAAAAGAGTCCCTTTTAAGACCAAATAAATAACAGATTTCCGGCCTGTCATATTTATCTAATTAACAAACATTCTTGAGGTAAGGAAATAATTTCTATCAAAACATCGTTATTTGATTTCTTTGTGGGATTCAGTGTTACCAAAACTAAAAGATTCTACCCCAGTGCTTTCTTGCTGTTGTGAATCTACTAAACCCACCATAAATGTGGATACTGATGAGGCTGTAAAACAACTTCGGCTAAAACCGAGGCCGAACATAATCAAACTTGGCATGGCATTAATTGACGCGTGTCCTGCTTTAATGTTAAAGAGGATGGACGACAAATCTCGTAACGTCTCACCTCATGTGGGGTTCGGTCCTGTTTACGGCTGCGAGTGGTCGGCTCTTTATGGTCCTTGCCAGTGTGCACCACTTGGCCCTTGGTGCTTTTTCTGACCAGGTGTCTGCGCATGCCGGGAACATCTTCGAAACGATGACCTGGTGGAGAAGAAGAGGGATGGTGTTAAAGAATACAGTCTAGAGAAAACTGATGGGAAATGTCTTTGATCTTAAGACACCATCAAATGCGAATATTAACCAAAAACAAACATGATATTCAGTAAACATGATATTCATGTAATATAACTGTAACTTAAATCCCAGCGCAGCACATAGAGGGTACATTTGTCTTATTTTGTGCTTCTACAGCCCTCAGCGTGCAGACGTTGACCTTGCACCCCAAGTTCAAATCTCAGTCCAACAAGTCACAGAGGCCACTTTGCTTTTGTTTCTGTGGTCCCTCAGCAGGGAGTAGAGTTACTCAGGCTGGCAGCACTACTGGTACTGAAAAGGATGTGGGGAGAGACACCGGATGGCACAGATAGGACACGACACAGCGAGCAGGAATTGAGTTTAAAGATCAATGGACTGCCTGGCAAAAAACTGCTGTTTCATTCAACTAGAACACAAAAAATTGTTAAAACACTAAGCAAAATTTCACTGTTACGCTCCAAAATGCAATGAACTACTCTTCCCAAAGCAACCATTACACTGAAAAACATAAGAAAATCAATATTTCCTCCAAGAATACCAACTGTCTTACCTTTATCAGAGCTTCTATGTCCTATGAAACAAACAGTGAAGCTTTTAAGGTTCTTCATCAGTATTTCAACTCATCTGAAAACCAGGCGGTCACCAAGAGGGTCAAGTTGCTCCATGATGTCTGAAGAAGGTTTGGGGAAGACACTGGAGTAAAATGAAGCCTGACTGGCATGCAGCTCTTGAAGGGAAGAGGAGGATTTGCGGTGGGCGTAGGGTAAGTGCTGGCACAGTTGTCTGACTACGTGACCCACTCGCTGCTTAAACACTGCAGCGTGCGACTTGTGCGAGTTTTGACAAATTTGGAAAAAGTTGCCATTACTTGACCGGCGCCTGACCCCGCAGGGCTGAATCTATCAGAATGCATCAGCGAGCTGAGGTGTTAATTCGCTCAGGTCGGACAAAAGGGGAGGGACAGTGATCTAATAATTCCTATTGTTGAGCAGCAGCCAGAGACAGAGACACTTTCCCAGGATGATTTACGGTGGCGGGAAGCAGATAAAAGAGGACGCAGAGAGGAGCTGGTGATGAACGTGTTGGGAGGCTTGACTGTGTCACTAAGCCCCATAATGACCAAATATCTGGACAATATCAAGCCCATACCTCCATCCACAGCCTCTTAATTTTCCCTTCAAGTCCACTTAACTCTTCCCCTTGTTTCATTCCACTAATGATTAAAGGTTGTGAACTGAGGTCCAGGTTTCACAATTAGCCACCATGTTGGCTCGGGCCTGAGTCCAGGGGCCTCAGCTGACAGCGGGAACGGCTAATTTAATAATGCGAGCCTGTCTGCCACACTCTCTGATAAGCTGCTGCTTTCTGCCGAGGGGTTGGCTCCTTGACGTAAATCTCCCCAGCTCTGAACACAACCCCACGCTGGGCCAGGGGCCGGGGACGTCACAGGGCAGCGGGGAGCTGACTGCAATGTAAAAGGGACTCGAGGGTGGCCCCCTGCCCTAGCCCTGATTGTTTTTGGAGGAATCTGAGCATCAACAAATCCAAGACTTCATTACTGTCTAATCATACAACAACAATTCAGAGGTAAAAGCTGAAAATCTATTTTATATTTATATATTATATATTTATATGGCTATCCAACAAGGACCAACATTATCATTCATTTGTAGCTGTGCTTCTGTCCATCTGGTGAATTAAGTCCAATTTTTGCTCTATTTTTGGTCTCCACCAACTCCTGAGGGAAATATCTGGCTCTCAAGCTGCTAAATGCTCCACTAAGTTCACCAGCTAGTCGTTAACTATGACAATTTTCTGCTGGGCAGGTAACATATAGTGAGTTTTTTAGAGCTTTTTTGCTCAAAATGACACTGATGTGAAAGGTGAAAGACAACCAAAAGAGCTTAAAGAACAAAACAATGAGCTGAAAGATACTAAAATGTTGTGTAGGGCTGAGGGGAACTGGGTGATAATTCTCTGTTATCAGTACAAGTACCTCCTGACACATAAAAGTAGTCATGTGATCCAAAATAAAAAATAACACATTATAGCCTATTTAAGCACAAAAAGTGCATTTCTTCACAGACCATTCACATGCACAGAGATAATAATTAATTCAATTAGTCAACCTGTGTCCTTTTTACCCACCTGCTGTACTAAACAAGTTTTAAGAACATAAAATCTGCCATGTGAGAATTCATCCACACTCACTCTTGATGCCGTCCAGGTCAGCGGAGGCCAGCGTCTGAGCCTCGCTCTCGTCAGTAGGGATGCGCTGGTACTTGGCCTGCTCAGCACCCGTCATGTTGCCTGTGCGGCGGCGCTCTTGCAGGTCGTAGCTGCGGCTGGCGGAGGACACCCTGGCCAGTGGTATGTGTTCAGGAGCCACTGCCTGGGGAGTGGTGGAGGTCGAAGCGTCGGGTGAGACCGGCTTACTAGATAAAAGCAGAAAAACAAGAAAAAAAGGTTAGAATTCGACACGTCACAGGTTAATAAGATGGTTGTTTTTTGGTTATTTTTATTTTCAATTAGAAATGTTTTCAAGCAAACCTGGAAACATACAGACAAAAACAAGACTTTTGAACCAACTTATTGCCACTGAACCACTAACATTTCTCCTCTACTGTGCTCCTTTTATTGGTAAATTATTTTTTGGTGATTTGGTTGTCACAGTTACATCCCTGGCACTGATTGGTTATCATATTTCACATCACATTCATGTATTTAACCCCTCTATTGCTGCTCCACCTTTTAATAACCTTGAATCTCTCAACTTAAAAACACTAACATTTTAAATGCATAAAAGACTATAAAAGTAATTATGGCAAGAAAACATTCTCAACCAATACAAACCCTTCAAAGTACTTTTGAAATCAACATAATGAACTCACCGTCTTTTAAATGTCAGTTGTCCCCAGCATTTCACAAATGTGAAACAATTATTTTCCCCTTACAGCTGCTGTTTTTAGGTTGCTCTCCAATCGACTGAAAACAAGCTAAAAGTTGTAAACGCAGCTTTATACTAGCCCAGATAAGACCCTCATGAAGTGGAGAAGTAAATGTCATAAGGGGAGCCTGGGGCTGCTGAGGTGTGTGGTGTCGTCAATAGCGACAGGTGATATATGGGTCTCTGAGGAGTGGATTACTTGGGTCCATCAGATCATTCCCAGCAGGCTCACTGGATGCCTGAGACATGGTAACGTACAGTGTGTATCTCACTGGCCAATCAGACGTGTGCCTGAGCAGTCTCACCCAATCTGAACCTCTTGTGAGAACATTTCAACAACATGGCAAAAACATGCATTATGCAATCATCACAGCAGGTAAACCATAATTATAACCCTCTCACGCCCCCTTTGTGTGCATGTGTGTGTGTGTGTGTTTTTTTTTCAGTCTAATATCTAAACTTTACTCACTCTGAGGAAGATGCATCTTCAGTATCTGCTCCTTCCCCAGACTGTGGTACGATATCCAGCTCACGGGCTGCGTGAGTGGTCTCTTTGGCCGCATGGTCTTCATCCGAAACAAAGAACTGTGGAGGGAATAGAGAGCGTGAGACCACTGCTTATTGTAAAAAACTGACGATAAAGCCACAATTTCAGCTATCAGATAAAAACAGTGGAGAAATAAAAGGTTTGTGCCTTGTGCACATTAGTCGACGGTAGAGCACTGATTACGTTTAGTGAATCGAAGTAGGAATTTGATTTTGAAAATAGATTCATTTAGATATTTACTGCACAAATACAGGATTATTATCTAAAGGAGAAAACTATTTAACTGTTAAGGGCTCCAGGGTTTTAATCAATGGATAGATAGATACACAGTAAAAGATACATACAGTATGTGATAGGCAAACAAAAACGTGGAAAGAAAAGAGTGAAAGCTGAATCCAATACATAACAGATCAACAAAACCAGATTAAAAAAATTAAAGCAAAGCAACTTCTTAATCATATTAAACTGCTTCTGCAGCAGTGAACAGTATTCAGTTACATTTCGATCAGGTTAAATCTGGTCTTCTATTGTGAAGCATAATAACAACCAAACATGAAACCCACTGATGAATGATTAAGATTATACTTAAATATTCATGGAGGGAAAATATGGTAATGTTTCAACAGTGAGTGAGCAGGTTGGGTATCAGAGCATTAAGGACTAAACACTCATCCACCCAAATCTTTATGTAAATCATACAGGACATTAAGAGTCACTGTGACACCTTCCTTACATCTGCATTAATGGGTATTCACCTTTAAACTGAACAGTTTAAGAAAACATAAAATGTACGTATAAAAGCAAGCAAGATTACAGCCTGACCAACACATCAGACTAATTACTAAGTGAGTGATTTATAATGTTGAATTGAATAAATATAATCACATCATGATGCAGTAAAAAGTACTTTAGGTGGTCTCATCATGACATATTGTGTCAGGTAGACTTAATTCTTCATAGTAGTTTATAGTGTGAGAAGTAATTAAGCACAAGAATAATAAAAAATATAGTACAACTTTGGTTCCTTCTTTGTCCTAACACCTTGTCAAGGTATAAATGATCCTTGGTATTTTCGTTAGAGCTGAAACAATTAGTCGATCAACTGTTGGTCGGACAAAAGAAAAACTCAACCAATCAAAAGAAAAATGAAGGAAATGTTTCACTATTTTCTGGCATTTTATGGATTAAATCGAGACAATAATACGCAGATTCATCAATAATCAAAATACTTGTTACTTGCAGGACTAGTTTTTATATAAACATGTAACAACCAATATAACCAATATAAGCCCAAAAACAATACTGACTGATAACATCATTATTAAAAGTATGTTTACTCCCAATTACAGAATCAAAAGAGGGTGAAACCAACACAAATATTACATTATATTATTATTAGTTTTAATGCAGCTGTTTGTCCCTATTGGCGCTTTTCCACTCATTCATAAATTAATTTAAAGATTAATATGAAGCCGAATATTTACCTCCACATCTTTGACTCTCTCCGACTCAGCTGGAGCTGAAGATGTCTCCGTGCCCTCCTCCTCCTCCTCATCTTCATCCTCTCCCTCCTCTATGGGGCCACTGCTGGGAACCTGGCTGCTTTTGTGATCTTTGTCCTTTCTCCGTTTCTTGCTGCTCTTCTTCCTGCGTCCCTCTGGGGGCAGCTTGGACAGAGGTCGGTGGATGTGGTGAGAGGAGTGACGGTGGTCTGCGGAGACGATATACAAAAGGTTTAAGGTTTTGGGTTGTTGTTTTTTTTGACACGTATAAAAGTGAATGTTGAAATGCATTCAACAAGAAGGAGACCACCGTGTGCTTACATTCAATGTCCTCCTCATGGTAGGTGTGGTGCTGTTCATCAGGTACCACAGAAGCAGGACTGAGGATCTGCTGGAAGCGCTGGACGCCCAAGGCTTTGTTCAGGTCCCCATCATCCTCCTCATCAGGGCGCGGAGTCCCGTGTAGTGATGAGGTGGCAGGGGCCTCTGGCTGCAATACAAAAAAACAAATGAACAAATATATTAAAAGATATAAATAAAAATCAGTAAATTGATCAGAAGTTTGGAGATCAAAGTGTTAAATACATAATATAGTCATAAATAATGAGATATTGAAGACATAATAAACTAATCTTAATTAATTAATGAAACTTAACATATAATATACTTAATTATTAGAAAAGATTTAATTTGAATTTCTCAAATTCTAAAGTCTGTTTTTTGTTTGTTTGTGTTTTTTGTCATTCAGATTAAGTCATGCACAAAGTATTGTAACTATAACCCACACACTACAATCCTAACTGCATACAGTATATACTAATCTTTATTGCATACTGCAGTATAAAAGAAACCAGATCTGCGTCATGCAAAGACAATCAAACTGCAACTTGATGCTACTGCCAATCTAAGAGATAGTGAAACATTTTCCCATAAAAATCTGTAGTTATTTTTTGTCTTCTGGGGTGTTTCTGGAACTGTTTTGTCACCACTCCAGTTTTCCTGCTGTGATAAGCTCCTACTTTATTTTTTGTGCATTGTGAGTGTACATCAACAACACACTCTAAAATTAAGGGTGTTTCAGTCTGCACACTGAAACTGTTTTTGGTTGTTTTACAGTGTAACCATACTACATACTCAAAACCTTAGAATGAGTCTGTAGTATGGATTTGAGACTCTTTCACTTAAACCAACACTAGAGGGAGTTCTGGTTCTGCAAATACACACCAGTCAGGACATCATATGACAAGCTCTCACATGCATACCTTCCTGAAAATGAGCCTTAAATTGGAAACAATAGCCATGTGCATTGATCAGTTACTCTTTTTCCACACTGTGGTGTGACAGGGATCATGTGGGTGTTAAGAGATCTGTTTTCTTGCAGCAGGATGCTGTGCCCTGCTGCGCCCCACTCTGCCGGTGGGATGTTGTGATAGGGATTAGCTGGAGCGACGCAGCAAGTGGATCTACTCTGGCTAACAGGATCGTGGTGTAGCCACCTCAAGGCAGAGTAAATGTTGCCATGACTACTGCCCAGAGGCCTCAGATCCTGCAGCGAACCCTTCCTGTGGCAAAACTCAGGGGCCACAAGTCATCTGATGCTCCCACAAATGGTTCTCAGGACACCCAACATGTCAGTCATATATTAAGTTTTCTCCAGTGCTGCAGGGAGTAACAGAACGTACGTGATGATATACAATTACTCATCTCCCGCCTGCACCTCCTGCTAAGTTTTGTGTCTCACACTTTTTTCAGTTTATGCACAGCAGACTGCTAAAAGAGTACACAAATACACTATAATTATGTAAAATTACAGTGGTAGAAAGTAACTAAGTATACTTACTCAAGCACTGCACTTAAGTTAATTGCATATACCTCAAAATTGTATTTAATGCTACTTGTATTCCACAAAATTTCAGAGGGAAATATTGTACTTTTTATTTTACTTCATTTATCTGACAGATAAAATTACTAGTCACACTTCAGCTTAAGATTTAAAAACAGAAACATTTCATTGGCTCATAAATTACAATGCATTGTTAAAGATTCTCAGCCTTTTTTGTTTGTGACCCATTATAAAAACGCAGTGTCTAGTTGGTAGTTTCATCAAGAAATATTTCCCCTTTAAACGGCTCAGATGGTTTCACTGGAATAACAGTTTGTGGCCTGAATTGTCCAAAATTCACAAATAAAACAAATATTAAAACAGTACATAAGACATTAATGCATCAGTATTCACAATCTAATAATATATATATTTAATAATATATCAGTCACAGGGGCAATTTTTTGGCAGAACAAGTGATTTTACTTTTGATACTTCAAGTTACTTTTCACTGATGATACTTCTGTACTTAAATGCAGAACTTTACTTGTTGCAGAGTAGTTTTACATTGTGTAATTGGTACTTTTACGTAAGTAAATTAATACTTTTTCCAACACTGAAAATGTAGCTTTTCAAAAATAACCAAAAATAGATCCTGAAATAGTATAATATTAAATCACATGATGTAAACCAGCTTTGTTGGCTCCAGTTTGACACATTTCTACATTCACAAGAAAATGTGAACGGGAAACTCAAGCGTTCATCCTGAATGTATCACACACACATAGCTCGACAGATATTTACGAATTAAGGCATGTCCAAAGAAAGTGTGAAAAGCTGATTCCCAGGACCCTCATAACTTTGAAGGTTTTTCTCTGACCTGTTTTAACATGCCACACAGAGGTGACAGAAACAGAAAGCCCTGAACTGAACTGTGGGCAAGCTGAGACTTATGAGTAAAAGGAGAGACAGGTCAGCCTGTTAGGCACACATTCAATATTGACCCAAGGTTCAATTCCTCATATAGCTTTTTTCCTGACAGATGAAAAATTAAGAGTAACTTAACTTCAAGAGTTAACAAACTATATGTTCACCTTTGTGACCTCCAGAGCAAACTACCAAAGACAATTCTGCACTTTAAAGCACCAACAACACTCAGACTTTAAGCAGCAGAGCAAATTTCTTTCTAAATGAAAAAAGGGCCTGAACGGAAAAAATGTGGCTCTTCAAAACATGTCAAAAATTAAATAGAAAACCTTTTTTTAAAATTAGGTATCAGCCCACGTCCTCGTCACTCAACACTTCAATATTTAATTAGATTGCCAATCCAAAACCCTTGAGTACACGTACACCTATCCAGATGTGTGCTGCTACACTATCCGGCAGTTTATTTTTACAGAGCTCTCATTCATATCACGGTTTCACAGTGAATCCCAAGAGGTGGGAGAGATGTGTGAGGGATTCTCAAAGAGGCGAGAGAAATTTCCACAACCGAAACCATGTGCAAAAACAAGCTGAGGGGAGCTGAGCAAAAACAAAACTGACCAGACAATGAAGAAAACTTTGACTAAGAGTAATATTTTTTGACTTCAGTAAGGAGTTTCAGGGACTTACCTCGCTCATGGCACAGTGAGCTTAATCGCAATCAACGTTTTGGTGGCAACAAGCGTCGCTGCCCTCCACCATGACAACACTGGAGGTCTGACCCCTCGACACTTCTATTAAGAACCGCAGGCAGGAGATATCCCTCTCCCCGCTGCTTATCAAAGCCTCGTGATGCCCTAATCAGAGCTCTATCGGCCAACCTGCCACCTTCACCAGGCTGCCCATTGTGCCAGGGCAGAATAAACAAGACTCTCGTTCTCCCTTTGAGGACAAATGCTGCCTGAAAGGACAAGTGGTGTTTGAACAGCCAGGAACAAAACCTCACGTTGACATTCATCTCTACATTTTAACTTTGCCACATGAAGCCTAAATATTGACCAAGGTGCTCTTAGTCAATGCACCTTGAAGGGCAACATGAATGCATAGGAACTAAACATCTTACGATTTTAAATAGATGCATTTTTCTATGGCTAATATTGACAGAAGACATGGTAAGTAAAAGGCTGGAATTAAATGTGATTAAAGTGTTGCTTGTGCCATAAAGGTAAAAGCACTAATGACTGAAAAAGCAGAGTCGAACTACAGCAGTTCATTAACCAAGTTCAAACAGTTGTGCATGGAACCTTTTTAGAAAAAAATTCCACCATCTTAAGTCAGTTAAATTTCAATCTTAAAGCCAAAATAAATCCATTAGTGCAGACATGTTGGTGCCTTTCAGCAAGAGCACTCTCATCTTTCTTGATAACAGTGCCACTAATCTTGTATTAACAATCAATAAGATCTCATTAATACAAAATAATGAGAATTTCAGTCACTTATATTATTTGTATTGGATTAAAATATTGACCTGATGGGGCGCCTTACAGCTCACCTGGTAGAGCTGGCGCCCCATGTACCAAGGCTGAGTCCTTGCTGCAGCGGCAAAAAAAAATAAAAAATGATGATGGCATTACATGGACACCAAAGTTGTTGAGATATTTGGACCGAATGACTTTGCTATATAGCAGAAATATGAGCTACAACAGACTGCAAAAATAAACAAAAACAAAAAGAAAGTAATGTTAGAGCTTTTTAGCGTAAATTTTTTTTATATCAGAAGAGTTAATCTTGTGAAGCAACATGAAGTTTTAAAAAGTAGCGTGCATGTCCAGTGGCAGAGTTGTATAATGAGGCAGGCACTTGACAGTGTGTGGAGGCTGCAGAGGAGATTATCTGTGTCGTGAGGTAGGCTCAAATCCCACACAGTCAGCACTTGGAGGGGAAAGGGGCAGATAGGCTGCGGATGTTGGAGTGATCGTTTCGTACCGTGCGGCTGATCAGTCACTGCATTCCTACATGTGTTAACATTAGTCTGCAAGGAGATCTGAGTGCCCAATGCTCGGAGTTTCTGATTATCCTATGAAAGCGTGAGAGTTGTAACCCAGTTTTATCCTCAGCCAAGTGTGAATTTTGTGTTATGCAAGCCCAATACGTCATATACTGATCCTCCAATCAGTCTGAGACCGGAAAATATGTCACCAATTCTTTGTTTTTGCTTCCTTTCTGGTGATACGCTTTGATTATATTTGTATTGGGAATTGGGCTTTCAGCAGCCAACAGCTTTATCATTTCATATTATACAAACAGGGCTTTCAGTAGCCAAACATGGAAAAACAATTTGCCTGCGGTAGCGCTGAAGATGTCCAACTGATAAACTTGTGTGTAAGATGCACGTCACAGGAAGTGTATGAGGTTAGAAAAGCAATAAAACGTAAAGATAGGTAGGCGGGGGTGTGAGTCGCACTATCTGAGGTCTGATGGCTCACTTCCGTACAGCGGCTGTCTCACGGAGTGTCACCGATACGACTGCACTATAATGTCAAAGTTCACTTTTGCAATATATGGATGGAGATGTGATGACAGAAAAACCTGAATGCACAACAAGTAGTTCCAAGCCGAGGGTTGGCGGGGAGTGACATAAAACTATGAGGTTTCAAAAGATAATTAACAGGACAAATATTTTACTTATATAAGTAAGCTAAACTAAGCAGCTGCTGGTTGTAGCTTCATATTTACCAGAGGGACATGATAGTGGTACCAATCTTTTCAGCCTTCTCTCATATCAAGAAAGCAAATAGTTTTAAAGTAATAATTCAACATCTGTTGGCTGAATGGAGCAACTTCCTTGACTTTTGTTATCCCCTTGAGGTTGCCAGAGGAGACTCAAGGAGTGCCGCCAGAAATGAAAGGAAGCCAGTAAAACTACAGTCTGATGTCTTTACACTTCAGATTTTGTATGAATATGATATATAATATAAAACTACCCAGATATAACATTAATTAGTGAGCTTTAGAGGACAGCTAACCTGTGCTAACCTATGCTAAATCTCCTGGCTCTAGCTTCATATTTGCTGTGCTGTACTGACAATCTTTTAACATTTCCAAAAGTGTGAAACTATACCTTTAAAAAAAAAAAAAAAAAAGAAAAAAAGAGCATAAACAAAATAGGTTGGAAACCAATTGTCTAGACAGTTTTCATCCAACAGATGCAGCAGTTGTTTGCACTGTTGAAATGCCCAACAGCAAGAAACTGAATCCCTACCAGCTCCAGCAGCTCTGCTCTGTAGCTGACCCTGACCTTTCTTTGTGAGACGAGAAGCAAAAAGAAACCTTTGCAAACAGTTTTAAACTGAGCCAGCAGCACAGCATGTTTCTTAATATTACTTCTTCCTGTTAATTAAAAAAAAAGAAAAACAGCTGAAATGCTCCCTGTCGAGAAAACTTTCATAATCCACCCGCTGACATTAAAAGGGGTGACTATCTGTAACTAGTGACCCATTAAGACAACATTAGGTAGTAATTATTACCTTGGATTTCAATGAGCTGTGGACAAAGTAAAAAACGCATTTCAAAAAGCACAAAAACTAGACTGAACATTAACCAGCTGCAGAGTTCGTGTAGAGGTTAAATTTACCTACAGAACCAAAGTCAGGCTACATATAGGCTTAAAAAAATACTCTGTTTGCACTATTTAAGGGTAATGTGTAATGACTGACTGGGAATGATAAGAACAACAATGAATATCACACACAGAAATAGAGAGCACACCACGCTTTGGACACACGTGTTAGGTTGAGTCCTCTATGTTCGAACTACACAAACTCACCTTAAATGTATATAGAAAGTCCATCAAATTACACACAGGGGTGTTGTCGCAGCGTAAAAAGCAGCAAGATTGCTATATTTGCTCTTCCGATGTCAAAAGTAAAAGAAAGAAGGCACCGGCTGCTTCTATGGAAGACAAAACGTTTCCCATTTCAGTTAGACCTTGTCACATGACCAGGGAAGATCTTCAGGGTAGGAAGAAGACATTACTCTTTTTTAAAATCCAAACAGGATTATCTGTACTCTCCCTGATCACACAGCAAACACACATTGTTACGGAGATAATAATTAACTTGGTGGAGCTGGAGCCAAGAGAACAACCCATAAACGCTAAGGCGCTGTCACACAGCAAACATTTTTATCTTACGAGAGCTTCTTGGTCATCAGGCTTCCTGCTGGCAAGTTTCATTATAGACCATGTCATATTCTTGTCCACAATCTCAATAAGTTTTATGGAAGTTAACGGTCTTACTGGCTATATAAATGATAATAAAAGACATGCTGATTCTGAACCGGCTTGACAGAATATCTTTTAAGGGTGTTAATCAACACCTTCACCAAGAAAATTACAGTTCAACAAGTTCAACGGCCATAACTCTTTGGATCATATTCAGGCAGAGGATGAGCCTGTGATCTCTGCAGTGAATATCTTTATCTTGATTAAAGACAATGTTTTGTCTGGTGTTTATGGGTGTATTTTTAGACCTTAGGGTTTCTTGGAAACGTCACTTAGCTCATATAAAGACAAAAGTGCATTTCAAATATTTATTTGATAGATATATATAATATATATATCTATATTATATATAGATATATATATATACATTTGATTTACTAATGTTTATATTTTATTTTCATGTGTGGGTGAACTATTTGATTTTGTTGCACTACTAAATGACATAATTTGTCCCTGATCATCTGTTTTAATAAGATAAAAATCAGGAAATGAGAAATAATAATAATAACAATAATAATAATAATAATTAAAATGGTAAAAGAAAATATGCGAAGCAGTCTAACCCATGGCCTCTCAGTCTGCACGTCTTTCATGGATCAGTAGTTAAATGTCATATATCCACTTCCACCTCCTAAATACTCTGCATTCTATGTCTGCACTGTTGGGGTTGGATTTCAAACTTGGACAGCACTTAAATGGAGGAACCCCCTTCTAGATTACATGCAGGTAGCTGCAGATGCTGGCAACACGGTCACAAAGTTGTGCAACGCTAGAAAAAGGAAGCAGCTGACTAAAAATGCAAAGCTAAGGGAAAAGAAGCATTTTCCATGTTAGTGTTGCAGTGACGAACAATATTGCATGAGAACACCATGAGCATGTTTCAGTCAGAAGTTATCTCTTAAGAGTACAACAGAAGATAAAGCTCATTAGACGTCTATCAGAAGTCTATGACTGTTACTGCGTGGAAAATGTCTACTTTTTTGCTTCTACTGTACTTTAAACATCATAGTGAGCTCTCTTCAATTTGGGCTGTTCTGGGAAACTTAAAAATCCATAACTCAAGTAAAAGAGTATGAGAAAGGTTGAGAAAGGTTGAGAAAGGTGGGTAAATCAGTGAAGAAGATGCAATACTTAATAATAATTCCTGTAACCCACCAAGCCATTGCAAACTGATGACGTCTTACAACATGGGGTTTACTGTAATATTGAAAGATTTTTCCTTTAAGCTTGTGATATTTTCTGCTGCAGCATCTTAATAATCTGAAGATGAACTTGTTGAGAACCTCTTGAGTTGAGGAATTCTGCTTTCTTTGGCTGCTGACCAGCTGCCCCCTGGCAGCACGTTTATCACATCAATCCCACCAGCAGCCATGTAATTATGTTTTTCATTATCTGCCAATATTATTTTAGTGTTTCCAACACTGGCAACCCCATCGACTTAAAGGAAAGGGGAAGGAAACTGCTTCAGTTGTGGAACCATTGACATTCTTCAGGGCTCTAATGAAAAGGGAAATTCAACAGTAGCTGCTCTCTGTGCAGATCTCAAGAGTTTTTGAACTATTCTGAACATTTTTATTTTTGCAGTCAGAAGTACTGCATGTTACCAGGGAATTGGCTTTAGGATGTGACTAGATTTCTACACACATAGCTCTGGAGGGAACAGCACGGTCCAAAATACACACTCTGATGCCAGAGAGAACTGAGGGAGCTGATGCACAAAAAATCCAGCACAGAGAAAATATGAATTTAAGTAGAGGCAAGTTTGGAGCTGAGTAGCTTCAGTCTCATGCATGAAAAGACCATAAACATCTAATTGTGAGCGTCAACTCCTCCTGAATGGCATTTAACCTGGTTTGTCACCAGGGTCACCAGCTCTACTCATGCGTTTCATCATGCGGTCGACGATACGTGAGCCTGACCTGACAGAATAGACTGAGGCTTTTCTGTATGCGGCCGTGTGGACTTACGCTGTGAACAACCGATGTCACGGCGTCTGTAATCTGGTTGGGACCGCTGGGGTTGCTCATTGCTCCACACTGGAGTTGCTGCTGGAGAGGCTCTGGAAAGCTGGTTTGGATCGGTGTGGCTTTAGCCCTTCTCTTTCTCACTGGGACTCAGACAGCTTTTGGGCAGCATAACCTGGAGACAAATGCAGATCCGGGGGTTAGTCCACATGAAGCTGGAGATTTATAAGCATGAGGTAAACAAGGCACTGAGATACAGCAACTGTGAGCCAGTAATCCCTCAATATGAAATGCAGTAAGAAAGTGTAATGACAGCGTGTGTTTCATGGTTTTGGCTCTTTTCCTCAAAACTTCATATCTGAAATGAGACCATGAATATCAAGTTGAAGTTGTGATTTTACATGAGCAGTGCAGGATGTTTTATCCTTTTTAATACAATGTTGTTCAACTTTAGGACTCTGCAGCAGGAGAAACGTACAGACAAAAACTCATTTGGTTGCGTTAGGGCCAACAAACTATTTCTGACTGACCTTTATCCAACTGAGCATCATGTTATGTTGCCTAATCACCTTGTCCCCTAAAATTGCAACAAGACTAAGAGCTTTCAGCCCTGTGTGGCTGTACTTACACAGCATTGCTTTAGTAGGTTAACATGCTAACTCACAACAACAATGCTAACATGCCGATGGTAAGCGGGTATCATGTTCACCATGTTCGCCATATTAGTTTAGCTTGTGAGCGTGATAACATTTTCTGATTAGCACTACACACAAAGTGCAGCTGAGGGCTGACTGGAATGTCACTTGATTCGCAGACAAATAAAATGTCAGGGCATCAGTAAACAAACATTTTCTTGAAAACATGAAATTCTGTACAAACTTTCATTTAAATTTAGTTGTTTTTCTTTAGATATTTCAGTCTGAACCAAGGTGACGAACATCGCTATCCCTAGAACCACATCACTAGCATGGCTACAAAGGGCAGTGATTACCACACAGTTTTTGTGATGTGGATTTAAATACCCAAAACATAAGAAGGGTCGGTACTTAAACCCCATGAAGTCTTTTTGCATTTCAAACCCATTGTGCTGAAGTGCAAAGCCAACAAAATTCAAAACCCAAAGCAACAGGACTCATGAATGATCTGGTACATCCTGTTTTTTGTGCTTTAATGTATTACTTTGTGTCCTGTATTGTTCTGTCTGTTTTTCTGGCTGACTTCACTGTTTTTAATGTACATGAGTTTGTGTTTTGTACTGTAAAAGTATTTGTTGAGTTTGATGTATTTTAAGAGGCCATCTCAGGACAATTAGTGCAATTTGCTCAGGCTATAAATGTTGTGGTGTGTGGCATTGGTTTATGCTCCATGCTTGTCCCTATACAAATAAACAATTAAATAAAAATACAAACATGCTTCACAGTACAGACATTGTTAGGATAACACTGTGTGACATGTTGTCTAACTACGGAGTCATCAACCGTTTCAGGATTTCCTGGAAGCCCGCAAGTACCTGAGTCCTCTAAGTGGCCTAAGGTATTGCCATAACAATGAAGTGGAAACGCATAATTTATATTATACTTGAGGGGCAACAACGGCAGAATTAGTAGAAGTACACACCAATATCTTTTTACAAACAATGATATTCTTTTCATTTCTATGATTCTTGATTTCAAGTGTTGCACTACTTCCTCACCACCATTCAAGGTCATTAACCATTAGAGTCAGATAAACAGATAAGAGCCAGATAACACAGTGCTACTGTGCAGAGGACCCTTTGATAAGCAGCGGGCACGTGCCTCAACCAACTTCCACCTCCGTCACTCTCGAGTCACCATTGTACGACATGGAAACACGGGAATCCAAAAACAACTAGTAGAGCTTCGCAGTACAAAAAGTTAATGGAGATTAACAACAAGAGGACAGTAAAGTACTGAAGTACAATGTTGTCTGAGAGAAATGTCATTCACAGAGATATAGATCTTGATAAAACTAAAACAATTAATCGAGTAGGCAAGTAACAGAATTCAGTGGTTCTGCTTCTTAAATGTGAATATGAGCTGGTTTTCTTAGTTCTTTATGATTGTAAACTAAATAGTTTGGGGTTTCAGACTGTTGGTCAGCCAAAAGAAGATATTTGAAGATGTCACCTTGGGCTTTAGTAAATGTGACAAGCATTTTATAGGGAAAAAAATCTAATAAATAGTACTTGCATCCCTAGTTCTTGATACAATTAAGAAGATCAACTGACATTTGCACGAACTAGTAAGAGTGTATAAATTGGTATAGTCCATTGATATTTATAAAAACTGAAGAATAGTTAAATAAATGTACTTGGCAAATCTTAATCCAGTCGTCTCGTTAGCAACATTGTGAAGAGAACAGCGGTTGTTCCTTCAGTGTGAAAGCAGAGGAGGGCCCTCTTTTGGTTCAGTGTCACAGTTATAAATCATGGTCTGCCAAAGCCAGCCTGGCGGTCTGACAGCAGCTTTCAAACAGCCGATAAGCCGCCTCCCTGATGCCTGAGCACAATCATATCAATGACCTTGTTGACAGCGGGGTACAGTTATTGTATGTTTCATTAAAGTAAAGTGGAGTAATCGCGATAAAAGTGTCTATTGGAGTTGGTTTTGGTGTGTTTTGAAGATTACTTTCTCAGTAAACCTAGACCCACCACTGTGGAAGAGGCTACACAGGGATAAAGTTACAGAACCCTGGGATCCTGAGCAAAAAGCTTGGGAACCAGCTTATCTACCTCGGGGCACGTCTACCGATAACAATAACGATCAGAAAACAATAATACTCAATGATCTATGATCTGATGTTCTGTGTCTGGCATCAAGTACAATCAGTCAAATGTTTGAATAAAAAGGAACTGCTTGTTACTTGTGTAACAACCAAAATGACCAGAAGGACACGGATGAATGCTGACAGTGCAAGAGGAAGTGAGGACAAGATGCTCTGTATTTGTCTTGGAAGAAGTTCTTCATGTCTTCCCAGAGTTATCACAAGCCCAGTGTTCCTAAAAGAAGAATAATGAATGTGGAATTTTTTACACTTCTAAACTTTTCCATGCAAGACTTACAGCCTAAAATCTGTGCAGGCTTGGATTTGGGAAATCTATCCTTCTGGGAGGAAGTTAGTATGAAAACAGGAAGAAGGCAACTGCTATAGACCAACGCCTGTCAGGAGGAGCTGTAAACTTATTAAAAAATACAAACAGGGCACTCTGGGAATCTTTGTCCATAATGTCAGACCTTAGAAAAAACCATGTGTATGCTTGGACTAGACCTATAGTCCAAAAATAATCTGGGTTAATACAAAGTGTATTAATGTCTACCCTGTGACATTAAAGGTTAACTCAACTTGTCTGTCCCTCCTACACAGAAAGAAGACACTAAGAGCAGAGTATACAATCAGGATCACGTGTGTGAAGATGCTACCTTTGACCGACAAATCTACAGAAAGTAAAAACCAACTACAGTGCAGTTTCTGTTTAACATTTCTGTTGAAATGTATCTCGCATATGTCACAAACTTTGCTGAATACACGCAACTCTTATAAAAGGATGACTTAAGCCAAAGCTCCTCTGTATATAGGTAAATAATTATCATATTTCCTATTTGATTGACCACTGCTGATAAAGTGTAATGTGCTTCTGTTGCAATGATTTTGAGGAACTAACATTTCCTTTGCTGTTATCTACACGACAATCAGGGCTAGCTAAACCAATTTAGTCTAAAGTTTATCTGAATATCACCAAAATGTTGACATTTGTGACGTACCTAGTAGTAGAAGTTTTTCGTTTTTTGTCATTATTAAGATCTGTGATGTGCACCTTGTGGTGACTCATCTTTCCCACATAGAACAAATGTACCTGACAAAGTCTCTTTGGTATGTTGTAAACTTCCAGTATTTCTTAACAACATAACCAGCTCTCCTCCAAAATGGGGAAGAGCATTTTCCTCCTTTTATTAGGAAAATAAAGGCACATTACAGACACCTTTTAGGGAACAAGAGAATAAAAAGTAAGGAACAAAAATCAGACGTTGGTCTGGCAAATGTCGGAAAATTAAGGTATTTTTTAGATCCACTGCAAGGCTTTTCTTAAAGAAAGGAACAACGACAAGCTACAGAAATTTGGTACACTAAAATATTTAGAGGAGCACTCCACATTAGGAGCCTGGAGAAGAGCTGAGTCAGCACTAAATGCCCACCGACCATGTGAAAAATGTATGAGGAGTGACTGTCTCTGTCTGTGTAATCTCAATAATACCAATTTTTCACTGTAATCTCATGTGACCTTTGGGGTTAAAGACAGACAAAAGGTTATAAACTCTTTGCTATGGCCCCCTCATAATGACATTAAAGGAAAAGAGCTAGACAGTCAGACGACGGGACAGAGGTCATGAGCCAGACTCGGACTCACGACACAAGCCCTTAACGCATTGGTTTGCCAGGACACCCCGGCCGAGCCCGGGCCTCAACCGGCAGTTTGGCACGTGAGCGTCGACCGCAGACTGCGTGCTCATCTACAAATTCTATCAAAAAAGAGCATAATTAAAGAACAGTTCAATAAAATATGCAAACTGCCAATAAAAATGCCTGTCTGGGAATAGAAAGCTTGATCACAATGTCCAAACCTCAACCAACACACAAGCCTGTACTTATAAAAGCAGGACAATGACAGGGAGGAAAGGACCAGTTTAAGGTTTCATTAGAGAACTTGGTTTATAAAAAACAAGACATTTGTTTTGTTTAGCAGGCGATTCATGTTTAAAGAAACAACATATTTCTTTCCCCCGAGACACTGATTGTGATAGCTCCAACAGAAGATAATTTGTGGCCTTAATATTTTATCTGACATAATAAGATTCTGATCACTGCCTTAAGTTCACAGTATTAACAGTATTATCGCCCGTTTCAGCCATTTGCAGGACCTGATGTAGAAAAACATGCCCGTGATAAACGGACGTGGGTTGAAAGGAGAGTGCTTTAAGAAGACAAGAAGACAAGCACTTGAGAAAATAATGTGTTTAGCTATGAGTGGTCAGTTCTTATTCGACCACAGCATTTAGAGAGCCATTGCTTCCCACAACATGTCCTTTAAAGGCTCTAATTTAGGATTTATAACAGTGGAAATGTTTGTCCTTCTAAAACTCAAGTGGCTTGTTTGAGGCCCTATTTTTCTACTGTGTAACCTGTGGAAACTAAGCAAGATTTGTTTACAGTTGTCTGTGCAATGCTTGCAGATCATCATGGTTGAAGCCTGAGTCAGCTCTACTCTCTCCTCAAGTCAACTGGATATTAAGAAAGTGTGACGTTACCAGGAAGAATCTTTTCGTTTGATTAGACTTGACCTGACAAATAACGGCTCTAATTGGGGACTAACCCATATAAACAATTAATTAAGTAGACAATAAATAAATAAAAAGACAGCAAGCGGTACAAAGTGACACACAAATAAGACAACTTCAAAAACATTAGAATGAGTTAACAAATAAAAAAATAAAAAAAAGAGATCCATGATTGTACCATACCTTTGTGTGCTTACAGCAGAGAAGCCACCGCAGACATTGTAGTGCAATTCTGAACTCTGCGATGAAGAGAGACCCGGAGTCGGTCAGAGTGCAGGACAAAACAAACAGAGGGAGAAAAGACAGATAGGGAGACAAAAGGAATGAGAGTTAGAGTTGTGGAGCGCAGCCGATCTAGTGCAGGTCCAGCCTCTCGTTGAGCCGAGTGCTCACTCAGACCAACATGCACAGACTGATAGCAGCAGCCTTCCTCCTCAGGATTATGTTTCCTCCTCCAGCCTGCTGACAAGTAGCCATGTGACTCCAGGACCCATTCAACACTGAGTCAGAGGCTGCTGCTCACACACAAACACACACACACACACACACACACACACACACACACACACACACACAAATGACCTCAAGCTTAAGGTGGAAATTCAACCCCTCTGATCAATATCTGTCTTAACAAACCATAACAGTGGTTTTGCTTGTTTTAGACCAGTGGTTCCCAACCTGTTTGGCCTGTGATTTCAAAGCAATGTCTACTTGCAAAGAGAGTTTTCTTCACTTTGTTTGAATAATGTGTTGAGTCCTGAAAAGGTTAAATTATCTAGTAATTCACAAAAGAAAGAATTAGAGGAAAATTTGAAAAAAAAAAAAAACTTTGTGTCTGCTTTTCTCTTCTGTAAATCATCTCCAGTTATCATACGATCTCCATTGTCCCCTAGTGGCTGGCTGCAGTATAGATCATAAACGCCCACCCATGTTAGCAGATGGGTCACAGGCCAAACTAAAAAAATGAAAGTACAAGTCAAATAAATGTTTCACAAAGATGGTTTCTGTCCATTTAGGTAGTTCTCATCATGCTGATGTACTCGTAACTGAGTCAGCCGGATGTATGAGTGGGATCTGTTTACCGAGGCAACAACCCTGCTCACTACCAGGCAGACATCACCAGCGCACAATGGCAGCGCCCATATTTTGCCTTCATTTTTTACAGTGGGAGGGAAGTGGAGACACGCCAGCCATGTTTATATAAAACCTATGATCCTGACCCCAAAGGTGGGGAACCACTAATTTAGCACGCTTACCTAATATAAACGCTGCATTCAGGGTGATTAAAGAACTGCATAGAAAATTTAGTGAGCTAAAAGCTAATGTCAATATATGCTCACAATGACAAGGTTGATGTTTACCATGTTCAACATCTTTGTTTAGCATGTTAGTATGCACTATAACACTTGCAAATTAGCAATAAAACCAAAGTACAGCTGAGGCCGATTGAAATTTCTATTCTATTCTAACCATGAATGTCTGTACAAAATGTCCTAACAATCCTTCAGCTAGTTATTGATATATTTCATTCTGGAGTAAAGTAGTTGGCATTGCAACCGGCATTGCCATCCATAGAGCCGCATTCAAATATCATAAAGAAGACACTCTGGAAATTGCTTCACAGTAATAATGAGCCAATGTTACATGTTAAAATCCTGTATCTTACCAGAAAAGGGCGTATCAAAATCTGTTTCTCAATCTGCAGGAGAGACGTTAATTCAAGTTGCGACACTCAGACAATAGGTAACCAGGAGTGAAGAAATGGCTTTTCCACATTAAAAGGTTTGATGAAAGACAACAAAAGTCTGGTGTCACTACAGTCAAGAGTCATTACAGACTGAAAAACCGAGAGTGAGTCATTATGTACCGCTTTCCTTTGAACACTGGGTAACTTGAGTTGCCAGGAAGTTTCTGAGTATCTGTAATAGGTTGACTAAGCAATCAATATTCTAAAATAAGCAATGCCAGTGATTACTGGCATTGCATATATCTCAAAACTCTTTCAGTTCAAGTTGGAAATAAAACTAATACACACCAACAGCATGTTTTCTGGGCCTGTTTATAAATGTGCACAGGATGTTTATTCATGTGTATAAAATTAATGGGAAAGCAATGTCATGTTGCCTAATATGTCTTTAATTATTAACTGGTAACGACTCTTGATATAATGGTGCATTCTGACATTTCCACACTGCAACTTGCTGCATGTCTATCAGGTTTTAAAACTTTTGTTCTAATGCACCTGTTTGTTCTTGTAACATATATCAGTTTTAAAAAGGTGAATTTTCCTTCAAATACACCCTGGCATGCGACAGGTTCTTAGTATATTTGGCCGTGGAAAGCAAACTTGTCATGTCATGGAGGAATCAACACTATTACACAATTAATCCCAACTAAAGTCATAAAAGCCGCCAGATTAATTGTGTTTTGCAGCGAACAAAGAACAGTCCTGTGATCTAAACAAGTTGCTTACCCGTTCGCCAAATAATCAAGTGCTGCATTCCACATCAGCTTATATGAGCCTTAAGGCTAAAGAAATACCCAACCACAGGAGGAGCCTGAGCGTGTGTGACTGTGTGTGTGAGTGTGTGAGTGTGAGATATAATTGTTTGTCCCCAGGGATGTGAGCTCACTGTGGAGTCACATGCGTGTCTTGCGGGGGGAAAAGAAACGCAGTCAAAGCCACAAGCAGCTAAAATTGAAGTCCACTTCAAAGTCTGGGGCTTTCCTCAATCCCCACAGTGTGCTGATAATAGCCTTATCAACTGTGGTCAACTATATAAAGAGGTGTGACTTCATGTGTGGAAGGTCGATTGACAACTTTTCTTAACCATGACCAACACACGATATGGTTATTTCATAACATAGCACAGAACAGAAGCACTGTCCTTGTTCTTGCTTCTTTATGCTATTTTAAATTAAGACATTGAGCCAATTTGATTTTTTTTGGGGGGGGGGCAAAATGTGTACTACAGCCAAACCATCTCATGTACATTACAAATTAAAGGATAAAAATAACATGTCAGAAGAGTTTTTACACAAAAACATCCCGCCTTCAGTTCTTCTAGCTTTTATATAAAGTGTTAACACGACTCGGAAATTCTCCCTGCAGCTTCCTGTTATTCTCCTCTCCCTTCAAATCTAAAACAAGTCTGCTAGACCATATTTCTGCACATAAAAACACACTCAACCGGTGCAACCCAGGACAAACTGTTTACTTAACAGAGAACAGCATATCATCAGTCAACAGGTGACCATTACAAGCATAAATGGTATGATCCCAAAACATGACAGAAACTGACCAGAACACTGCTCAGTGCTCTCACCCACTCAAGTCTCCTGTGCAGCTTGTTAATGCAAAGACTGACCTCAGTGTAGCTGTATACCACTGATGGCTTCCCTGTTTGTGGATCTCTATGGGGATCTGGCGGTAGCGTATGTTGATAGCTGCGCCTCTGTTGCCTCTGAGTGTTTTAGCCTGAAATAGCTCAACAGTTTAGAAGTCACCCAGCCTCTCAACATGCAGACGTCTCTACCTCCCTGCGTTGTTCTTCACAGCCCAGCAGCCACACTAACTTCACTCTGGTTTTGGCAGGGTCCAGCACTTCAGCATGACTGTGCTAAGTTATGTGCACACAGTCTTTGGAACACTTCCAGTCTCACACAGCTAACAGCTGCTCTCAGTCAATGTATGCCCATCTTTATCTCGCTCTTTGTCCCGTTAGAGGCTTCAGCCAGCAAGCGGCTGTGCTCGCAGCTAAGACAGCACCTGTCTTTGGGGTGAAGAGGGATTGAAGAGGCAACTAAATCCTGGCAGCTTACATAATGCCTGCCCATTGTCCTCTACTCCAGAAAAGAAAAAGCAATCACCGCTCAAGCATTTTTATACCTTGAGGTTAGGGTATATGGAGGCCAGTGCAGGTTATGAAATGGAAACAATCTGTAACATATTTAATACTGCCTGCAAACTAGAAATGTAATATAAAATGTAAAAATACGAAATAAAAAAACAAATATTATCAAGTTTTAAAATATTATTTACAATCATTTAATAACTGGTCAAATTTGATAGTAAACTATATATATATAATTATATATATATACTAACTATAAACTAATATATAATTATTGGGTTTTCTTTAAAGCTGCATTAACCCGTTTGACCATGTGAATACAAACCTAAAATATCCCCTTTGAAAGTTGTTATGGTGTGCGTGTCTTTACAGTTGCAGCCATCACAAAGCAACATTAATTTGAGTAGAAATGTAGAGTGAGTTTATTAGAGCTTTACGGTGAATACAGCTGCGGCTGGGGCTGAAACTAATGAGTGTGAGAGTGACACTGAACCAAAACAATAAAGTCGCTGGCCATAAAACCAAGAAAATTAGCTGAAAGGTGCTAAAATGCGCCTGAGAGCTGAGGGGAACTGCAGAGTTTCACATTACATGTAGTCATCTGAGCCATTCATTATAAAAAAAGATATTGATTTGTGCAGCTTTAAAGTCTTAAATAACAAATGCAGCATCAGCCTCAAAAATCCAATATCAGTTAGACTGTAATAAAAAAAGCACTGAATTATTACTGAGGTCTTGTTGCAATGGTGTCTCACTCAAAATAATTAAACTTATTTATCTGAGAGAAAATAAAATAAAAGGGAAAAACTGAGTAGTTGGCTAAGGCCTGCTGTATGCACACTGATGGACAAAACAGAAGATTTAGGGACTTGTTTTTAACCTCCACTGAACAGTAATTCCTCTTTTACAGTCACCAGTGACTGGTCCTATCCAGCTCCAGCCGTGTCAGGGTGTGGCACTTTCTTGAGGAAAAACTGCATCCAAGGCTGCTCGGGTTGCACCAGCTGCACAAAAGGTAAAGCCATGTTCTCACAGAAACACGGTAATTGTGGAGCTTTGACCCCGGTGCACTTGTAATAACTGTATTTAGCCACATGAGACTCAAGAGTGGGACGGGAATAAAATATCCCCCGGGCTCCCAGAACCCAAACAAAGGCCTAAAATCTCATACTACGCTCAAATACAAATCAGCCATTTATCCATTTTCCTGGGAAAAGACGTAATGTGATTACGTTTGTTTTTGTGCCTGCCAGTAAAATACTGAGAAAAGGCATGAGAATTTAAACTTACACCCTCACGGGAAAGGATGACAAGGAGGTGGTGGGGAGAGAGACAAGAATGCCTCACCATGTCTTATGTAGTTGAGTGTATAATTAGATGCTCTAAAGAGACTACAAGGTCTGGACAGCTTAATGGGGTTTAATGTGAGTGGACAGTAGCCCAAACTTTGCAAGTTCCAAGGTGTATTGCCAAAGCACTCAATGGTAATTAAATGCAACTTAGCAGGCTAGAGCACAGAGCGTGCCCGAGTAGCTCACTGGGTTGAGTGCATACCACATATATCAAGGCTGAGTCCAAATCGTAGCAGGGTTTGAATCTGGAGCGGGCTCTTTGCTGCATGTCATCCCCTGCCTTTCCTGTCGCTCCCTACTGTCAGAAAAAAACAAAAATAAATAAATAAATAAGCCAGAGCAGAGCAAAAGCCAAGCAAGCAAACTGAATTGTAGACAATGATGCGACTTCACAATTTTCTAATAGTAAACAGACCTAAAATAATAGTGTTTAGTTTAGGTCACGACAGATTTTTTAGGCTCGGTGTGTTTACTGACAAAACGCTGTGTCTGTTTATCTTCAGAGGGGAAGGTAAAACAAACATGAAGACACGAGAGGCCATCATGAAAAAAAAACAAAAAAAAAAAAAAACGTATTATCTACCTCTTTTCCTTCCTTGTCTTCTGCATGACCAAGCAATTTCACAACAGGAATGTAGAGACACTCTGCTCAACTGTTTGTGCTCTCACACCAAAAAATAACACGCCACTGTTGTCACAAATCTGTTTACAATAAGTCTGTTTGACGTATTCCACTGAGGCGAAGGAAAACAAATAAGAGCTGAGACTGTGATGATCACACAGATAAGATTGATCTATCTGATGTGTTCAAGCACCGCACAGGACTATACAACAAAAGGAAAGCTGCAGTGCTCTGGAATTTGCTGTTGTTTTTTTTTGTTTTGTTTTTTTTTTTCAAAAGATCGAACAAGGTCAGATTCACCAAGACAAACATACCACTATTGTATTTAGTCCTTGCAGCGCTCAGGTTTGGTAAGGCACTGTGGGTTTTGATTTACTTACATTAAAGAGTGTCTAGGAAAAAGATAATCGCTTTATCCTCTGTCTCGGCTTTACATCAAAGTGAGATATCTCCTCAAATAAACCGCAGTGCACATGGAGATGATATTGCTGAGTCAGCAGATGAGACACATCCTTCCTCCATCCTGCCCGAGGGCATGTCCTGACATCTATTAGCCATGTGACAGATAAACAAATTCTGGGATCATGGTTCCCAAAACGGGGTGGAAGGGACCTGGAGGGGTTCGGGAGAGGGCGGAGGGGGGGTTCAAATGTGTCCGAGGCGCAAATAATCACCAGTTAGAATTTGCTGGTTCATTTCCTTTTAATCACAAAATCAGATAAAACTTTTCAAAGCAGATGTTTCAGCAGGAAAAGCACAGGTGGAGCTAGAAAGATAGTTCAGTTCCAGTAATTATTCCAGTGCAGCAAATGAATGCTATTAATTTCACCTGTGTTTGTTGTGAAAAAGCTGAAATCAACTTTAAGTTTCAGTCCATATTCCTCTCGCTGTGAAGGGGCCATTTCATTCCCACAGTTTGGGAACTAAATGCCAAAATAAACAAACCCAAATAAACCACCAGATATTAGCTAGATACAGTTTCACACATGAAATGAACTGCCTGTATTTCTGTTTTATACCTTTATACACTGAATAATTGTGTTTTTGATAGTTGGAAAGCCACTTTAATAACAGTAACGCCTTTCAGTTTTAGTGAGTTGTCGTTATGTGGACATTTTACAACACAATGCAACATTATGTTACCTCATTAGTGTGTGACGCTCCACTTTTATCTCCCAATCTATTTGCACAATAGAAGCACAGAACAAAAACCTCAAATGGAGGTCAGTGGGATGGGGTTTCTTGTGGGGCTGAACGATTAATCAAAATATTATCGAAACTGCAATATGGAATAGCAGAATCATAAAAACTAGTTTGCTGATTTGAAAGATAATTAAAATAACACCATAGTGCTGCAGAGACGCCCCGGCCTACAAATCTTGTTCTCTAAATGTAATAAAACATGTTTTTAAATGGGACAGACCCTCCCAGACTTTCACAACATCATGATTTTATAGTTTTTTTCCTCAATTAAAATGAAAATTGTGATGCAAAAATGATCATTCCCACTTATTGTGAATCATATCCCCAATTGTAAAAATCAGTCAAAACAACAACAGGATTATGTTTTTGCCATATCATGCAGTCCTACTTTCTTCCATGGGTTATATTGATTTATATCTAACTTAATGCTGAAACAATTAGTTGATTAATTTGTAAGTTAATTACCAAAAAGCATTCCTGCCACTCAAATGTGAGAATTTGTATTTTTCCTCTTGTAAATTGACTCTGATAAACGATAACAGTTGCTAGTTGCAGTCCCTTTTATCACCAGAAATAAAAGTGAATTAACTTGCCAATGACAGATCTTTATATTTATACATTTATATATATATATATTCACATCACCCCTCATGACCTGAGAAACAAGACATCACGCACAGCTGCTGCAGCACCAGACAGCAATGAATGAATGAATTATGAATGAGTGAAGCTGACCACATCCCCAAAGTGTCCACACTGCCTTATTGAAAGCCCTGCACGGTTATTAAGAGACACACTGACACTGAGCCAACCCTTCTTCATCCCATTTACACTACTGAAGCTACTGTCAGGAGGAGTGACCGGCTAGCTCGCTAGGATGAGGAACTCCTCTTTAACGTGAGCGTTTACCAGCCAGAAAAAGGGGCTTAAACCACAACAAAACTCTGGAAGTCCGAGCACAATTACAGGGCTGCCTCCCTCCCTCGCTGTCTCTCTTTTTTTCCCTCTCTCCGTTACCTGGTTAACAAGCCGAGGAACACAAAGCGAAGTCATCCACCCGCAGGACACTTTTAGTGGCTGTCAATGTCGCCTCTCACCCAGGGGAGACAAGTCAACGCTCAACACCGGTTCACGACCTTCAATATAACGATGATTCAACGCGAAGGACGTTTTTCATACAGTGAAATCCCTTCTGAAGCTCACAAACACACACAGAATCTGGCTTATTTACTCACCGGTGACTGGTACTCACCTCAAACTCGCTCTCTGAAATGATTTGCTCAACCGGCGTCAAGTCCGCTGTTATAAAAACAAATTCACTTCCGGTGTGAACTTCAAATTAAAACACTTGGCGAAAACTGCGTGCGTTTGCCCCGGTAGAAACGTACTATTATACTCATGGGTGAGTTTGTATTACATAAAAGATACCAACAACACCACATCGCAGCATGATACAAACACTCACTGCTTTTTAAACGGGGGTTTTTTTTTAGCTTTATTTTGAAGCCAACATTAATCAACTTCCGGTTTTACGCTTTCATTTCTGGGAGCTTGTCGGACAGAAATTGGTGCGCCTGCGTAAAACGATGATTCATATTTCTGATGAAAGCCTGAGGGAGGGCGTCGTTCCGTTATAATGTTCATGACCTGCAGTCACAGAAAGAGAAAGGCATTTAATATCTGTATGCACAGTCCACGTGGTTAGGCCAGGAATCGATATTGAGATGAGGATTAATTTACAGAAGTATTTAGATATTAAAATATAGGCGTTTATCTCAGTAAAGCTCAGTTTTAATCTCCTTGGAGAGGTGACAGTGTTTCATCTATCATCTTTATCTACAGCATCACAAACAAATGTCAAAGAGGGTCCTTTAAAAATACAATATTTAATTGACAACACATCCAAAAAGATTAATTAAGTACCTGATATGAAGCTTGTATAACACAATCTTCAGCGGATGGAGGTTTCCTTCCTGTAATGGAACAAGTTTTAGGCCAACATGAGTTTGAATAACTAGGGAAAATGTGATATGATCAAATGTCAAATTCTCTTTTATTACCACAGTATCCACTGAGCCTTAAGAACAATATAGTCCTGCTTTATTTGCTTATCTTGAGGCCAGAGTGTCAAAAGGTTCATATAATACATTTTCCTAAACTAATATGTTTAATCAAATGACCACATTGTCATCAGTTCAGCATCATTTAAATACATTTTCAGTCCTCTCAGTCCAAACTCTGTCATTCCCCTTCTTGACCAGCAGTAGTCCTCAGTGCTTCCTGCTGCTCTGCAGTCAGCTGATCATCACCTGTCTGCTCACCTGCTCCTTATTTCCCCCTATGCTGCCAGATGCCAGATCAGCTATTGTGCTTCTTGTAGTTGTCGAGGCCCTTGTTCCGTCTATCTCTGCCTGTTTTTGTTTTTATGAACAAAGACCAACAAACTCCTTTTAATCCTCACACGGCTTATATCAAAATTGACATTTGGGAATAGGTAGAAATCTGATATACACGGTTAATAAGGACCCAGCTGCTCATTTATGCCCATTTAACTGAACAATGCTCACCAGCACGGATCATATAGTGAAGATATATCTGATTATTTATCGTATTCTTGACAACACCTGGGCTTAAAGTTACACTAACACCTAATATTCCTGTAGTGACTTTTCTTTAAAGGTGTTAATCAAAGTCATTTAAAGTATTATATAGCTGGATTCCCACATATATATATATATATATATATATGTTTTAACAATTTAACAATTTTTTAAATGTCAGATAAAATTATAATAATGACACTAAATGATAAATGGTTTATAACTATCTTTATTTGGGTCTTATTATACATCCACAGTAGAGTGCCAAATTTGATTTGCCACTTATGTACAGCATGTATAGTGCAAAGGTCACATCAGTATGAACAGAGTGACCCCTACTGGTGCTACTAAAGTCAGGAGTTTCACCTATAATAATATAATAATTATCATACAGATCTTTCTTTTACTATTAGATATTTTATTTTGATATTGCATGTTTGTTTCACTTTCACCCACCGCCTCGTCTGTTTATATTTTGTTTTAGTTTTTTAACTTTATTGTCACCTTTGATAGATATAACATAAAAAAATATAAAAATAAATATATAAATAATTATATTATTATTATATAATTGTAGATATAGCTATAATTTCTTAGTGTGTTATTTTTAGCTTTTCTTTTCCCTTTTTAACTCATGTGAAGTGTGAAAAGCGCTCTATAAATTAAATGTATTATTATTATAATAATCTAAATAAATACAGGAGTAACTTAACATAAAAGTAGATCACATTCATATTTTAAAAAATAAATCTTGAAGCACACAAACAGTAAAACACATTTTATAGATTGGACAGACTAATTGATCTATTTATTTATTTCCCCTTATTTATCTTTCAAGTCTAATCAACAAAATAAATCTCCCCAGATCACAAGTAACATGTTTATGTCACAGCTGATTAAGGTTTATTGATCGGGCAGCGGTTGGGGATTTTGTATCTGTCAATCAATGAGGAAATCAATGAGGAGGACGGCTCTGTGCAGTATTGATAGGTTGATAATCTGTCAATCCACAGAGTTAAAGAGGGGGAGGTTTGTTTGTTTGTTTGTTTGTTTCATTTATTGTCCACAATGTGGAAATTTGTCTTTGGTCTCATAAAAACAACAAGCAGGACGGCAACAACAACAACAACAACAACAACAACACTTAAACAACTTCAGGGCAAAAAGCAGGACAGCAATGGCAGTTACATTATGAACGCATCAACGGGACATGGTGTTCAGTTCTCCAATGGCACTCGGGATGAAGGAATTTTTAAAAATATTACGATTTGCCTTTAGTACTTTGTATCGTCTACCAGAGGGAATTAGTTCAAACTCCCTATTAAGTGGATGAGAGGGATCGTTAGCTATTTTGACAGCTTTTTTCCTAAGCACATCCTTATACACACAACTTAATTGTTTCTGTCTTATACCTATGATTTTTGAGGCTATGTTTACTATTCTCTGCAGCTTGCTTCTTCCTTTTATGTTTAGATTACCAAACCACATTGCCATGTTAAAAGTTAAGATACCCTCTATCAGGTTCTTATAAACTGTTTCCATAATATGCTTGCTCACTCTAAAGGAGTTGAGCTTGCGTAGTAAGTGGAGACGCTGATTACAGGTTTTAAAAATATAGTCAGTGTTTTCACTGAAATTTAGGTTGCAATCAATATATGTACCTAAATATTTGAACTTGTTTACTACCTCTACAATTTGTCCCTTAATTATAAGGGGCCGCACAGAGTCCTTTTCATGAAAGACAAGTTCCTGTGTTTTTGTTACATTGATCTCTAAGAAGCTTTCAACACACCACTTCAGGAGAGATGACACATATGCTCTGTATACTTCCTCTCCCACTGTGTCCCCCTTCTTCAATAAGGCAACTAGGGCCATATCATCCGCATACTTAAACAAACGAAACTTTTCCAGATCTAATTGGAATTCGTTTGTGTATATCGAGAAAAGTAATGGGGATAAAATAGTCCCCTGCGGTGCACCAGTATTAAGCACAATGATGTCGGACTGAGTATTATTGACCAGAACCTGTTGAGGGCGGTCAGAGAGGAAGTCCCTAACAAGGTGGATAATACCACCGTTTACTCCTATATCAATAAGTCTCTGCAGCAGGATGTGAATCTGCATGCTCAGTGATAGGCTGGTTTCTGGTTGATAGTCTGTCAATCCACAGAGTTAAAGAGAGGAGGAGGTCAGTGATAGGCTGGTTTCTGGTTGATAGTCTGTCAATCCACAGAGTTAAAGAGGAGGAGGAGGTCAGTGATAGGCTGGTTTCTGGTTGATAGTCTGTCAATCCACAGAGTTAAAGAGAGGAGGGGGTCAGTGATAGGCTGGTTTCTGGTTGATAGTCTGTCAATCCACAGAGTTAAAGAGAGGGGGGGGGTGGGAGGGGGGTTTTTTTTGGTTAAAAAAGAGGAGGAGGGGTCAGTGATAGGCTGGTTTCTGGTTGATAGTCTGTCAATCCACAGAGTTAAAGAGAGGAGGGGGTCAGTGATAGGCTGGTTTCTGGTTGATAGTCTGTCAATCCACAGAGTTAAAGAGAGGAGGGGGTCAGTGATAGGCTGGTTTCTGGTTGATAGTCTGTCAATCCACAGAGTTAAAGAGAGGAGGGGGTCAGTGATAGGCTGGTTTCTGGTTGATAGTCTGTCAATCCACAGAGTTAAAGAGGAGGAGGGGGTCAGTGATAGGCTGGTTTCTGGTTGATAGTCTGTCAATCCACAGAGTTAAAGAGGAGGAGGAGGTCAGTCTTGCTATCGTAGCAGCCTGCGCACCAGACCCAACCAGGAAGTGAGCGAAAGTTGCTAATTAATATTAGTTTAATTCGGCTTTTTTGTTGTCCCGCATCGAGGTCGAACAGACAGCCATGAGTTCAGCTGCTCCTCCGGTAAGCTGCACATTGACGTGACTCTGCGCTGCCTGTGTATGTCTGCTCGCTAGCTTTTTGTTTAGCTGTAGCCATCGCCGTCGTTAGCGCTGCTGTTAGCCTCCGTGCTAACGCTGTTTGTTGACAAGCTGCACCGACACATAAGCTGTCGGTGAGCTCGGTGTCTGTTGTTTTAGTGTCATGGTCGCTGGCTTTGCGGTGACAGACGCTGGTTTAAGGGTTAACTCGGAGTTGGAGAGTTTAAGATGTAACGATGCGCATTAAAACACAGTTAATGTGATTTCAGGTTAAAGGCGACAGCTAAAAACCTATTTTAAGTCTTTTTTTTTTAGACATTTCTGGGATTATAACCCAGCCTACTCAGAGTTGTCAAACATTAATAAAAGCAGAGCTGACTTATAAGGTATTAGTTACCAATTTAATACAAAATAATAGCACATTTAAAGTGTTAGCAGGTTGTAAAATGGCTGTAATTGAGTTATTATTGGTTAAATATTTGTGTGTCAGTTAATGCAACTGGCAAATGACATATAGATAGATAGTTAGATAGAGTACCTTATTAATTAAAGGGATATTTGAATAATGGAATAAGATATAAGCTGAGAATAGATCCAAAACATAGGACCAAACATATATATAGTACAATTACAGTGCCTTGTAATGGACTGTACATTAGTACTCATAATAATTGGATATTAACAATTGGATAATGGTATGGGCATCTTCACAAACAGAGCAGGGCAGATCAAACAGAGCAGTAATAAAACTAGAATAGGTAGAACTGTAAGAAAAGTCTAAAAATGTGTGTTTAATGCATCATAAACAACAACTTTAAGTTAGTTAGATTGGAAATTTAAAGTACTGATAAAGAAAGCTTCATTTTCTGTATCTGTCTGAAAAATGCCATTCAGTGTTATTTAACATTCGACATCAGTGTCCCCCCCAGTAGCCACTGTTTGTGCAATCATTGATAAGACATAAGCAACCACAAAGGTTGTTTAGCCAACCATTGTTTACATTCCTCGTTGATGCCTATTTGATTTGGTGGTTTTGCAGACTATTGGGGAGTTATTCCTCATCCTCAGTGAGATGGGTTTCTCAGAGGAACAGATCCAGGCAGCTGTACAGGCGGGCCATTTTTCTGTGCCAGATGCAGCCGAGTGGTGAGTTGTCCCAACCCCCCTTTCTTAAATCTTAAATATTCAGCATTCATTAAATACTAATACTTTTCAGTAAATTACTTCTGTATCCCTCTCTCTTATGTTGACAGGCTCTTACAGGGTCAGTATCCACGGCACAGGTTGGTCAAGCAATCATCACAGCCAGCTGAGACAGCATTTTCTGCTTTCAACCCACCCAAAGAGGCAGCGAGCACTTCAGAGACGCAGACATCTCCTTCTGACAGCAGAGGTATAACACTAAGCTGTTTGCTAAAGACTGTGTTTGCTTTAAAGATAAAGGATCATATCTAAGTGTAATCCATCATTGTAATATCCTGTTAATATTTGTTATCGTGTCATTGAAGTTTTCAGTAACACTTGACAATAAGAAATTGATGCTTCAGGGTGCAAAATTGAGTGTATGTTTCGTTTGTTGTTTTTACTTAAACAGCTTCCCCTTCATTGGTGCTGAGACCTTCACAGTCAGGCACCCTGTCCCCAGACCCACTACCAGTCGAGTCCCGCATCAAACAGGACAAAAGTGACTTTGAAGAGCAGCAGAGACAACGAGTTGCTCAAGAAGCCAGAGCAGAGAGAAGACAAAAGAAACAGGTCAGCAGCACTGAAAGGAAGGACTTATGGTGCTGAACGGTGCCAACTCAGCCGGACTGGCAGTTTGTTTGTTATAATACAGAAAATAAAATCCCTTAAACCAAGTGTCTTATTTGTAATCTCAGAACAGAATAGAACATCTTGTCTTATGTGTTTCTGTCTGCCAGGAGCGCGAGTTGGTGTTAAAGCGGATAGCTGAGGATCGGAGGAGCCTGCAGGAGAAGATCCAAACCAGTGCCGCCACAGAGACGTCTCCTCCCACTGTTCAAGGACAGAAGCTTGGAGGAAAGGTTCGGGCTAACGTGGATAACAACTGTGTCCTCATGGTGAGGCTATGAAGAACAATTTGGTGTGTGCATGAAGTAAATGCGTTCCAACTACAGAATTTCAGTTCCTTAAACCTCATGTTTGGGGGGTTTTTTTTGCTGCAGATTCGTCTGCCATCTGGTGAGTCCATGCGTGAACGCTTCCCAGCCGATGCTCCTCTGCGCAGCGTTGTGGAGCACATCACCGGACGTCACCCTTCCCTAGCCTCCTTTTCCCTCCTCCAGGGTTTTCCACGAAAACGCTTTGGCGAGGCAGAGCTTGCTTGTTCGCTGCACTCTCTTGGCCTCACGCCCAATGCTGCGTTATGTATTCAGACCACTCCTCCAGAAACACCTCAGGATGCACAGAGTCCTGCAGATCCACCTTCAGTGGAAGAGAATGAGCAGTCTCCGTGTGAGGTGTCTCCTCAGCCACATATCCCTGTCATGGAGGAGGAGGCAGGAGGCCAGGGCCTTGTTCTACCTCCTCCACTACCCAACCAGCTGTGGGAAGAGGCAGTGAATTATGCAGGAATACCTGGTGTTGGTCCTTCACTGTCTGGGCCGTTTCACTTCTGGGGTAAGTATTAAATCTGAAACTCCTTCATATATTATACAGTTACAAGTTTTAAGCATATTTACTACTGTACCTCCCAAATGTTTATTCATAAAAGCTTGTTTGTTGTGTTGTGCAGCCTATACAAATTATTTATAGAGTTGCAAAGTGGAAGGAGCTGCTGATTTCAAATTGTTCTTGTAATGATTTTCCTCAATGTAACTCAACACAGAAACATGTCAGTCTCCCAGATGATGTTACAATGCTACAGGTTACACGTTACATGTTATGACCATTAGTTTTAATTAAGGGCTGCGAGATATGGTAAAAACATTTAAACAAATTATTATGACAGATGCTGCGATTGCAATATGATTCACGATTACTGTGGGAATTATTACTCTATACTATCAGGAGAACAAGATTTGTAGACCAGGGCATGTACTTCATTATAAGGCTGTTTTGTCACACATTTCACCAAATTTAACAGCTCTTGCAATTTGCATAGTGAACTAATTTAAGGTGCAGATTGTGTTTTCAGTTTTCAGTACAGTCTGGCTTCTGCTCGCAATTAGCACCACACTTCACAGTAATTGGATGTTTCTTGCCAAAATGCACATTGGGAATCGTAGTTAACTTCTCGCCTTATGTTTATATTTTTTATCTATATATATATATATATATATATATATATATATATATATATATATATAGGTTTTTAGCTTGTCATTAGAAAAAACACATATTCCCTAATGCAGTTTGTCTTTTCTTCTGATAATTCAACCAGAAGAGTTTTAGGCTAATCCAAGCTGTGTACAATGCTCCAACTGTGAATCACTTCACATAGTCTGAAGGAAATGAATGGTATTTTTACTTTTGAAATACCTCCTTCCACATTGCAACTCTATTGGCTCAGTTATTTCAACAAACCAGACTGTTGAACATTTTTTAAAGATTGTTTGAATAGCTGTTTAGTCATTAAATGGCATTCCTGGTGCTGTCCAACAGGGCGTGGCCAGAGGTTGGTTCCTGGTAATCCCGAAGCAGCTGAAGGCATAGAGGTTGATGAGGAACAAGAAGGAGAGGATGAACCACCTCACATGCTCAATGGTACTGCTCCCTGCGTCTGGGGTTATTGCAGACAACTCATCCTTCTTTTGACCTACATTTTGCTCCCCTTCTCTTCCCCCCTTCCTGCCTCCACGTGTCTCCATTTATTCATATGTGTAGAACTTTTTGTTCTCCCACGCCAAAAACAGATGACCCTGGCCTCTCACTTTAAGCTGTTGGAGTAACTTTCATACAGTATGTTGCATAAGTTTCCTAGTATATAGAACATAAGTCGACTGTCCTAGAAATGTGTGCCATATGTGAGAAAGATTAGGATTAGGAAATATGTAGGTGAATGCCCCTTTCTGTCAAACATACAGTACACAAGGTCAGAACTGCAGAGCCCCCGCCACTTAGAACTGACTTCCCAGAGTGCTTAAAGCCAGTCAGCCAATCATTTGCAATCTTTCAGAGCATGTGGTTGTGATATAGTATTCTAAATGTGTGCCAGACCAGAGAGCGAAAAGAGCGCAATTCCAGTCGAAGCTAGTTAGAGGAGAATCAAAGATCGAGAACAACAGATGTTGATTAGAGGTGTGGGATATAAACAATGCAACTGTTTTTTTCAACGGTTAAGGTCAAAAAGTGACTAATGCTGTGTATATATGGGCTGGTTTTAATGTCAGTGACTACTTCAGCTTAGTGATCTTACAATATCCTTGTGGGTTACAATTGTCCCTTTTGTAATTTTCACAGGAATGCCGAGGCTGCCTTTCTTTCCGGAGAATAGGTTCCGTGGAGAATTTGAGCCCAGGCACAACTGGCCAGAGCAAGGAAATCGACTCAGGTGGGTGTCTAGACAGAATGGCACTGATGTAATGGAAGAACTGTACTGCACCTAAGTTGACACAACTTCATATGTATTACAGTTCCACTGGACTACAATTGATTTCTAAGTGTCTTGCAGCTTGTTGTAGTGAATCAGCTTTCACTAGGGTTTATAGTTAAGTTCTGTTGGAAACTATTTTGAAAATTCAGTCATTTTTTAAGCAAACATGTTGCTAGTTATTCTCAGTGTATGGTCTTGCTGCTTTTATTTAGTCTTATTTCATTGTAAATTGAATATATTTGGGTTTGGGGCAAATCCAAACATCTGAAGATGTCACCTTGGGGTCTGAGAAACTGCGATGGGCATATTTTGTTGCAGCAACTAGTCATGAAAATTAGCAGATGAATTGATCCTGAAAGTAATTGTTTACAGCCCTAATTGTATTGTATAACCCAATTAAGACCTGTTATCTATTGTTTTAAACAGGGTAGTTTGGCACTCTGACTACAGCACCCTGTTGCAATGTTATTAGTCATCATGAGTCATTATTAGAAAGGAAGGTAGAGAGAAGATGATTCATAAGAAGTTGCAAAGTGGTAACATATTTTCAGTTCAGTTTCCTGTGGTTCAGTTGTGCATGAGATATCTGTTCTAGTAAACAGTAGGGAGAGGGACACAGGGACACAGACCAAATGTTGCTGTTGCCTGTGAATATTTACCTGTACGTTAAAAGGGGGAATTGTGTTTCAGGGAGGCTCCAGAAGAGGACCCAGCAGAGCCTGAGGATGCAGGAGGTCGGGTGGCACCTGTCGCTGCAGGTATGGCTGCAGTGGAGCGTCTTCAAAGAGCTGCACGGCAAGAAGACCCCCGTGCCTCCCAGGGACAACCATCACCCCCTAAAAGACCCTTCAGGGCACCCAGCATGCCGTCCCTATGTGCCTTGGCCATCCGTGCTACTGTCCACCTCATGACTGGTAAAGAGACAATTCAGTTGTGAGACTCACTGGTTCTGATTATCTCATTGCTTTGTTTACTCACTGTTGTCGTTCTGTATCTCTACTCTCTCTCTCTCAGCTCCCAGCATGCAGTACAGCAGCAGTCTGGCGTGCCTCACCCCGGAGCTAGCAGAGCTTCTGCTCAACCACATGTCCCGTGAGAGGCTCCTACGTCCGCGCACCCTGGAGCTCTTCTTCGGCTGCCCGTTGCAGAAGTTTGTCCTAAACTGCTACCCTTACTCCACCAATGAGCTCCTGCGGCAGTTACGAGCCTTCACAGCATTAAAGCATCTGAGTCTGGTCAACTCACCTCTAATTACTGGTATTGAATTCTATCCCAAGACGGAGTTCCTAGGCGTTTAAGATCTGTTTGGTCAATGTCTGAGCCATTTCATTTTAATCTCCCAAACTTGTTTTGTCCAGACTCTGGGCTGTCAATCTTCTCCAGCCTGGCCAAGCTCCAGTACCTCAACCTGGCCTCCTGTAGCAAACTGACCGACTCCTGCCTGCAGCATATCACAGGTCAGGCTTTCTACAAATCGTATTGTGAACAAGCTTCTGACTATTACTAGAGAGGATAATAGTACAATAATTACAATTACGTGCAAGAATGCCACATTCGAACATAAGCTGCTTTGTGTTAAGTACTTGTTGAATGGGTATCAACGTTCTTTCTTTCTGCGTCTGTAAGGTTTGAAGAGCCTGTGTTTCCTGTCCCTGGACCAGACCAAAGTGACCGATGCCGGGATGGTGCTGTATCTCCAGTCAGCACCGTCCTGCCTCTCTCAACTCAGCCTGAACCAGACGGCTGTGACTGAAGCCTCACTGGTTGTCCTGCCCACCTGTGTGCCACAACTGCGGCTCCTCAGCATCAAGCAGACCAAGGTACTTCAGTTCTAAACTCACAGAACATCTGGTTTTTAAAAGTTACACCTTTTTTTATTATTATTTTCTTATGACATTTCCAGGTCAAGGATGTGTCAGCTTTGGCAAGGCTGTCCAACCTACAGACTCTGAACCTGGATGTGACAGGTGTGACAGAAAGCTCCCTGGAGCACCTGTCCTCCCACCCTACCCTGTCCTCCCTCAGTTTGGCGGGAATCCCTGTAGCGGACGGCAATCAAGCTCTGCAGATCATCTCAGGTTCGTAAATGGAAAGGAACATTAAAGAAAATAGAAGACAGATGGAAATGAAACTAAATGGTCAAAGTCTGGGGTGAATCAAACTCTTAAGGGAGGTTTTTACTTTTCTCCCAGGTCTAAGGTTGACACAGCTGACCCTCCCTGGACGCCACACTGTGACAGACAGCGGGTTATCATTCCTCTCTAGACTGTCTCTGCTCTTAGAACTGGACCTGACAGACTACACACAAGTCACAGACCAGGGAGTCAGCCAGCTCTCCACCATGACCAGGTTAGCCCCACATTTCTCATCTCACACAGCAGGTACCGTGGCAACCCTTAATTGGAGTTGGGAGCACACAGCTTATTGAGATGACCCAATTAACCCAGTTTGACATAGAGGCAGCAAAGAGACAGACAGACAGACAGACAGACAGACAGACTTTCAAGTATTCTTCAAGCGTTAGCCTCAGTTTAAATCTTCTAATATTCAAGATCTTGACCACATTATGACATTTATTCAAGAGATTTCAGTATATTCTACATTCTTAGTCCTTTTGCCACTTTTCAAAGTACCTCCTTTATATACTTTGTTTACTTATATTTAATCATTCAGTTGGAAACTACATCCAAACCTTATCATATACATTAAACTGTTCAGTCCCATTGATAGTAATTAGACTCTTTCCCACTTTTTCAACCACAGCACTCCTTCAGTTACTTCATACACATTTTTAAAGCCAACAACACAGTGTTGCATAAGCTCGTCAAGAAATATTCAAATATTCCACATCTTTCAGACAGCTTAGTGTAAACCTCTCAGCAGTCAGCATTCTCTAGTCATAACAGTGGTTTCTGGTATGATTACAACGGTTATTGACACGAGTACTGTGTTTACTTCGTATAGGTTGAAGAAATTGTCACTTAGCAACACTCAGGTGACAGATGCAGGGCTTCCCTCTCTGCGTGGCCTGCAGGAGCTGCAGGAGCTCTGTTTGGACCGAACCGCAGTCACCAGCCGAGGAGTGGCCGATCTCATCACCTGCCTGCCGCACCTCCAGGTGATTTTACTGGTGACATTTGTGCGTTAGTCGGTCTGTGAGTTGTCTATCACAGGTTTGGTTTAAGAAATGGTAAAGAAATGGTATGTGCTGCTGTGTAATTTTAACTGCTTGTTGTAAACATGAGTTAACTTACGTCACATTTAACACTGGTTTTATTTAACTTATTGGTCAGCATTTACTATATTGAAGTTTCAGAGTTTTACACTGTAGTCCTTGATTGCACTGGGTTAACACATTCATTAGCACAGTTGCTGCTGTTCTACAGATCAAACCCCGCTAAAGTACAGCTCATTAATTTGTGGTTAGAAGTGGTAAAAATGTGATAAGCCAGGCTTAATATGTGGCCCAGACAGTGGGAAGCTAAGGGTTAAAAGTTATGTAAAAAATAGAACCTCATGTGATGTACTATATTGTTATTTATACAGAGGATTTGATGGTGCATTGGATCCTGAAGGGAAGAGTTATTCCAACGTTTATGGAGTTAAGGCTGGTCCAAAACAGCTGCTTCTGAGTTAATTGGGATGTTTAAAGATCCCCTTTAGACCTGTCTTAAGATACACACACACACACACATACATATATATATATATATATATATATATATATATATATTCTGCTTGGAACAGTAATGTGTATCTATTAAGTATAATTTCTGCTTTAAAATCCTCCATTCTCAGTGTATGTGCACTTCAAGTTTCTGCATCTCACTTGTATAAGTTGCATACTGAACCAGTTTTGATATTTTGCTGATTTTAATGTGTTTTTCCTGTGTGTTTTTTTTTTTTTTTTTTTTTAGGTGTTGGGGTTAGCCAGCACTCAGGTGGGAGACACAGTAGTGAGGAGAGGTGTTATCCGCTGCAATCAGCTTGTGAAGCTGAATCTCAGCCGCACACGTATCACAGACCACGGTGAGGTCAAACTGTCATAATCCCTGTCCCTTTCTTCATCTGACTCCCCCCACAACAAACAAATGTAACGCTTCCGTGCTTGGGTGAACAATCTCTATGCATTGTTATGTTTTTCCCTCAGGCCTGAAGTGTTTGAAACACATGCATCTGGCTCAGGTGAATCTGGACGGGACTGGCGTGAGTCTGATTGGTATTGCGAACCTCCTCTCTTTCACCAACATCAGCAGCATTCGCGCCAGCAACACTCGCACCGTTCCCCCCGATGAGGTCTCAGATGAGGAGTGGGAAGCCCAGTGAGCATCGATACCCCTTGGTTGGTCCACACATATACAGCACCTGAGTGCGCCTCTGACTGCTGCCGTCCCCTTTTAGCCCCCTGAAACATGCTGCCGGCAGGAAACTCTGTGAGACAGCATAACTGAAACACTCCTCCTACTTGCACTGTTTCAACTGCAGCTAGTGCCACTAATCTGTCAATCACGCACGCTACCAAGTTGAAACCTTAAACGGGAACCTTGTGTTTTAAAAACCAGGCCATTTCTAACGTTTACGTATATATATAATCAATCTGTATTTACTTGCATAAACTGCAGCCCTTTTTGTCTCTGGAAAAGTCCATCTGACAAATAGCTTTAAAGCTTTTATGTGCAGCCTTATAGGTTGGAGCTATCGGTTTCTCCTGGTTGGCACTTTTTGAGCCGACTGGCAGGAGCATATTAAGTGTTGGAAATGTAACTTATAACACCGCATGTATTTTCAGACTGAATGACTAACAGACTGATATATGTAGAAATTAAATGAAAACCTAAATAACACATTCAAATAAATACAGTTGAAGAATATTGTTTGGAGGACATGAAGGCAGATAATGTCTTTCACTAACACTGAATCGTGAGCTCTCTTCATGTCATGTTGGATTTATAAGCATAAATTAACCTTCTGATGTTAGAATTAGGTGCAATGTTTGTTTTGTTGGCTTGAATATTCGGCACTATTGTTACATTAAACACTACTGTAGATGTCAGTGGTTAAATTATTTGTTTATTGTTGTAATACAGTTAACTGCTGCTGGAGACGAGATATCAGCTCGTTTGATTGGCTTTAAATCCATAAAAATGAAAAGAAATGCCCATGTTGCTTCTGTATGGCAGGTTATTGTTGCCACCATGACAATTTCTCATTAGTGATACAACAGGATTAAGTGGGTTCTTGTTAAAATGGTTGTTATGGTACGGTTGAACCCAGTTGTTATGTAGTAATGAGAAAAAAACATGAAAAATGAGAAGGATCTTGTTAAAATGAGAATTATGTCCATAGCGGTGGCAGTAAGACGCAGCCATACTTCTGTTACGTTGACACCCTTCCAGTTTGACATGAACACAGCTTTACTGTTCAAGCTCTTAATTAAGATTTGGATTATGTAACCTGTATGGGCGTTAGTTTACAGCAGACCATAAGTCACCTAAAACACACACACTTTGTAACTTAAAATGCATCCTGGAGATGCATTTGGATTCAGTTGTTTGGTTTTATGAATGGCATATGTCATATTACCGTCCATTAGCGTTAGTAATGCAGCCCAGACGTTTTCAGTTACATGGATACAGGGTGAGCAGCGTACATATAGTGTAGTGGCTGTAAGATGAGGTAGGATCTATGCAGCCAAGGGGCTCACAAGCCAGAATCCAAAGCAACTTCTTTAATCACTTCAAGTTTTGTCCTCTTGTTTACAGAGATGTAAAATAGTTTATTTTCCCTAACAGCTTTTGATTTTTGGATACGAGCACTGTATTCATCAAGTTTAAGAAAAAAAATAAAGTCTTCTCAATCTAAATATGCTGTTTTTATGTTCTGTTTATTCAGACAAACCTTTATTGCATTACATTGTTAAATAAGGCAGAACTGCTCTTTTACACAGGAAAAAAAAAGTCAACTTTTAAATATCATAAAATGACCTAAAAAGCTGCTGCATACATGTTGGGATAAAACAGAACATTTGGAAAAATAAAACTTTTCTATGAAGACAGCACAATGGAATGCATTCCAAAATGCACTGAGAAGCTTCAGGTGAATCAGCCCATCAGAGTGCAGCCTGAGGTGAAGGGATGAAGGGAGAGGTGGGAGAGGTGGGTGGATAGGCGGGGGGGGGATGGGTGGGGGATTGGGTCGGGTTCAGCACAGTGCGGCACTGTCAAACCGAGATGGAAATACAGTACAACAAGTACAAGAGACGTGTCCAATAAGATGCATAAGAGATTGTTTCAGTTCTACTTAGGACATTTCCTGCATTGAAAACCCCACTCGTCCCCCCTCAGGAGTTTGCAGGTCAAATCCATGATGCAAGATAAAGGAGTGGCTCAGAATGATTTATGGTTTATTTAGATGTCATGCGCTTGGTTTTCGATCTTTGATTTCAAGTGCTCCTTGTATGCCAGGATGTCCCTGTTCCACTTTGTGATGGTTTGATTCTCACACACCCAGATCTCCTGAGCCACCTGGAGAAAACAGATGAAGTGTTGTTAGATACAACTGGTTAGGTAAAATCTGTTTCCAACTAAATGTTAAATTAATCTATCAAATTATAAATATACCTGTTGAATTAGCCTGAAGTCGTGGCTCACTAGCATCATGCCGCCGTCAAACTCGTTGATGGCGTCTGCCAACGCGTCAATGGTCTCGATGTCCAAGTGATTGGTGGGCTCGTCAAGGAACAACATGTGAGGGTTCTGCCAGGCCAGCCAGGCAAAACACACCCGGCACTTTTGACCATCGGACAAGTTTCTGATCGGACTGACCTGGAAGATATTTCAGGTGTTAATGTACAGACATTGACATTGCGGACAAAACAAAACTTTTCCAGGCGATCTGAAATGGGGAAGAGTATCCCAATCCTACCTGCTGTTTTCCTGTCAGCCCATAGCGACCAATGATCTTCCTCATCTCCTCTTTTTCTTTGATCTCAGGGTAACACTTCATCATGTACTCCAAAGGAGACAGGTCCAGCTCCAGTTGCTCTGTCAGATGCTGTAACAAGCAGATACATACATACACATTTAGGGGAGCTCTGGTTGTTAAGGGGGCTCGTAGTACTGTTGAAACATGCAGGCGTATTGAGGTGCCATCAACAGGCTCCGTGTTTTACCTGATGATATCTGCCAATCTTGACGTGAGAATGTTTGCGGATCATGCCATCGGTGGGTAGGAGCTACAAGAAAAAGGAGAATGAGCTTTAATACTCAAGTGCCGATTGTTGTGGGATAATGGGGAAAATGTGCTGTACTTACTTCTCCCATCAGCAGCTTCAGTAGTGTGGACTTCCCTGCTCCATTGGGTCCCACCAGAGCCACTCGTGTATCCAAGTCAATACCAAACTCCAGGTTTGTATATATGTGCGGCTATAGGAGACAAACAGACCGGTGAGACTGAGATCTAGATATCAGTGAACAAAGCTCTGTCCATGCTGTGATATTAACCATACTCACTGTGTTGTCACTGTACTTGAAGCTCACATTCTGAACCATGATAACAGGAGGAGGAATCTTCCCACAGGGAGGAAAATAAAATGACAGAGTCTGAGGGAGACAGAAGCAAGTATTAGTGCCATGACAGAATTAAAAAAAAAACTGCCAGGGGCCACAATTCCTCAATATGCGTGCCACTGAGTCAAAGGTCAACCACGCCACAGTACCTTGTCATTCACAACTTTTTCAGTCAAGCCGGATGCCACCATCTTCTGCAGCGTCTTCTCTTTGCTCTGTGCCTGTCGTGCCAGCTTTGCGGAGCCGTGACCAAACCTGGCAATGTAATTCTAGATGAGACGGATATAAAAAGAACAATGAGTACAAGTCTTGAAATGACAAAACAGAATAAATATTTGTTAAAGGAATGTGACTCCTTTAATAAAAAAAAAAAAAAAAGTGGCAAGCCATCCTGACTACTTAGTAACAGCCTAAACATAAGCCATATTAATTAGTATGTATAGCTACTAGTTACATTTCTGTTTGGACATGGCCTTATTTTAAAAAGAGTTTGTTCTTAACTGCCCATTCTGTGCAGTGAGACATTTCCACCACATGGTGTCGCTCATTCACCTTCATGTGTGCTATCTGGTCCTGTTCCCAGTTGAAGCGCTTCATCTGGTTCTCTTCCAGCTCCTCTCTGGTCTTCACATACTGGTCATAGTTACCCTTCAAGCAAAAATAGATTTGCATGGTCATCCAACTGGGCGGCACAGTGACACATAATTAGTAACAGCCTTCCCCCAGTTTCCTTATTTAGTGTTATGAGATCACATGCAGTCCCATTCATACTTTCTGAAGATGTTCCAAAGGATGCTAGAGTCGATTTCCTTTCTGGCATTGGGCTCCTAAAATTTTACATTAAAAAGACACTAGCAGTGGTTTCAGCCAAGTGTTCTCACCGTGTAGTATTTCAGTTTTCTCTGATGCAGGTTGATGATGTTGGTGCATACACCGTTCAGGAAGTCTTGAGAGTGCGAGATGAGGACAAGGATTCGCTTGAACCTGACAACAAGAAGCAGGATGAGCAACACATACATCAACTGTTTGGACTCATTTATGTGGTGAAGTAGGGATGTGAACTTACGTTTTGAGCTCCTCCTCCAACCACACACAAGCATCCAGATCCAAGTGGTTAGTGGGCTCATCCAGCAACAGCATGAAGGGCTTGATGAACAGGGCTCTGCACATATACAGAATAGTCATTAAAATTGTATTTACATAAAATATTTTATTGTGAAACAATTTTTACTTTTTACTCTTATTATCTTATTGTGTTTGTAAGACTAATGGGTGACTGAACAGTATTAGTTTCACATTACAGTTGGGGAAACTATCCAAATATGGACTACTCTTCAACAGGTGTTTTTATGTTTGACCAACAACTTCATTAGCTTCCAAAGTTTGACTTGGAAAACGTCTTAATTTCACAGCAAAACATGAACTTTCTGAACCAGATTAATTCAGTGAAAGAAACAGTTTAGCACATTTAGCTGAATTTGTGGGTTATTTGTTGGTTATACCGTATTCAAAATACAGAATAGAGTGTGTACGAAGTTAAAGTCATGCATGGTACTACTAGAACTATGTCTTTACCTGGCCAGAGCAACACGCATCCTCCATCCTCCACTAAAGTCCTTCAGTTTCTTTTGCTGCATATCACTGGTGAAACCCAAACCGTGAAGGATCCGAGAGGCTCGCACCTCTGCCTTGTCTGCATCCAGCTCCTCCAGACGCTCATACAGCTCCATCAGCTTCTCACACTCGGCTATACATGAGGCGAGAGAGAATGGCATTTACAAATAATTTCAGATAACACAGCTAGAGAACAACTATATTAGACAGTTTCTCATCTTTGCTGAAAGTCTGTTTGCTCAAGTCAACTACACTCAAGCTAAGGTGTGTTTTGTTAAATTTAATTTCAGCATTCGGTTATCTCTCAACTGTTTTGCCTCTGTGCTAATACATTTCCCCTTCTCCGGTTGCAATTATTGCATAATAGCACATTTGACTCACAGTCCTCAGCGGCAAGTCTCTCTGCCTCCTTCTCCAGCATGATCCTCTGTTCATCCACCTCCATGACACAATGCAGAGCCGTCTTCTCGCTGGGGGCCATCTCCCGGGTCAAGTGGTAAATATCGATGTGCTCTGGAATGGGAATCTCACGATGCCCGATGGCTGACAACAGCATGGATTTTCCTGGCAGATACAAGAAGAGAGGGAAATTATTTTTTTTTATATAAATGCTTGATAAATTGATTCTGTGTAACATTCATCCCACTTGTACGGTGGGGAACTGCTGCCAATGAGCAAATGTGTAATATTTTGAAAAGAGATAGAAGTTAAATGACTAGTGTCTAAAGTTCCCAAAGCAGCACAAGGCACAGGGAAATCTAAAAAGGTCACCAATTAGATCCGTCATGTGCCAGGTGAGACATTCTTACCTGTGCCGTTAAGGCCAATAAGCCCATAGCGTCTGCCTGAGTTGAGCTCCAAGCTGGTGTCTGCTAGAAGCTCTTGGCCGTGGAAGGTGAGCGACAGGCTGCTAACGTGGACATCAGTGCTGTTGGGGTGCGAGGCCAGAACGCCCGTCACTGCCCGTGCCTCGGTCTTCGCCAGCTCAAATTCATCCAGCTCCTTTGTCAAATTTGCAATACCTGTTAAAACAAAATCCTTTTAGTATTATGCTGACATTTGACAGAATGTAGTATAGTAACACACCAATGCCAGGATTTATCTCAAGAGTGATGCCTAACAAATCACAACCAAGCCTTTAACATTTAGTCAAAGATTAGTCTCCTCTTACCATTGCTCTCTGCTCCATTACGCTGGGTCTCTGCTTGTTCACCCTCCTCACTTCCATCTTCAGGTTTTTTGGTACGCTGGCGGGCTTTAGCAGCCTCCTTCTTCTTTGCTGCCTTCTTCTTGGCTAAGTCGGATGGCATGGTTGTGTAAGGCTATTCAACAGGATTCAGGAAACAAAGGGGACAACAATCTTATTCTGTAATAATACCATGCTGTATCAGGAAATAAAAAAAAAAAAGGTATTACCATATTAAGATTCCCAGTTCTTAAAGGATTAAACTTTGAGAATACCAGTCTGATAATATGTATAAATCTAGGTTAAAAGTGGCTGATCACTTACAGAAAGTGGCGTTACCAGTGACGTAAGTTCCCCCACCGATTAACCAGTGGAAAAAAAAAAAAAAAAAATGGTGCCGGTAAACGAACTCACGGTGTAACTTCAAATTAGCTGATTTTAAGAAGGCACAAACGCTATTAATGAAGGCCTAACACAGTCACCGGTTCGGCCTGAAAGGGTGGTGGTGATGGTGGCGGTGCTGCTGCGAGCCAAGACCGCATTTCGGTCCCTTTTCGGTCCCACCTGCTCGCACGTTGGGCTCTCTAACAGTGGTAGCACAGCTGTTGCTAACGGTAGCGGACGCCGCTTTTAATTGAACAGCAGGTTTGTCACTTCACGGGGGAATTAGCCGACGGCTGTACCCAGGCAACTGTGTCCGCCGATCGGGACATAATGTCCCACAAAGGCGGTGTGATCGTTTAATTTTGACGAACTAGCCTGCGTTAGCCCCCCAAGCTAAGCTAACAACGGTAAGCTCGCTAACGGGAACTGACAGGCCTACAGCTAACTTGACGCGAGGCCACGACGAGGGTCTGAAAAACCGGCGGTTAACGTGTCTTTTTCTGGGCTACACTTATTTTAACAGACCCCCGTGTGTGTTACCCGTCAGAGCCGCAGCTGTCCGGTACCGTAAATACCGCTCTTACCTTGATAACGAGTCACTGGTCTCCGGAGCACACCGACGTCTCGTGTCCACTTTTCGCCGGGTGGATGTAGCCGAACGCCGAACCGCCAGACGGACCATATATGGTCAAAGAGGGCGGAGGGTATAAATGTACCCTCCCCTTATCGTGGGACTGCAGTAAAACAAACGTCCCTTTGCTGCTAACGTTAAATTGGTAGCATATTTAATATATACATCGGATAAATAATGCATTTATTTGCCGGGATTAACTCACAAAAAGACAGGGGGGTGTTAATAAGAAGCTGATATTACAATGGAGACAAAAAAAAATAATAAAAAAAGTTGTTGTGGTGGTCTGGATGGATCGTCTTCCTGAGGGTGTAACCATGGTGATAACAGTCACAAATCTCCGTATATTTTAAAAAGCTTTTTCCACTAATTATATAACTTTAAATGTTATTTCCCGTTGCTGCTCCGTTTTCAGGCCGGTTTATCGCACAGGTCCCTGGAGGTGATGCTGCAGCAGTAGTCGGTGATGATGATGATGAGGGTGATGAGGAGGAGGAGGAGGAGGGTGAAACGACGACGTGAGGGAGGAGGAGGAGACGTTACTGTGTGTGTGTGTGTGTGTGTGGCAGTCAGTTTTTTTTTTTTTTCTTTTTTTGAGGAAGTCAAGATAAACTGAAGAAAATGGACGACATATGTATGGCTGTGCCGGAGCGCTTTTTTTTTTTTTTACCGTGTTACCGATTAAAAAGGGTCTACTTTTTGTCTCCGGTGTTCGCGGAGATGGACCGTTGAGCGACTGATCGCCGTTAACACCAACGGTCGCGATGCTAGCCTGTTAGCTTGCTCTTTGACGTTTGCTCCTCTGACACATAACGTTACCGTTGAGGTTAAACTTCCTAATTGTTTCGATTTTTTTGTTTGTTTTTTTTTAATTTACCGACCAACCTAGATTAACTCTACCGGGTGACATTATTATTATTATTATTTTTGCTACGTTAGGTTAAGCTGACTACTTTAGAAGTGGCGTTACGGCTTGGCATAAATTAGTTAAGCTAATTAACGTTAGCTCAAAAGGCAATGGATGCACACAGAGTAACGTTACATTAGTTACCGTAGTTACAGTAGTTACCGTGGTTACATTAGTTACCGTAGTTACCATGACAGTGACTAACAGGCACAGCTTGCTTTGTTAGACAGCAGTTAAGAGGCAATACATGTTTGTGGTATTAAGCTGTTTGTTATTACACTAAAGGACAAACTAGCGTTACTTTATTTCGTTACCTGCAGGTTTGGGTATAACCTCAGTTATAAAGTTAACATAAAACAGCTTTTTCTTCACGTTTAAATATATATTATAATATAGCTTTTTTTTTTTTTTTTTTCTTGATAGGTTTATTAGAAACTTTTTAACCACTACCTCACCAGGTGGGAAAGAGGACACTATGGGGTATTTAAGGCAATTTTTTGCTAGTGTCAGCAAATCGGTTTACCCCAACGTAGGTTGTTTTTAAGGCGAAAATGTGTTAAGCTACGGCAGGAGAGTTGGTACATTTTCCCCCCAGAACAGCCTCGTCGAGTGTAGCCAGATAATGCGTCTTTCCTCCTTTTTGGCCGTGTTCAGGCCTGCTTTACCCCTCATCCTCGGGCTGTCATTGGGATGTAGTCTGAGCCTTTTGATGGTGTCCTGGACACAAGGGGACACCGATGACTCCTGCAGAGACGAGCTGGGAAATGGGAGGCTTTTCCCGGGCAGAGGGGATGCCCAGAGAGACCCAAGGGACGGAGCTGGAGGTGAAGACTACGAGCCACATATCGTGCCCTATCACAAAGACCCAAATAAGCCACACAAGAAAGTCCTCAGGTGAGTGTGGAAAGCAGCTCAGTAATGCATACAGCCATGTTCACCATATTACATAAGGTAGTGACAAGTCTGTGGAGTAGGAGAGAATATGTACACGCAATTTTATTATAAAAAACAACAAAATACACCATAGAGTAAAGACTGATTTGTTAGAATTACCACATTTACATTTGTAAATTCTCTATTTAATAGGCTTACATTTAAATCTCCCCTCCAATAAGCTAAATGCACTCAGTGGGAGTTTAGAGTATAGAGGGCCTTTTAGATTAGTCAAATCTCAGATATACAGTAGCTCAGATGAGGAAAGCACTTGTTGATCCACAGATGTCTCTTTTTCATGTCTTATTTCAAATCATACAGCCTAAAACCTTCACACAATAAGAATCTTTTTATCTTATCTTTGAACAGTATAATTGTTTGCCTCAGAATAGTTTTAGAGCTTCATGTAAAAGAGTTGAAGTCTATATTCTATAAGTCTATATTTCTTGTGATGGAAACAAGTTGACTATTATCAGCTTTATTCTGCTTTTGTTTTGATGTATTTTTTTTTGTTCTTTCCATTTGTCTTGACTTCTCCAGAACTCGATATATTCACACTGAACTGGGCATCAGAGAGCGCCTGCTGGTGGGTGTACTGACCTCTCGGGCCACCCTCAACACGCTGGCCGTGGCGGTGAATCGCACAGTTGCCCACCACTTCCACCGCACCTTTTTCTTCACAGGCCTGCGCAGCCCCAAAGTGCCTCACGGCATGACTGTGGTTGCCCACGGCGACGACCGTCCAGTGTGGCTCATGTACGAGACGGTGCGTCATCTCCATCAGCACTACGGCTCAGACTACGATTGGTTCCTCTTAGCCCAGGATGACACGTACATGCAAGCAGATCGTCTGTCAGAGCTGGTGGGCCACCTCAGTGCGGGTCAGGACCTGTACATGGGCAGGGCGGAGGAGTTTATCGGTGGAGAGGAGAAGGCACGCTACTGCCACGGGGGGTATGGCTATCTGCTGTCCCGCAGTCTGTTGGCCCGTCTGCAGCCCCACCTCGACACCTGTCGTAATGACATCCTCAGTGTGAGACCTGATGAGTGGCTGGGCCGCTGCATTATTGACTACTTGGGTCTCAGCTGTGTGGAGGTGCACCAGGTAAAAGAAAACCACAGACCCATGCATGGACACCAATAGAAATGTGCATGTAAATAAAGCATAAAGAGTAGTTCAATTTAACGCGCATTAGACACAATTCTGTTAATAGTAATATTTTATACTGACATTTCTTCTCTATGTCAATGTTTGTGTGGCTCACAGGAGATGACCTATCGTTACTTTGAGCTCGGGAAAAACGCAGATCCAGAGCGTGAAGACAGCGTACAGTTTAAAAATGCCTTTACAGTCCATCCTATATCGGAGCCAAACCTCATGTACCGCCTACACAAACGCTTCAGTCAGATCGAGCTGGAGTGGACTTACCTACAGATTCAACAGCTGCAGGTAATATCAGACACCGATATAAGTTTGTTTGAGTGACTCATTTGATTGGGCTGAATCAGTGTGCTGCTTCGGAGACGAGTTCTGTGTGAAAGTATACTGTTTATTGTGTTTATGCTCTCTCCACCACACCCACTTTTTGAGCCAAGGCAGAAATTCCTGACTGATTCAATATTGAAACATGTAAGAAAGCCAAGACAAGAGATCGGGTGTTTTGCTGGGGGCATGAAGTGTTACATTCCAGTGTCATCATCTTGCGAATATTATCTGCCAGAGAGGCTTTATTATGTTGTTAAAGTAGCTGCTAATGGTAGTTCATTAGCACTGTTTTGACTTAACTTTAAATATACCCTCACACCACAGAGCAATCAGATATGTCACCAAGAGAAATGTTTACCCACTTTGGACAGCGTGTTCGTTTTTAGCGTTAATTTTACACCTAACAGATTTTTGTGTGTACTCATCAGATGCAGATCAACAACCTGAGCGATCTCACGCCGGAGGGTAAGGCTGGCGTCACGTGGCCTATAGGAATCAACCCTCCCTTTAAGCCAAGAACCCGTTTTGAGGTTATAAACTGGGAGTACTTTACTGAAGAGCATATTTACTCGTGCGTTGACAGCTCCCCGAAGTGTGAGATGAAAGGGGCCGACCGCGCGGATGTAAACGCGGTACTGGAGATTGCGGTGGAGCGTCTAAATGAACGCTACCAGCCCCAGCTACGCTTCCGCAAACGGCGTCTGCTCAACGGTTACCGGCGCTTTGATCCCACACGTGGTATGGAGTATGTGCTGGACCTAGCGCTGGAGGCCTACACCCAGAAAGGTCACAGTCAAGTCATCGCCAAACGGGTTAACCTGCTGCGACCTCTAAGTGCAGTTGAGATTATCCCCATGCCCTATGTGACAGAGGCAACACGGGTGCAGGTCATCCTACCTGTCACTGCCCAGGATCAGGACTTTGTTGGTAACTTCCTCGACATGTACGTGATGAACACTTTGGACACCCATGATAATGTTTTACTCACCTTCCTGTTCATCTATGATCCCTTTGACGCACAGCGGGTCAGCCAGACAGATGTGTTTGCTGGCATTAAGGCCATGATTGGGGAGGTGGAGAAGCGCTACGGAGACGTGAAGATCCCTTGGATCAGCGTGAAGACGGAGGTGCCCTCACAGGTCAAGCTGATGGACATCATCTCTAAGAAGCACCCGGTGGACACGCTGTTTTTCCTGGCCAGCGTGTGGACAGAGGTCAACGCTGACTTCCTGAACCGCTGCAGAATGAACGCCATCAGCAACTGGCAGGTCTTCTTCCCCATCCACTTCCAAGAGTACAGTCCTGCCATCGTCTACCGCGACCAGCAGCCCTCCGCAGCCTCCTCCTCTTTTGCTTCGGAGTCGCTGCGAGACGGCCACTTCGACCGCCACGTCTTCGACGAGGCCTGCTTTTACAACGCGGACTACATGACCGCACGGACCAAGATGGCAGCTGACATCCTGGACAACGAGGAGCTGCTGGAAAGCATGGACGTGTACGACATATTTGTCCGTTACTCGGGGCTGCACGTGTTCAGAGCTGTAGAGCCGGCGCTGATCCAGAAATACGTGCGGCGAGCGTGCAACCCGCGGTTCAGTGAGGATATCTACCACCGCTGTGTCCTCAGCAACCTGGAGGGTCTGGGGTCACGCTCACACCTGGCCATGGCTCTTTTTGAACAAGAGCAGGCCAACAGCACCTAAAGGTCTGAGAGTGTTGAGGCCTCAAACACACAGTACTGCCCGGACTGAAGGATGTGGAATCCTGTGAATCGTTATATGGTACTTTGTGTGATCCATACACTGAAATTCTCACTTTTTTTGCATTTGGCAGAGAGAGGTCAGGATAAGGAACAGAACCATGTAGCTTACTGACACCTCGACAGAGCAATTAAGTGCTGATGCATAAAGTCCTAGTTGTATCCTCCAGCTGTATTCTCTGCTCAGTACCTATGAGTATGTCTGACGTATGAGTCGAGGATGTGTCCTCACATGCGACTCGCTGAACTTGGACTACTTGTATTTCTGCCACTGACATATTCTCACAGAAGTTGAGCAACAATATTTATACTGTTGTTGTTGTTGTTGTTGTTATGCTGTCGTGTCTTGAACAAAGGCCTTTATTGTTAATTAAATGAGAAAAATCTTGAGCCATAAGTCTCCCTTAGTGGAGATGTTAAGATAATACTGGAAACGTGCTGAAGCCGTTTGCTGCCTTTTCTTTAGGTTTTTAAAAAAAAAAAAAGGTATTAAAGAGTGATATTTCTGCTCCTCAGAGTTGTTTCTTCATTCCTTCTCTTCAGAGTGTGTAAAAAAAAAAACGCTTGTTTCAGTCTCATTAGACAAAAAGACAACTGTTTATAGTATCTGTATGTAGCACGTAACAGCCACTCCTGGAGGTATCTGTTATCTGCTTGGCAGAGCTGAAGAAAAGGCAATAAGGCAGAAAAATCAGTAGTGATGGTGTGTTCATATTCAGAGTAATACATCGTTTAGTCTTCCTGGTTCCCTAAAAGCCTAACTGCAGCGCCTGGAGGCAGTGAACAGTTTGTTCCGAAGAAGCCTGCCCCGCCTCGTCTCCTCACATTAAGTCAGTAATTCTCCACCCCGGCCCGGGCCTCCCTGGGTTTTTGGCGAGTATTCTGTACACATATGTCTTTGGGGAGAGAGAAGTGAACCCTGTGCCCAGAGGGAGGGTCCACCTATCCACGGTCCGCCATTGGCGTTTGTGGTTAACCTTCACAGCGAGATGGTTTGAACGAGCTGAATGGGCTTACTTCACAGAGCCTCCTCTCCCTCCTCCTCCCTTCTCTGTAAAGGGGTGAGACGATCACGCGGAGGCCTCGCTAACCTCCCCCACCCACAAAAACTTCTCCATCGGCTCAGGAGAGTAGCGGAGCAGCAGAGTGAAAGAGGCTCTTTCTGAGGTGGGAGTGGAAGCAGTGAGCAGTCGGCGTTACAGCCCTGCTGCAATACGCCGTGGAGACGCCTCCACCTGTTTCCTTGTGGTGAGGTCAATGAACAATAAAAGGCCTGTCTGCCACCTCTGAGGAACGCCTCACTCATGCAGGGAAATTTAACCCACCAATGAACCATCAACACTTTACTGACGCAGAGCATGAGAGTGTTCATTTAGTGAAGGGTGATTAAGCAGAGCTACACAACTTAGTTGCATAATTTGATGTCATTTTATGGAGCGGAGTTCTGCTGTGGCTGAGAATAGTAATGTTCTGGATTTTAAAGGGTGCGTTTGAGTAATTTTCACCCTTAAATGTTTGAGAACAACAACTTTTAAGTCTCAACATGTTTTTTAAATTTGATCAGCCGTAATACAGAGTCTCCCTGTGACCACAGGCATCTGTTATTGCAGACAGGTTAGATCTCCTCGTATCAAGGCAGCTCGTGCAGTATACAATTATCTAGTCGTATCATATAGTACACTGGATGTGTGGAGGATTGATAGATGGATTTAATCTATTTCAATCTTATAAGAATGATGCTTTGCAAGTGAAAGTTAAGGTGCTTTAAATTGTGGTTCAAACACCAAACAGTAGTTTGTATAACTGCACATGATGAATAGGGAGAGACACACGTTGGTGCCAGAGGTTAAAACTCAGCGTCTTCAAAACAAAGCTTGAATGTAGTGCACGTTTCTTGGTTGATTCATCAAATATCAGAGGTTGGAAGTAACAAAGTTCAAATACTTACTCAGTTATCTGTACTTTACTTGAGGATTTATCTGGAAACGTTTTACTTTTACCCCCTACATCCGGTAGAAATGTCCTTCAGAGAAACCAAGTGAGTACTTTTTACTTTAAAGTACATTATAGAGCCTGTACTTTTTCACCTCTACTTAAAGTAAAGAATGTGTGTGTCACATATACATTTGTGATCACAGTAGCAGTACATATAGTGATATTTATGAAGTCATTATACAAACAAGATAAATGACAAAAACCCTAATTTTGGCCCTTTTTTAGTTTTGTCTCTTGACTTCATTCATTAATAAATGCCATCCAGTCTCTTTATAACCTTTACATATGGAAGAGGCACTTGACTTTCCTAATAATTTCCCCTAATCCCAGTGACATTTACTGTGTTTGTTCCCACATAATATTTCTACAGCATGTTAAGTCATCACTTCAAAATAAAAATTACAATATTGTATGGCTAAACCAGTTATAAACCAGAATTCAAGCTTTGTTTTGAACTCAAATTTGTACATTTTCTGTTTGTAATGTCACATTAAAGAGTATGAAAGTCAATACATAACATTTATTTGAAATTATATTTTTGAAGTATATTTAAGCAACACTTGGAGGTTATGTAGCTTTAAGAGGCTCGGTTTACCACATTAATATGTCTTTCTATTATGTGCACAAAGAAAGTGACTGCATTGACATGTTGTGGTGATAAAAGGTGAAAAAAGACACTTTAGATCTCATGGCATTTACAAACTTTGGCAAGCGCTTCTTTATTTACATCCAGGCTGTCTCGTAATGTCACAGCTGTTTTCCCTTTTTTTTTTGTAGGATCACCAAACAAGTTTGCTCTTTACAGATATACAGTATTATGTATACTATACCTCCCTGTTGGTGATGCTCTGACAACAGTGTAAACAGAGAGAAAGAGCAGTTTCCCGCTCTTCACGAACACATGCAGGGAGTGGGACAAACATGTCAACAGTACGTCAGGGTTTAAGTAACAGGAGACAGTAGTCTGTTAACATCTTGTCAGCTATTCTGTGACGCTCAAAACTGAGGTCACCCAGGAGTTGCAGCTTCTAGTTTCCTCCACAAGAGGGTGCTAGTGAATCAGTGACTGTATGACAACAATGTGAATGCCCTGGCCATACAAAGACAAATCACTCCAGGTCAGACACAGGACTAAGATACTACCAATGACTACCGTTTCTCCTCTAATGAATGCAGTCAAATATAACTTAGTAACAAAAACACAGTTCAGAAAAATCACACCTACAGTTAGTTGCTGGTAGGGCTTATCATTTTTGGCAAAAAAGTTTCCAGAAGGCATTTCAACAAGTCTTTTCGCTCGTCACACAGACTGCTATGCCAGCTTTTTATATGTACACATACTGTCTCGTCAAATGTATTGATTAACGTCCATGGAGCATGCATAGGTCATCGTGAAATCATCCGATCACTTTTTGTGTACGCTGGGATAATAAAAAGAGGGTCTCACCCGTGACGAAGAGAGTCCCGTTAAAGAATTACAGCACAGTGCAAAGAAACCCCCAGACAAAAGGTTCCAGCTAGAAACTGACTACTGAGAGAAAACTAAAAAAATTCCTCCATCTGACATTACAACATATACATACAAGTCAAGTGTCGTTTAAAAAAAAAAAAAAAAAAAGTGTAAAATGAGATCGGTGCAGATTAAATCGTGTGTTACAGCTACTGATTGAAGCTTTCTTTGTTCGAGCTTCTAGCTCCCACGATGGTTACGGGATGGACCTAAAATAAACCTCCCCAACCCAAGATAGTACACAGAGGAACACTAACATTCCTGCCCTACTAATTCAAAACTCATGGAAGCTCCCATACTGCACCACGTAACACCCCCACCCCCCCTAACCCAAACCCCCTCCAACCCCAACACCACCCCCCCCAAACAAACACACACAGATAGTCTGTCGTATACTGTACAGCTGGCCCTCTTAAGGGACAGAAACATATTTACATTCACATCTCTAGAAAAGAAGAAAACTTCATTTTTTTCTTCTTCTTGTAACATAAAAAGTGTAGAAATGGACACAATTCTCCAGACCTGGGTTTAAGCGATCAATGCAATAACAGCTTTAGGGTTTTTTACATAAAACTCGAGGCCTAATTGGCTACAAAACGCAAACATTCGAGGAGTAAATTCACTCTGAAACTACCCAAATTGTTCGGATTTGTTAAGACATCTTTGCACTTTCCTGTTAAACCCAGGTGAGGTGAATTTCTTGCCCACTTTTATTTCAGTGATCATGTTCTCTTCTTCTCGTTGCAACCTTTGGTAACACCTTCGTGACATTAACTGGCAAAAAAAACACCACACAAGGAAGAGGCAGTGAGCGACTCTGACGAAAACAAATCGGTCGACAACTCCCAACATGTAGAGGCATATTTGTCATTTTGCTAATGATTAAGGGAAGAAAAAAAGCTATTCTTATGATGATCAATACTTGTTTCTCCTTCATTAAAACACTATTCTTGCTATAAACAGACGTAGAGCCGTTACTGCGATAATACTTTAGATCATATGACTAATACTGTTGTAGGAATTACTGTAAAAAGACTCTTTAATAAGACTAAAATGAGACACGCTGGAGGTTTTACTAATTAATTCACTCAAACTTGAAAATGAATGAAATCCACACCTCATGTTTAATAGATAGCGTTGATTCCCTGCAACCCCCCGAATGTGTCACACTGTAATCTCGACTTTGCTGGTGTAATTAATCAATCTTTCGAAAAACTACTCTCCTAATGAGAACAAATAAAAAAAACACAGTCACACTTACAACCACAAAAACAAAGGATCAAAAAAGAAAAACATAAAAGAGTCTCATCCAGAGCGCTGGGAGGGTCGACTGTGACACGGGTTTACATCATGTTCTGTCGGACACAGTATCAAACTCTTTGAGTCGAGAATCCCAAAAAGTACCACAGCAACGTGAGTGAGTGAGCAGCCGATTTCGGAGTTTGTCTTGACAGGTTTTGCGACATATTTACAAAAGCAGAGAGTGGCGGACGGAAAGGGGAGAGTTGTGTTTATTAGGCAGTGAGTCTGAGGATGCCTGTGTTCAGAGGGGCTTGACCTCCAGTGGGTGGGTGGGAGGTGAATGCATGCCGTTTAATGATGATAATCTCACAGTCCTGGGCAAAACTGAACAAATATGACCGCGTATGTGCGTCGAAATCTGGCTCCCACACGTGCGCATCGCTGCTGTCGTGAGGAAAACCACCTCCTCTCAGCTCAAATTTCATGACAAATGCTGTCTTTTTTTAGTTTAGAGGTTTAAGGTTTCACCAGACTACAGCGATGGCCCCACACACATCCAACACACACACACACACACACACACACACACACACACACACACAGCTCTGAAGTCAGATGCAGGGATTCAGGAGGGCCTTGGTTTAGGTGTTGCGCACAGCTAAGGCCTGTTCCAGCTCCTGTCTCCTCTGCTGGATCTGTCGAGGAAAGAAAAGGAAGAAGACGTCATCTGAGCGTCTAGAGGCAGAGCTTGGATGAGGTAAAAGGTGATTAGATGGCGTTTCCTCACCTTGCAGTAGAAATAGCGGCTGACGGCCTCCTGGGACCAGGGCTCGTGGTAAAACGCCGCCCTCCTCTCCTCCTCGGGGTTCCCCACCACGTCTGTCATTAGCTACAGCCAAAAAAAGGGACAATCATCAATGCTGGGACTGAATAATAACCATCATTAGTATCATTTTTTAGGGGAGTTTGGGGAAGAATTAGCTACAATAAGCTGCATATTGAAGGTAAATTCCAGGAGGAAGTATTTAAAACCAATTAATAATCTTTCTGAGGAGGATTCCTAATTATTTTGGTGATCTTTCATGTTTCATTCCCTCTTGAACAACAAATTATAGCCACTAGGGGGCACTTAGCTGGGGTTTGGGCTTCAAGTTAGTCAATTCTAGTCAGTTTATTTGTCTTTTAAATGTATTACTAACAGAGTTAAAAGCCAGACTTTGTGTATCTTTATTGGTAACGTGATGCTCTACTCAGAGGTGTGAATAAAGATGGCTTCAATGAGCCTTTACATCCAGAATATATGTCAAATAGAGGCGGTGAGTTTCATTGTGCCTTTAAGTTACGAAAGGAGCAGCATGAGCGTGCTTGCATATAAATAGTAATATCGAACCTTAAGGTCTCGGCTTTGGGATTTGAGCCAGTCCTGGATGTAGCCCTTGGGATCTCTGGAGAAACTGAGCATGAAGTCCCTCTGGATCTTCAGCTGGTTGATGGACTCGATGGTCTCATGAATCTGAAAGAGGAAAAGTAACACACTATACATTAAGGGGAAAAAAGGCAGAACATTTTCCTTCATTTATTTAAAAACTGCAGCTGAATAATCTATGTATACGGATAAAAAACAACATCTAATTGATTCTGTATCAACTCTCAGAACTAAAATGTAAATATAAATAGCAAATAAACAGTTCCTCAGGGAAGGAGGTGTGTAAAGATGTACAAATTAAGAGGAGAAATGGCTGAACTGGTGAATTTAGTAACACTTGAAAAAGGCAGAAGTATGCAACACTCGATATAAGCTCTTAAAGGCCTGTCTTGTTATGTTAGTATCGTGTTGTATCTGTGTTGATCTCCTTAAACGTTTACATGAAAGAGATAAAAGAGTGTGAAACAGGTATCATCTGTGTCCACAGCTACTGTGTGTGTGAGTGTTTTCTGTCCCGCCCTTCCTTCCTGCTCACCCACAGCAACCTGCTCTTCACAGAAATGTCACTTTAATGTGTCTGTCAAACATTAAGAATAGCTCCCACATTTAAAACAACAGGGGCGTGAAATCCTCTGCAGGCAAACTACTGCGATAAAACAAGAACTCCTGTTTTAAAAAAAATGTAAGTAATAAACTTTGTTGCCCCCATGTGGCTGCCTACTTATCACCTCAGTGTGATTTACAGCATCAAAGCTTTGTGTTCTGGGATGTCGGCGATCTCACCTTGTTGTCGAGCGAGGCGATTTCCTGCTGGTTGGCAGTGGAGAGGAGGAAGCTGCTCATCTGGCTCTTCAGGGGGTCTTCCACCTCTACGTCGATGTCGTAGCACGCCGTCTTCTTCTGGTCGTTGGGATCCACGCTGTCGCAGAGCGGAAAAACGTTCATTGAGACAAAATCATTACAGAACCACGAGAGAGATCTCACATATCGTTTATAATGTCTAATGGCCACCACTTTAGTTTAATTATATTTTTATTTCTTATTTAAAATAATTTGATTTTTATGTTTTGTATTAAGTTAATTGAAAGAAAACAATACCTCAAAGGTATTTATAAAAAGCTATTTATTTTCTAGCTCCTGACTCCACACAGAGACAACAAAGACAGCTTTAATTGCTATTTTATTAAAATATCTTTTAAAAATGTCACTTCTTTCTACAAGAGCAGGAACAAACGCTCTTCACAAAGAGAAAATAAACACAACCCGGCACAAATGTGTCACATTGCTGTAGAAGAGGAATCTACCTGATAACGTGGTTGATGACGATGGGGTCAGGAGGTAAGAGGAGGTTGGTGAGGCGCTGAGGGATCTCAGAGAACTTCAGCCGAGGACAATCAAAAATCTGCAAAGGAATAAACAAACATCTGTGAGAAAATCACCAAGTTTATTTATAACTATGGCTGAAAATACCTTAATAGGTTGATTGATTTTACTGAAGCATGTGGACGCACAGTTTTAAATATTAATTTAACTCGTCAGATCATTTTACTCAGATTTGACTGAAGTTTTTCTCTGACACACAACTTTAATTGTAGACTTTGTTTATAAAGTGGAATGTGTATCATATATAAATTCAGTATTACAAGAGTGATATACTTCATATTAATAATGATGTTGCAGCAATATCATATTTTCAGTGGTGGAAAGTACTTTTACTCAAGTACTTATATGCTACTTTATATATCCACCCCACTACAGTTCAGAGGGAAATGCTGTACTTTTTACTCCTGTAGTTACTTTTCAAACTAAGGGTTTACTAAAGGTTATTTTACATAAAAAACACACAATATTATTTGTCTAAACTTTTCAGATGTTTATTAATTGTTTAATAACCCAAATGATCCTATATTTACAAAAAAATCTAATATTTCCTTTCCTATTAATCATCTCAAGACCCGTCAGATTTATTTTGTGACGGACCCCTAGGTTAGGAAACTAATCAAACTACCAAACTTCACCATATAAAGTTTTAAAACTTACAAAAATATAATAATATAAGTACTTTTACTTTTAATACATTAAGATTATAGTACTTTTACTTGAATAGTATTTTAAATTAATGACTTTTACGTGTTGTTGTTGTACTGGCACTTAAAGTCAAACTTCTTCCACCACTGAATATTTCCAGCCACACAGATATTAATATCCATGCAACAACAACATGTGTGATTTACAGCACATGGAGAGTCCCATACCTGTTGGAAGTACTTGTCACAGTTGATGTACTCCTTGTCATGGGAGTCCTGCAGCTTGTTGGTTTTGACGTACTGCCAGAGGGCCTGGATGATGCAGGAGCGGGTCTGAGTGTGAATGCCAAGCAGGCGTGCCAGGCGAGGGTCCAGCTTAAACTGTGGAGGCTGTGGAGACGATATAATCGCGTTACAACCCACCTCAGAGCCTTTACATCAGCTTCATCTCATCTGACATCCTTTTCACACTCCCCTAAAAACATAAACTGGTGGCCTACAGGTTGTCACTACTACAGCCCCCCCCTGCTCACCTGGTAGTCCAGCATCAGCAGCAGAGTGCAGCGCACGCTCACGTCTCCCGGCCTTTTCACCTGGAAGCCGTCCGTCTCCTGGGTGGTGGGAGTGCGGTGCCACTGAAAGAGCAAACCACCACACTGAGCTGGTTTATTCAGACTGAATTATTTTGTTAGTTTCACACTTCATTTTCAGTTTGTTTCACACTTTATTAATCACAATTTCTAATTAATTCCTGCTTTAAAGGCCCTGAACACCTCTTGTTTCTCTCATTACGAGCGATGGGATCATACGAGACGGTTATTTTTCCTGCCAAAGTTAGAAGAAGTTTTGGTTATTTTACATGAGAGATTTCTATGTTTTGGTTTTCTCACTGTTTTGAAGTGGGCGGGCTCAGTAGGAAAAAGGTGATCCCAATCACCAGTCCCACACTGGACTCAAAATGTGATGACACTGTGCGGTCTGTTTGCTTATGTTGCCGACAGCGTGAGTGAAATGAGGTCAAACCACACCCACACAGCCAGGAATGAAGATGTCAGTTGTTCAGTCGGTGCACCATTTTGGTCCAGACCGAAATATTTCAACAGCTATTGGACAGATACAGACATTCACGGTTTCTAGATGATGTTTGTTGATCCTCTGACTCCTTCCTGACTGCTATTAATTGTATTAACCCTTAAGGCTTTATCTAGCACCATCAACATTTGTATTTGTTCAATAATTTGCGACCAAACACCTGCAAAAATAAATTATATTTCTTCATCTTTATGTTGTGTTTAGTCACTGTGAGAATGTTAGCCTAATTGAGTGTTAACCTCTTAATAAAATTACTTAAGCATGTTACTTCCTGACCCTTAACTTTGATTAATATTTTGCATTTAAGAGAAACACTTCAGGGGCTTTAAGGAAACTGCAAACAGTTCGTGGCATGATTAAAAAAAAACTTGCAAAGTAAAAAAAAAAAACCTGAGCGTGCCTTCATCTCGCAGCCTTGATCTTGACCTAGAGTACAAAGTCTGTGGTTTGATGAGAGGTTAAAGTTTTTCAAACGAGCCATGAACGGTGTACTGAGACACCAAAATAGCAAAAGGTTAAACCATGCGGCTGCGCAGATGAACGTTATCACATGCAAGATTACACCATTGGCGTAGACATCGAGAGAAATAACAGAAAAAAATGAAATATCAGCTTGGCCAAGTACAATAATTCCCATAGGATTCAATGTTTTACTCTTTGTTTACATGTATCAGAACCTCCTCTGTGTCTCGCTGCAGATTAAATGTTATTTACATCTCCATTTTATCTTTACTGCTCAGAAACTGAAATGAAAAAGCACTTAAAACATCCTCAGTACAGTGGATTGCAGTAACTTGGCATGCAATAACGGGTAATGTTTTCCTCCAATCAATGGCTGACTCAGAACAGATTAAGTACTGATTGTACCTCAAGGTAGAGAAAAAAATATTTTGATGGAAAATCATTCAAAGCGAAGCACCTGAGAGCTTTGCTAAAATGCCCTCTTAAAAGGAGGAACCTTGAGAAGTCATAATTTTCACTCTGAAACTCTTAAAGTGTTTTTTTTTTTTTTAAAGTCAATACATTTTGTGAAGATACAAAGTGAAGGGCGGCTAATGATTGTTTTTAATAAGTAAGCACTTGTTTTCTCCAGCTCTCACCTGCATGTTAAAACAACCTTGCAATGTTGCACAGTTTTTTTTTTTTTAAACGTCTCCTTTATGTGTTACAGAGAATCACTTTATTAAAAAAGGAGAGAGGGCAGCCCTCTTTCTCCATCTGTTTTCTTTTGTATTTATCCAATGGGAATGTAAAATGGAGCAGGTTCTGTGGGGAGACTGTAGCTCAGGAATAAACCAGACATCACAAAATAACAGTTTTCAGTGAACGTCTCCCCCGTGCATGATGAAGAGGCCCGTCACTGATCTCAAATCAAAGCACTAACCTATTAAGTGACCAAAAGGATGTCCAGATGTGAATGTTATGAAGCTAACACTGAGGCTACAACGGAGTTTGTTAAAGGGATATTTTGACATTTTGGGAAATAAGCTCTCTTAACTTTCTTGGCCAAGAGACAACAACATGCAGAGTCCTGCAAAAGTATCCTCCAAAGGCACCCAACTCCGCACACAGAGCTGAATCAGGCCCAAATCCTCTACTGTTAGATATTCATAAACAAAGCCCTAATTTACTGGAATCATATGACCCACTCTCCTTTTCTCTACTGCCAGTGAGTCGAACCCTCAAAGGAGTCACCGCGACCACCTCAGCCTCGAGACGCAAGGACTCAGAACATTTGACACAACCAAATTATGATGAAAAAAAAAAGGACAGAACAAAAAAAAAAATCCCAGAACAAAAAGGAAACATATGCAGCCCTGAACAAACGGTACACTGTGGCAACCTACTTGAACACAAAAGTACAAACTGACTCATTAGTTTTTATTTCTGTTTTCAGTTCAGTTTAGTTTCCAGAGTGGGTTTGTTTGTTTCAGTTTATAAAAATGTTTCATGTGTTAGTTTAAGTTAAGTTAAGATTTAAGAAGTTTGGTATAGGTACAAACACACTGACGTACACTTATAGACAGCAGAGTCTTAATAAAGATAAAGATAACTGACCAAACTGACAAAGACTGAAACTATAAACATTTCCTGTACAATCTTATTTTTGTTTAGTTACCACAGTTTTTATTAACTTAAAAAAATGTTCACACCTAGTTTTAGTTTAGTTTTAGTTAACTATAATAACCCTGGTTGAGATGGAGCTGCTTTCTAATTCAGTCTCTTATTCATAATTTAATTTTAATTAATTAATTTTAATTTTATTTAAAAAAATGTGTCGTCCAAATACTTGTGTGGAGTTTGCACTATATAACATAACATAACAAATACAAAGAAATGAGAGCCAGCTCATATAGTGATACCACTACCGACCACATCCAAAGTTGTTCCATGTGCTGGAAACTCATTCATTTAAAAAACACAGATCATGTGACAAACATTAAAAATGTTGCCATAATTCTGTAAGAGCAGAGTAAAGGTTTATCTGATGGCAGGTGTGCAAAAATAATAATTAATTACTGTGTACACAGGGTGCAGTGGCCATCTTTGAACTGACCTCAACCAGGTGGTTGTCAGGACCGTAGAGGTCTTTGTCCAGCTCAATCACCAGGCTCTTAAAAAACGAAGAGAACTTCTTCTTCTGCTTCCCTGGCTGTGAGACAGACAGACAGACAGACAGACAGACAGACAGACAGAGAGAAGCTGGTCAGTTAATGTGTAAAATCAAACACACCCAAATGCAAAAAGGAAATACTTGTTGCCATGTCTTCGCTTATAGCAACATTACTCATCAAAAGCCCACAAGAGGCCAAGTGAGATCAGAAAGAGAGACACTAGACATTCTCAGGGTCCACTTCCTCTTAGCTCAACCAGAAATATTTGTGGTTTGTGAAACTTAGATGCTTCCTACCGCTGTGAAATGACCGCATTGCCCGGGACTGCTGAGAACAACAGAGCTTTTTGAGGCGAAGCTTACGGTGCAAAACAAATGTAAGAATATTCAAAACGACCCAAAGTGGAACACACTCATATTAAATGGGAAGATTATGATCTCAGTTGTGTTTTAGACTCGCACTGGTGGAAGATGACATAATGCTACACCCCCCCCCAGCAGACCAGCATCACAGAAACTGTAGTTTTTTCTAAGTTATTTCACTTTTAAATTGACTCAAAAACTCAGTGTGAATGTGCTGTATATTTTTAAATGAAAGAAAACTCACATCATCCAGCAACTTTCCCTCCACTCGCAGTTCCCATGATGCAATGCTGCCGTCTGAGTCATCAGCGTCGGGTCTGGCAGGGTTGAAGGTGTTGGATATGTAAAGTCTCAGTTTACGCTTTTGCTGCTGACACAAGGGCACATGAAATAGCACAGTTTAAACGGACATTTCACAAAAAAATTTAATTAAAATGTCAACCTGCAGGTGCGCTGTTTGGACAGATTGTCTTAATATAACAGCAGATTAGTCAAGAAGCCTTGGAAAGGGACGTTTTTTTGTGTTCTAAGGTGAGACGAAACTAAAAAAGGTGAGAAATAAAATCCTTTATTAAAAAGTAGTTAGTTATTAAGAAGATCTTTCCTTTCAATACCTGTTGAGGTTCAAAGATTCCTATAAATACAAATTTTGTCCTCTCAGAAATGGATAATTGGTGTTTTTAGACACCTCGAAGGACAGCAGGGCACGCTGGCTCCTCATTAGTCACGTTTTCTTGTCCTTACCTTCATTGGTCTCTTCAGTGCTTCCTGGATGTCCACGCGTTTGCGCATGATGGTCTGGTCCAGTTTGCGCTCAAACGCCAGCAGATCCATGTAGGCCTGAGACTCTGGGACCAGCTCACGGATCTGTTCAGAGGGGAAACAATCTGACGTTAACAGCTGCAGTATGTCTCACACACACACACACACACACACACACACACACACACACACACACACACACACACACACACAAGATTAAAAAGTCAGATTTTATTCACAGGTACTATCTGAATACCACTAAAAGGCTTAAGCAGATTAGTTGTCTGCCCTGCCTTGGTGCTGTAGGGGGTCCAGTGTCTTATTTCAAGGACATTCAGCCCCTAACAGATGGTGTCCTTTCAAGGAATCGTATAACACATAACATTTTTGTTTTCTTGCTGAGAGTTAGATGAGAAGATTGATATCACTGTCGTATCTAAAAAATATAGACAGCAACTGGTCTTTCTGCTAAGCTAAGTTAACCAGCTGCTTGCTGTAGCTCCATATTCAATACAACAGATATGAGAGTGGTGTTGATCTCATGTAACTCTGCAAGAAAGTGAATGTTTCTCAAAATGTTCAAACTATTCCTTTAATTTCTCTTTTATGAAGCTTTGAGATAGGAGTCCACACTATCTTACATATATATTCTGTATCAATATATCCAAGGTCTTCATTGACACTGACTAAAATCTCCAGAATGTTTCCATCAAATGGAAATATTCTTGACGGTATCATTTTATACCCATTTCCCCAAAGTTCAGTCTGACATACTTGCTATTTTTTAAAGTTTAGCTCCACTAGAATGTGAAATATAGTTCAGAGGGTTTGAGCAAAGTTTCAGTTTGTGCTGACTGACCTACCCCAACGTTATCAGGGTTCATACAGTAACTCAAGGCACCCTGGTGGTCTAAGGTGCTGTTCATGAACTGTAATGTCCCCGGTTTGACTCCAACCGGGGACTTGTGTTGCATGTCTCTCTCCCCTGATCTCTCTGGTATCATCTGATGCCCAGAATTATTTAAATATATAAAAAGAGAGGTTTAACTCTTGGCTCCTGCTGGAAAACCTGTGTCATTCTGACTTTGAAGAGACCAAGGACTTCATAAACAACTTCATCAGATTTAAATGAATACAGTATATGGAGTAGAATCAACTGTGACACATAATATTACAACTCTTTTTAAGCTTTTTTATTCTTATAGGAAGCTGACAGAAGTAGAAATATCCCTCTGCTGCTGCCCTGTCCACCATAAACACAGTAGTCCACATCATCCTGGGGACACGTTGGGATAAAAATGAGATGCAGAGTGTGCAGCCAACCAGCCCGGACTCTAGACATTACCATACCGATGAAAGTCCTCAGAGCATCAAGGGCTGCTGCTTACTTACCAAACTGTGCACACACACACTCCTCCAGTTCGCTCCTTCTCCTCCCTCCCTCCTCTCTCCTCTTTCATGTTTCTTTCTAAATGGCTGCCTTCATTGTTCCCTCTCATTCCTTCTCTATCTCCATCTCATCGCCTTTCACCAGGCTGAGGTGCCGAGCAGACGGAGGAGTGTGGCAGACATTCCCTGTCCCTGACTCATTATTGTGGAGTGGCGCCCATAGCCATGCCTACTGCTATCTCTCTGTCTGGGTTATGTTAGGGGATAAGACCTGAGCCAAGACTGCTCGCAGTCTCCAGACCTCCATAGTCTCAGTGCAAAAGCCTTCTGTGTGCCGGCCAGGACGTGGTGAGGTGATGGCGTGGGCACAGGGCCCGAAAACTGAAACCACAGGATGGAAATCACAACCTCAGTCGGCACAGACTCACCTGTGGCAACGCGGCGATTCGGCCGCTCTTTCGGTTCTACTTGTGGTTGCGTCTCTGCCACATCCCACCGACTATTCCAATTGAAATCAGTGAGCCACCATCCAAATGACAGAATGAAAACCCCCTAAAGAAAAAAACCCTAAAACCTCCTGATCTCTCCCCCTCATCCTCTCTCTTCTCATTTTGAAATAACACATAATCATCTGGCCCTCCGTGCCTTCCAAGAACCCCTGACATCAAAATCCGACCAGGATTTTTCTGTTCTGCACACAAAAGATAATAACACACACACACAAACAGAAAAAAAAAAAAACAGAGCAACAAAGGTAAAAAAAATATGCAGCCTCACCCTTTGCGGAAGAATCTTGTCTGCCATTTTCCTTCTCTTAGCACTAGAGAGAGGGGGAGAAAGACAGAGAGAAAGAGGAAAAAGAGAGCATGTTACTATGGTGACTGATAGCGTAGCACCCAGGCCATCTGCTAAAATGCTGGGCCATATCCAGCACCCCAGCATCCCAGCTGTGTGTGTGTGTGTGTGTGTGTGTGTGTGTGTGCATATGCCTGTGCGTGTGTGCTCGTGTGTTTATGTGAAATGCAGCGGTCCACCTGGAGAGTGAGAGCCAAACAACAGCCAAAAAAGTGTCACATCACACATCTCTTGCCTGACGTGTATTCGCTGCACACACACACACACACACACACACACACACACACACACACTCTGCAGAATCACTCTTGCAGCAGGACTTGGATGGTGACAGGATGTGTGTTCAAGAGCTTTTAGGAATGCAGAGTCTTCGAGAGAATGTAGGAGAATGTATGTGTGTGTGTAGATATTTTCATTCATGAATTTCGGGCATTTCCTGCTGTGTGAGAACAACATGTGTTTACCAAAACCATGTTTTCTGATCGTATACTAACCCAAGGAGGCACAATAAGGAACAATAAGATAAATCTGTGCCAAGTTGGTGCCCTCGTCAGAACTTTCTTACTAAGTGAAACTGATCACAGAAACAACACTACAGCTTCCTTCTCCATCAGCATCATGTGAACGCCTGGGATATGTGGAGCACCCGTATTAAATCATGCAAGTGTTGTGTTCCTCGGTGCCCGCTGGAGGGGAAAAAATGGCTAAAAACACCTAGATGGTGCTACACTGCAAAAAGAGTAAGGTAATGTTGCCATGTGAGCGTTACCCTGGCAAAGCTCTGGGAGGTGGGAGGAAGCAAAGGAATTCATGTCTTATTTCAAAGATTTCAGATTCTTCTCTGTAGTCCTTGAGCAAAATTAAAAGATAATCTACATTGGAGCACCTTCTTTGTGAATTTGTCAAATCTCACTGCTTTTACCAGGTTTTTTATCAAGAGTAAGATGAGAAGGTTCATACCAGTGTCCGTATATATGTCCGCTGAATATAAGGCAATAGCCAGCAGGTGGTAAGCTTAGCTTAGCATAAAGGCTGGAAACATGAGGGAAACAACTAGCCTGGCTCTATATGGAGATAGATCCACCTAGCAGCAGTGCTAAAGCTCATTAATTCAAACACAAAATCTCCTTTTGTTTAGTCTGTACAAAAACTAAAGTTTTGGTTTTACCGCTTCCTTGAAAAACCAAAATATTTTTTCACATTTGTTTTTTGTGTGTAGATTTAACAAACAAGATATAAAGCAGAGATAAGTTAGCTTCAGGCGTGCCGCTGGGTGGATTTTGTTGCCGTCCAACAGAGCCAGGCTAGTTGTTTCCCCCTGTTTTCAGTCTTTCTGCTAAGCTAGGCTAACATTTCCCAAAACAATTCCTTTCAAGGGTCTTTCATAGAGGCCAAAACCTTTTGCTTACCTGATATATGTTTGATTCTAGGGGTGGGCGATATGGATCAAATATTGAGTATAGGTCATCTTATATTGCGATATCAATATATAAAAAAGATAAAATAACTAAATGGGAATGTTTTTGGCTAATTCAAAATCCTGAAAAACCAAAACATGTTGATAGATGACATAATAGAGCTAGAGCTATTACAGGTACGTAGGTAGATACATTACATTAATATCGTCTCGTGGTATATATATCGTCATATCGCCCAACCCTATTCTTCAGATTACATAATTTCTTGTTTGTAGAAGGGGATTTTTTTTGCAGTGTAGAGAAATTTTCTATCACAGAGCTCTGTGAACGGTCTGTGAAGCAGTATGTTACATCAGCATGCCAAATACTGAAACAAGCCTGCTGCAAGGAGAATTGAAAGATCTCAGGGTGCATTGCAAAGGAAAACACAAACCTGCATCACAACAATCCGCCATTTTAAACTGATTTAAATGGGGGTTTGAGATTGGATTCTACTTTATTTTTCTGTTCCCATCATGCCATGCTCCAGTCCAAAGCATGCACCACTACATTTCAGGGGTCAACTTCTAGGCCCGTTCGTACAGTTTGCCAAAACAACTCATTCAGGAGGGAGTGCTGGGCTCAGGTGAAAGACTAAATAGGCCAGAGTCATCAAACGTAAGAAAACGGACATGCAGCAGAATAAACTCCTACTTTGATCCGAGCGTGGGATCTGATTGGGGCTCTCTCATGTCCATCTGCCTCGCCGGCATCTCATTGGCTCCGGGGAATCCAACTGGCTTCCTAAGAATTGGTGAGGATTCGAAGGTTGTCCGATTAGAGTTGTGGCGAGACACACACTCAAGTGGCAGCAAGTACGACGTCAGAGGGGGAAACACCTGGTGGTGCGGGCTGTTTGTATGTGTGTAGGGTATGTGTGTTAAGTTCAAGGGTCTGTTAGTAGGTGCAAGCTCTAAAACTCAGACAAGGGCAGGCACTGGGATGGGCGGGTAACTGTGTCCATGCACGTACAAAGTGCAGCAGAGGAGGACCTGGGAGGCGTCTCATCTGAGGGACACGCTCATTCAACAAAGTTTCTTGGTGAACCAAAACAATCATGCTTCACACACACAGACAGACAATACACTGACAATGGACACACTGTGAACTCGTGTATCACAGGGAGGGGAGCGAACAAGCAAGTGTTTAGCGAGTTTAGCTCTTGTGTTCGGCTCTGAGTTCCAGATATATGAATGTTGCATGGATGAAGTAATGAAGAGGTGCAGATGAAGACAACATGCATGCTACGCACACCTTTTCGCTCATTTTCTAAACATGGATCTCAAACCTGTCGAAGCATTTCCACTGACCAGAGAATTCAGCTCCGGTCTAGCGCCTTAAACCAGCTGGCCTAGCAACAAGAAGCCTGTTTCATTATCGCATGAAGCTAGCGATGTTCCTAAGCAACTGTCCTAGGCAAGTGTCCTAGGTAACCATGTGTATTGAGCAGCAAGTCACATTTTTAGGTTACTTCAAGGACAAAGACTCAAATTAACAGCAAAAACCAAGGTTCAGAGGTTCATATAAAAGATCAGGGCTTTATAAATAATGCGGTCCTCGTGGGAAATAAAAGATGCCATGTTTGAAGCAATGTCCAAGGTGACGGCAACCACAGCAAATTTTAGTTAACTTTGTTGTTTGATCACAAACAGTCAGAACAGCCTCTTTATGTAACACTTACAACGTTCTGTGGGTTTGTTGCTACGGGAACTCGGAGATTCGATATTAATCATTTGCCTCTTAAAATGGTGTAACTGCAGAACAATTTTCTGGAAAGTTTTCAACCAGTTTTATACCACTAAAGAAGACCCTCAGTCTTTGTGATGCAACACAAGATTTAAAAGAACGACAATAATAAGTTGCTTTGGTTTTGCATGAAAAGAAATGCGACGCTAGTCTGAGAAGTATTTTTTAACAATCCCACATGACATCCACTTTGCAAATGAGTATGATAATATGCATCTGAAATGTTATGCTCAGGATGATGCTGTAATAGATTGTTTAAAGAGGGATTTTAAAGCACATGAGATAAACCAACACAGAAAACGTTGCTTTAATGGGCTCACCACGGAGGTATATTAAAAGCTACCCTTATAAAAGTTTTCCAACCCTGTTTTCTCTGAATTACATTTATATACAACTAATTTACAACAGCAAATAGGTTTTCCATTAACGTAATGAGAAAACGTTGTAAATTAATGTATTTTCAAAGCTGTGTGACCACACAAGGGACTCAGGATGTGAACCTTGGTCTCTGGCGTCAAAATCCTGGCTATCATTTGCCTATGAGTTATGTGTGGTATATAAATGTAGAGCTTCCTAGTACACAAAATGCTGCCAAGGAACAAGATCCAGGCAGCAATTATGTTTCCCCCACAAAACATATTTGGGAGAACAAATTAGTAGTATATAAACGTAATTTCTAGGACACAGGGTTGAGTGTTCATAACACTTTATGCAAAGCAAACCGGAATTAAATCCTATTTTTAGCAGCAGCTTTGCGTAGGACAGCGTTTGTTCTGCAGAGGGAGCGTAGCTGGGACCATAAGGTCTCAATGACACTGCAAACACAGGTGGCCCGCCCTCAGCTGGCAGCCACGTGGGGTCTGAGCTGGATGGAGTAGAGCGGGGAGCTGGAGCATCAACTTGTTTGCCAGAGGACACACACTCCTCACAAAGCAACAGAGAGCGAGAGAGAGAGAGAGAGAGAGAGAGAGAGAGGGAGAGAGAGAGAGACAGAGAGAGAGACAGAGACACCTGGACAGGTCACCCTGGACCATCGATCAGACCGTCCGCAGCCAGCCGGGCCACTCTGGGGGTTGAGGCCCCAACGCCGGACAACATTTCCCCTGACCTGTTCGACAAGCCTGCTTAATTGTAAGTGGATCAATCGTGCTGCAGATACTGAGAGAATGAGACAGAGAGAGACAGAGGTCCACTGAGTGCGCATATTGATCTCCTTTCCAATGACCATACCTGCCACACACTCGTTTCTTAATAGACATCCATCCACTGTGTGTGTGTGTGTGTGTGTGTGTGTGTGTGCCCGGGATACTGATGTTCAGAGCTTTCGTACACGGTAGTCAAGTAGCAGACAATAGATAGCATAAAAATAAGCAAAAGCAAGAACTAGACCCTGAACGCCCGCAGACTGCAACCACACAGATATGACCATGGGGGGCAAACCAGACCACTGAAGAGACTACACACATGAAGAGGATGAACAGAGGAGGAACATTCAGTCATGGCAGCGATTGGTACGATGAGAGCTGGATGCACAGAGCGAGGTAAAGAAAAATGCAAAGAGTGGAGCAGAACAAAAACTGAAATGAACAGAGACACACAGAGGTCATGGTTTCACTTTTGGTAACAATGATTTTGTATGATTCTGAAGGTTAGACCACAGTGTGCCAAATGGCTGTCGGTACAGGTAAGTCCACTGTGGCTGTGGATGTATTGTAGGTCTTAATTAATCCATTATTAATCAACAGAACCAACAAAGCTAATGGCTCAATGTGGCATCTTCATCAAGACATTCAATTAACAAAGATATAAATCCTCAAATTTGAGAATTTGGAATTGCAAACATAGCCATTAGTGGTGTGGTAATGTTGGTTGCTTGGTCCACCACTTCGGTGCAGACTGAAATATCTCAACTACTAATCATTTAAGCACTATTGTAAAATCTATACGTCTTAACAGCAGGACTTGATAGGTCTATTATTAGGAATGTTTTGATACCAGTGGCCTTACAATACCTAGTGCCAAGACCATTAAACCTTTATACATCAACCTGTATTATCATTTAACCAAATAATCCAATAATCCAAAGGCCAGTGCATTGTGCTTAATGTCGTCGTCTGAGAACATTTCTCTGCAATGACATAAATTCTTAAATTAGCAACATTATAAGTTCAATGGTACTTGGTTGGTGCTAAAGAATATTGTGGTTCGATGCCCAGCTCGTACTACAATGATTTGTGACCATTTCCATGTTTGGTTTTGAAGATCGATGCCAATATGAGCAAAATTAGATTTAATTTTTTACTACTTAAGTGTAACCATAGCCATTGTAGTCCACATGATCTCAACCATTAACACACAGAAGCAGACAAATAAGGAGTTCTATGTGCAAGCCATGCAGTGTTCAGGTAGGAGTTGGAGGTCGACGGGATTCAGACTCACTTTCTGGCCCGGTTTTGAACGGCCTGCTGCTGCTGCTGCTGCTGTTGCTGCTGCTGCTGCTGGACCTGCTGGGAGGGGGCAGGCCTCTTACGACTGGGCTCCATCACCGGGGAGGGCAGGCCAGGCCGCACCGCTGGGCTCCCTCCGTACGGTGGGCCGGGGGGGCCCATGGGAGCTCCCTGGTGGGGCATCCTCGCTCCAGACGGCATGCCAGGACGCTGGGGAGGAAAAAAAACGGGTCATATATATGTAGAAAACATCCTCTGCTGTGTTTTTTAATTCATTATAATCACAAATTAGTGCTTCTAAAAATATAACAAAGGAAATGTTTGATCAATTGCAACTTTTATGTATTTCTCTCTGATGGATTCAAGCTGGACAAAAGAGACAAAATCATTAAGCAGAGCTGCAACAAAGAGAGTCAGATCAGCTCCTAATCTAGACCTCACAGATTTCTCCTCTTTACGCTGAAATTCTGGTGTCTGTTCTGGTTTCCATCGAAACTCGAGAGTCCTAATCTTTGTAACCTTTGGCAAACTTTCAGTAATCAAACAAAAGCTAAGCCGGTAAACTTAAACACACATTAAGCAATTTTGTGTCAGTTTACACGATTTCTGTGTTTTGAATCTTTTCCATCTGGGGCTGCAAACATGAAAGAAACTGACTCGTAAAGCTTTTGGGGTTTGTGTTTGTTAGACAGTTGACATTAGAGGGCCAACATGACACACGGAGGACGCACTACAGGCAACTTCTGAGCCCTAAAATACCTAAAATGAATGAATCTGTCATTGGTGAGAGATACGGTAGTTTCAGTCGAACCCAAATCATTCAAGATTTGAAAAATCAACTGATACGAGAACAGAGAGCTGCCTTATTTTGTCTTGTCTAAACATAACTAACACTGATTTCCAGAAACAAGAGCAAGTGTACAGAATAAGCAGCACTGCTTTGTGTCTGTCTTATTTTCTCTCTTTTTCTCTTGTCTGCTTTAAACAAAAATCAGGTGTGACGGCAGAGAAACAGACTAAATGAAGATTGTTTTGCAGTGTGAAAACTCTGTCACACACACATACACTCCCCCTAAACAATGCAAACAGTGTCCACGGTCTCACACTCCCATCTTGACGGCTGGGAACAACTGGGGAACTCTCACCTGTGCTTGTCACTCCCATGGCAACAGCTGCCTCCCGCCTCAGTTTATTGTCTGAAACCAAATTGGGGTTCGTGTGATAGAAAGAAATCCTTTGACTCCAACTGGCGCACAGACCACCTACTCTATGTAAATAAACGCATCTACAGAGAACACGCCGTCCTCTAATTACAGTTTCATTACTTTAAATGCGTCAGCGGTGGAGGAAATATTCAGATCCTTTACTTAAATAAATACAATGTGCAAATACTCCATTTATTACTCAAAAGTACAAAGGTTTTAGCAGCAAAGTGAACTTAAAGCATTCAAAGTACTAATGCAGGCAAATGGCTCCTGTCGAGAGTTATAAGCTCATATATTTTTGGATTATTATTACTGATGCATTAACCTGTAAGCAACTCTTTAATGTGGTGATTTGATCGAAGCCGAGCTGATTTTTACTCATACTTTCACAAGAATTAACAAATGGACAACTACTTTCAAGCCCTCAGGGACATAAAGGCCCCGGGTTATCTGTGTTGCAACTACTTTATGATCATTTAATTAATTCCACATTTGTTTGGTAATATAGCGCACAATCTAAGATATGTGTTTCTGTGTTTATTGTTCATTTATTATTTATTGCTGAATATATGTAAATGAAATCCCTCTTCCTGTAAAACATAAAACAAAAATGACAAAAACTTTTCCAAACAATGTGGGTGAGAACTAACTAAACTAACTAAATTTAATTTAACTTATTCTCCTCTTCCTGATCTAGTAACGTGGTTGAGGGAGGTGTGGTACAAGTGAACAACCTTACAACTACTGTCTTTGCTACCCAATAATATTTTTTAATCATATACTTTTATACCCTTAATACTTCAGTTGACACTAGGGTTGGAGTAGATAGGTCAGTAAAATTAAAACACGATTTAAACACCAGATTCTATGACTTTATAATAATATAATCATCATCATAATAATACTAATGAAAGACCTGCAAAGCTTTCACTACAGACAAATACATTCTTCTCATACACCTACAGACCGTCACTACCAGATAAACAATTATAACACAGACACACGTCGAATCCAAATGCATGGACGCTGCAGCAAGGTGAGCTATAGGGCGTCCAATAAATGTGATTATTAAATGAATAACAGGCTAGCCAGAGACACCTTGAGTCCCTTTAACTGTGGTGGATCATTTACTTTTTGTCTGAAAACAACGTTTTTGTAATAACTAATCCTTTGAGCCCTAGTTGATACTGGGCTCACATGCTGCATGTTTTTAAATAATTTAGTATTTAATCAAATGAATGTTAACTTGGGAAACCCAGGGGGAAAAAGGGAGGATGGGGGTGGGGGTTCTGATTAGGGGTCCATGGCTTAGTTTTGCCCTGGGGCCGCCTAGCAGGTTAATCCAGCCCTGGCTCTTGTAGGGTTTGATCTATAAAAATGCATATTTCATAAGCTCCTCACAGGGTTTGTATATATAATCTTAATCTGCAAAGTAACTACAGCTTTGAGATAAATATAGGGAAGATATAAAGGAGGATAAAGTGCAAGAATCTCAAATAGTGCTTGAGTAAAGGTACTCAGTTACATTCCTCCACTGATGAGCAAAAGATTATCCAGAAATATGAAATCATTGAGGGGTTTCTTAGTTAATATCAAACTATAAATAGTTCACAAAGGACAGACAACTTGTCACATTGGACATTTTAAACTGTGATAGATGTCTGTTCTTCCCTCTGTTATCCAAAAGAACAACTAAACTCAGTTGTTTAGCAGAGCCATGACTTAAAAGACTCAAATGTTTAACCATCACCTTGCAAAAACAATTCAAAAAATCAGCCCAGAAACTGCCTGCTACATTTTGTGACATAATGGGTAAATGTTGGAGAAGAAGGACAGCTGAAGGATACAAATCAAGAGTTTCATAACCTCTAATATGCTCACATATTTCTAACATTTCACTCTTGTTTGTCACCTCTAAATGTGGATTACTGCACGTACATACTCACATCAGATTTGATCTTTAGACTGTCTACAAACACACGTGAACCCCCCCCGAAAACAAACAAAAGAAGAACTTAATAAACAGCAGGGAGAGCCACAATAAGAAAACTAGCATATTAAACTGGGTGAAAATGTAAATGTATTCACATCACAGGGAGATTTAATAACTCAAAACAGAGTGTGAGAGGATAAAGACTGACGTATTGTGTGCCCTTTGAAATGGTGACCAAGCAGCGATCCTGTGATAAGAAGCCCGAGCAGGCGTCGCTGTCACTCTGGTTGGGAGTTCGGTCAGGCGAAGAGGAGGGGGGGGGTACGAGCAACTGAGAAGGGTCTCAAAACAGGAAAGGATAAGACAACATATGGTCAGGGCCTCCTGCTTGAATTCTGTCACCTTGCGGAGTCTTAAAGAGCCCCCTTCTTTTTTCTGCCTATTTCATACCTAAGCTGGACAGGAACACCCAAACAGGCATCAGACTTAGCCAGACAGAGGCTTGTGTTACAAGCCTCTGTCTGGAGAATTTGAGCTTTTCAGATAACAGATACAGAAAACTATAGCTGGATAATGTGTAAGATGAATTTCCTCTAAATCCACACACACACACACACACACACACACACAATGAGTGGTACTCTCTATAATCTGACCTGCTGAACCGGCTCCAACACTCTGCCAGGAGCTCTGCCAGCCAGCCAGCCAGCAATCGAATCTGCCATGTGGATGGATATCTGAGAAGTGTGTTGGCATCTCTGGAGGGATTTGAAGAGGCCAAACTTAACCCACACTGTACTAAACATATGAATCTGTGGGTTGTAGCATGGACGGACCCTTTAAAGGTTTCGATTAGAGCCCCGAAATCTATTAAAAACTGAAGATGAGGTTCCTTGAAGGGGGACATGACTAATTTATTAGGGCCCAAACTTAACGTTTAGTGAGTTAACATACTCAAAATGCTTGTTTTATACGTTATTCAGTTTACTATCACAGAAGAAATGAACCCTTTATTACTGTATGTTGTTTTAGATGTAACTAACTTTAATTAAAGTAAAGCATTTGATTATTTTACATTTAATGCTACTGATGAGAGCTGGAACAATTTGTCTGCTAGCTGATCAGCTTATTGACAGAAAATTAATTGGCAGCTGTAATTGATCGAATGTTTCAGTGATTTTTCAGGCAAAAAACATCAATAATCCTCTGCTTTCAGCTTGTCCAGTGTGAGGTTTTGCTGTTTTTCTTTGCATTTTCCATTTATTCTTTCGGCAGATGCTGTGGACAGTAGATCAAGGATAAGTCTTTGATTCTACTTATAGATTTTCTCTTGGTTTTTGATTGCTTGTCGGACAGAACATGGTGTTTGAAGATGTCAGCTTAAGCTCTGGGTCCACGATTAATCAATTAATTAGGAAAATAATTAGCAGTTTTATTGGTAAGTCAAATAATTGTTAATTCCAGCCCTACCCAACATCCATTGAATCAATTTTACATGTAATTTTGCTGATATCTTAAGTATTTGAATTAATCATATCGTCCATAAAATGTTTGCCTTAGCTGATGTTTAGCAAAGGTATCTATCAAATAGAGCTAAAACTATACAGAATATACAATGGGAGCATATACAAATGTGCATTTTGCTTTACCATGTAGTGTTATATCTATGTATCCCTTTAATATCTCTGGCTGTATTAGTCTATTGAGGGCAGTGTTGATTGAATGAGTGGGTGTTTACTGTGCAGACGATGTGCCTGTATTTGTATTTAATTCACTTGATTAGTCAAAAATACATACTAATATAAATATATATATATATTTAGGGCCTGAGCAGCAACCGCAACATGCTCTCAAACTCATGAAATGTGGCACAAAATTCAATGTTAACAGAAATGTATGTATTATAAGGGTCACGTAACATTTGTGTGGTAAAATGGCTCCACAGTGCCCCTAAACTCAGCCCGTGAGACATGTTTCACCGACATGTATGAAAGTTGGCACACACATATACCATGACCAGACACACAAAAAAGCCTCTGGGACTCACATCCCAAACACAACAGGAAGCCGGCCATTTTGAATTTAGTCTTCTTTTTTTTGGCGATTTGGCACGCTCTATTTTAATGAACTCCTATTTTAAAGGGAAATGATCGACTTCAGATTTGATCTGTGTATTCTTAAGAGCACCATGGTTAAAAGTTGTCCTATATGTCCAACATGTGATGTGTGTTACATGGCTTGTCCGTGGCTTGGCGTCAAATTTTGACATATCGCCATTAAACAGGAAGTTATCATAATTCAGTGTACATTGTTCAACCTGAACCAAACTTCTGTTGCTCACAACACTGTAAAATTACATTTAATGAGATTCAACAGCAGCTTCTCTTTCCAGCCACAGTGTCCCTGTTACTCTGACTCTTTTATTACTAAATTATTGGACAGTTTTCATGGTGACTATTTCTCTGATAGAAAGTAATTTCAATGCGAACCGATCATGACAAGGTCTGTGGATTATCCAGAGTAACCAGGACGTTGTGTTTTGAAAAGACAAGTGGCTTTTAAATGTCACTTTTCAATGCAGGGAGCGCCACAGATGAAACCTCCATTGTATTGGCGTGGTGGCAGAAAACTCAGATGTCTCAAATTCGGAGTTAAAAAAAAACTGCGTGGAAAGATACCATTAAAATTAAGTGAGAATATACATGTTTTTGTAATTTGAATGAAGCAACCATTGGAGCGATCCACGTGTGTGTGTAAAGGTTTTGTTCAAAGGTCCCGTCTCTTGCTCTCGCACAAACACACTCAGACTTTACACACATGACGAAGCTACAGTATGTCGTATTATGTTTTTGCTTATCGGGGTTTCCCACGCAGAACGCTGGAAGGCTTTTCTCATCACCGCGGCCCTCGCTGACCTCCACACACACACACAGAAATAACAGTTGGGGGGGGTTTAGGCAGATAATGAGAAAGAGGAATAGATCTCAGCCAGGCCTTCAGCCCACCCATCAGTCCTAGAACCAGACCTCGGCCAAACACTCTCCCCCACAACACACACACTGCTGCTGGGAGGCGGGAACACTCTGACCTTCAGTAACCACAACAATGTTTGCATATAGCGCACTTCTATATATTCTTGTGTGTGTAAATACATCTGTACATATATGCGTCCTTGTGTATAAAAGCTTGCTTCACTTCACTCGCCCATGAGGAGGAAAATGAAACGTCATCCCCTCACCACAAGCTAACAAACTGCGCAGAATCGTCCCCATATCCCATAGTATAAATATTTCTCCATTCGGCAGTATACACGGCGAGAAACCTGCCGCAACTATTATAACAAGACTTTTCCATCTTAAAATGTGGGGGAGAGGAAGAGGGAAGAGACGTGAGAGAGAGAGGGTGGGGGGTAGAGAGAGAGAGAGAGAGAGAGAGAGGCAGGCATGAGAGAAATAAGCAGAGGGAAATATTTGGCTTGGAGCAGCCAGAGCCTCATCAAGGTTAATTGGTCTGTTGAGAGGACACACTCATCTGGCTCATCAATCACCTGGTCCATTGTTTCCTAAAGTCTGTCTCTGTGCGCAGGGCTTCAGCACCAAAGCCCCTGTAATGACCGCTCCTGTCAAAGAGACAATACCTCATCTTGTTTCAGTGTATAAATCTACCTGGTGACAGCACGCCCAGCATCGGCGCTGATTAAAACAGACTCCCGTCTAAACTCAGAACGTATTCAAAACTTCTGTTCCTGTGATTTTCTTGGACGTTAAAGGATTTTGACAAACAAAATACCGTGAACTCTTTTTTGACCTTCTCTACGTACTTGAGAAATAGGAAGCGATGCCAAGTTTCAGTATCTGTGCAGAGGTGAGATTCAGTTCAGCCGAAAATTTTAAAAAACACATTCAGGACGAGACATTTATGATGTAGTAATTAGGTGATTATTGATTGCTATTTGTGTCAATAACAGAATAATTGTTTGTTTGTTTTAATCAACCAACCGACTGACATCCAAACCCACTTAATTATCATAGAGAACTGGAAAAACCAGCATATATTCTCATTTAAGAAGCCAATATAACTGCAGATTCATTGGATTTTAAGATTTCCAGGATAGAAAAAAAAAAACCTTCAGTTTCTTTTTTGAACTTTTATCTCAACGCTGCATTTTTCTTGTGTAATACTGTTTACTTTTTATCTCTCCAGGCCACCGATCATGAACCGCAACATCCCTGGTCCCTGTCTATCCCTTCATTTCCTGCCATCTCTCTCTCTCCCTACTGTCAGTTCTCCACTGGAGACATAAAATATCCCCAAAATGTACATTTGACAGAAACAAACCAATATTAGAATGTAAAATCATTATTTTGATTGGACACATAAATACCAGAAAGTCTTTTTGACCTTCCAAATGTACTTGAGGATTAGGAAGAGATGCCAACTTTCAGATCTGCACCAAGGTAAAATTCAGTTCAACTTAATGAAAGAGTAGAAACCACAAAGTTATCTCCAGAATGAGACGAACATTTATGACAAAATAACACCTTCCAACGAAGGGATTAAGACCACATACGGGATCACGAGATGAATCTAAATGATCGCCTTCTAAGACTATTAAAAATCACCTTGTTGGCTGAAGGGTTTAAGCCGATGAACATGAACCGCAACATCCCCGATTCAAGTCTGTCGTCTCTCTACTGTCGATTCTCTAATAATAAAATAAAAAATATTCAAGCTGAAACGTTAAGTTGTTCACTTGATCGACAATCAACATTTTTATAATCGTTTTCAGGCAAAAACTGCTAAAAAAAGGTTACAGATTCTCTGTTTCAAGCTTCTCCAGTTTTAGGATTTGCTGTTTTTTTGTTATTTATCAAAGGACAACTGGAAATCATCGGGTTTTGTTAATCAGACAAAACTAAACATCTGAAAATGTCACCTTGAGCTCTGTGAAGTTGTGATGAGCATTTTTTTTTTACAAAATTTCGTGACACTGCAATTGAAAATATAATTGGCAGATTTACTGATAATTAAACTAACTGTTACAAGGAGACCCGTCGTATTAAGGGATCATAAGCAAACAAAAAACCCCTAAAGATCGAGAATGGCTGCCGTAAATGTACCAGTTTATTTACACACTCGAGTCAATGTCACAGCCACATCTGCTAAAACTTTCAACAGGAAAGTGCCACTGACCAAGACTTTCACACCGTCCTCACCCTTCTAATTCATCCAGCTCGTGAACAAAACAAACCAGCCGTGTTTTGTTAATTAATGCAAAGTATGAGGCTTATGGTAACAGTTGCCTGACCTCTAACCGTGAGCAACACTTGACTTGACATTTCATGCTCGCTTCACATGAATGGACTGATTGTTCTGCATGATTTCCAGGATTGGCCGTATGCCTCGGCTCCGTCTACGCTACTACGTCCGTTTGTCTCGTGACCTTACAGGTTCAAATCCTTCCACCAACCACCAAACATGCTGCCTGGAAGGCTACTCTGACTGTGTTGTTGTTAGTGGACTCGTCATTTCCCCCCCTTCTGTCTGTGACTCCCAGGGAAAGCAGTGTGCTCCTCTGTTAGCCAAGGGGGGAGCTGGCTGCTTCTTTTTTTGTTGCTGCTGCTGCTGCTTAGCTTCTATTTCTACAATTATCCTTTTCTTTCTTTTTTTTGTCTTAGAAATCCTCTGCTCCCCATCCTTCTCCTGCTCAGCTCCATCCATCCATCCATGCTGCTCCACTTCTTGTTCTCTCAAGCCATCTCCTAACAGGCTGGGATCCAGGGGGCTGGAAATAACCTTCACATGGCCAGCTTTACCCAGCTATCTCTCACACACAGACCGCCGCTGCTGCTGCTGCTGCTGCTGCTGCTGCGCCGACTCATGCACACACACATACACACACATACACACACACACACACACACACACACAGATGCATGCCAGAGCCCAGCTCCTTTCACGGGAATGACGGACAGCGCCACTCACCACTCCATGGACCAGGAACTCAAACAGTTTGCTCTTGGTGGCTTTCCTGGCTCCCCCCGCCGTCTCCTCCGTAGCCATTTGCTCAGTCCCCTCCGTTCACCCTGCTATGTCTCCCTTCTCCTTCTTTTGTCTTTCCCTCTCCCTTCACCCAGCCTCCTGTTCCCCTCCCCTGCTCCACTTTCCTTCTCTTTGTGCTCTCCTTTTCAGCACTGCCTGTCCCTGACTCTCCTTCTCTCTCCTTCTCTCTCTCTCTCTCTCTCTCTCTCTTCCCTCCCTCTGACTCTATTTTGAATGTGTAGCAGCCCTGCCGAGTCTCTCACTGTGTCTAGCTCACTTTTTAGTTGAGCTGCCTTTCAGGAGCCCGGCACGTCGCTTGGAGGTGGGGGGAGAGCTGTGCAGGGGTCTGGCAGGGGGGTTTCAGCCAGCCCACCCTGACGCTCCCCCGCACAGCTGTTGCATTCCATTGGTAGATAAGGGCATGCGGCGCGGCGAGGCTGTCGTTTGGTCTAAACCGGGGCTGGGGAGGCTAGAGTCAGTTAGCCATTCCTGTCCTGCAGCTTCCCCCTGGTGACCAACCCAGAGGCCACGGTCAGCACACACAGAGCTCCGAGTCCTGGGCTCATTCTCAAAAAAAAAATAGAAGAAAAAAAAAGGGACATTGGGCTCTTAAAGGGGCCACGCTGCTCAGCATTTACACATAAGTACACACACAAACTGTGATATATGATGGAGTCATGACGTGGTGATGATGATGAGGAAGAGAGTGATGTTTATTTCCTCCACTGAAAGCACTCGAGTCAGGGAGAATTATATTTGTCTGTTTGCCTTTTGAGTGCACAGTTCTCACAATTGGCGACCTAATGTGCTCTACAACCACTTCAAAAAAGGAGAAGGCCACGTCAAGAGCACCTTCATTTCCTGTGTTTCTTTACTAGCCTTTGTCAGAGTGCATTCATAGGTTAGGAGTATTTCCTCCACTCGCCTCATTAGCTTTACCTTTCACCCACTAGTTGGGCCCAGAGGCTACAGTCAGGCTGTGGCTACAGAGTAATGGCAAACAAGCAGACTGGTCTGCACAGCAAGGTGACTGTGTCACTTGACACGTGTAATTAGTTTGCGTTGGGATTTCTTTCACGCTGTTTTGCTTAAAGATTTCATCTCAAAAGCCAGGAAAAAAAGACTTATTGAGGTCCAGCAGAATACACACTGACTGTGCCTGTGGTTTTTTTTAGGTTGTGACGAGACATGCAGTCTCACAGTCCAATTACACACAAGCCCGAGCTTCGTCCGTCGCCACACAGGTCATTACTCTGACTACAACCACGCCACGTTGAAAATTATATGACTCTTTCATGTCTCCCTCTGCTCCAGCCCCTCTTTCTCTCCCTCCCTTCTTCCAGCCGTCAGATCTGGGGAGTGAAATATTCATGAGGTTATTTGAATGACAAAGGAGGTGAAGTGGGGCAGATTCAAAGGGGGCTCGGCTTGTGACATATGACGGCAAATTGTCACCGTTATTGTTTCCTCTTCCTCTCTTCCGCTGTTGTGAAAACGTCAGAAAAGTGTTGAACCAGGCGTCAGAGTTGAAAGGAAATTATCCTCAACAGTTTTAACAGTTCAGGGAAGCTTTGATGCAGAGCAGCACGAAATCTGTCCTTCAGTTTCCACAAATATTCTGACCAGCTTCTTAAAAATGGCGTGAGGAAGAAACGTTATGAGGGGGCCGTTGCTCTATTTCTGAGAGGAAAACTCTGCAGTTATTGTGTGGACAGCTGGTTAGTGGTTTCTGTGACCTCCAGGCCAGAGGTCACGACCTTCTGGAGGATGCGCCATCCCTCAGAGACGTCTAAGTGCACCCAAGCCGTTTTTATGCATGCATATTGTCCATTACACATGAAGACACCCTTGCAGACAGAAATTTAGGGTTGATATCTAAAGGAGTAGCAGGAAGAGAAGCAAGTCAGGATCCAAACATATGACCTTCACACCCCTGATCAGTGGAATCGACTTATTGATAGCTAAAAGCAGGCCCTCCCATGTGTTGCTGATAGCTTGTGCTGTTTGTTTGCTTGTTGGTGACACCTGCTGTTGAGATGAGTGTACTGCTGCTGTCAATAATCCAGTCCGGGAGGCTTTGAGGTACATAAGGAACTCAAACCACCGCGAAATGTCTCACTGCTCCCTCAAATCCATCTGTGACCTCCCTGCAGTCAAATACTGCAACAATATCAGTCCAGATTGACTCTGTGCTTTAGATTAACCTTGTATTACATAACATATGACGCAGGCTTTACATATTATTCATCATCCAGGCACATAAACTGTGCGTCTCAATTTTCTTGCAAGGTCAAAAGCTCAAACCGGCGAGCTTATCCATGCAGATTCTGAGATTGAGCCAATCTCCCGTTTCTCCAGCAACGGCACGTGGGTTCAACGATAACAAAGAGATCCAGCAGCTCGGTCGATGCAAAAAGGGAGTCTTGAGCGCAGGAGTACCCCCTGCCGGACCCCCGCCGTCTCCCTCACCAAAGCCAGTCAGTCTCACCAAATGGTAATGTCCCAGTGTGTAGCAGACAGGGGGGTAGAGGGGGGCTAACAGGGGGTAAGGGAGCAGCAGTAGTATTATTGATGACCAACAGAGGGAGCAGCCAGGCAGAGGTGGGGGGGGGGGGGTTGCTGACTGTTTGAATGGAGGAAGGGATCCACGTTCAAGGGCCCAGTTGCACAAATGGATGAACATAAGGCGTCATAAAGTATAAAAGCCTTTAAACACTGCTCACTCTAACACTCTAATCACTGCTCAACCAATTTAATTTTTTAAGCATCTTTTTATGGGTTTTTAAATTCTTCTACTTTCCATATTTGACCAGCAGGGGGAGACAAAGAGCTCCTAGTAAAAGAACCATGATTCAAACAATACAGCATGCAAACTGTCTGGCTGGTTTTCTAACCTACAATAGTGGCTGCATCGTCATTTTACAGTGTATAGCAGTGGATTCCAACCAAGGACCTCCCACCCTCCGCAGACGTCTGAAACCCTGGATACCTCTTCAAGCCTCTATAAAGCCTTCAAAATAAAGTGTGAGTGTTTGTGAAGCAGGGCTGCAACAAACAACCCTTTTCATTAACAATTAATCGTGTAATCTATAAAATCTCAGAACATACTAAAAAAGGCCTGTCACAGTACTCCAGAAATCCAAAAGTCCAAGAGGCCAAAACTCAAAAGTATTAAGTTTACTGGATATAAAACAGAGAAAAGCTGAAAATACTTACAGATTACATTCAGGAAGTAATTCATGTTTGGCATTTTAGCTTGTAAATAGCTTTTTTTTCTCATTATTTTGCTGTTGATTTATTAATCAAGCCAAAACGGTTGGGAACTGCTGAATCACAGTTACATGAAAAGATGTGCTGCAGAGTCAATTACGTGTAAGTTAATCAAAAGTGGCATTATTATGTTCAAATTTCTCTTTGATCTTTTCTACAAAGGACACACTATAAAGTCGCAAAAGGCTGAGCAAGAAAGCAAGAAAGAGAAATCCATAAAATGCTGTTTTTTTCTGCAATCTCTGAACAATTAGCCCAGGAGAGGAAAGAAACAAGAGCAGGAGAGAATATACAAAGACTACAAATTTACACCACCACTGATGTATAACGCACAGTTCCCAGTGGCAACGTTTACATACCAGAAACCAGGAACCTGCCCTCGTCAACATTATTGTCACAGACAGATGGGGTGCACTAGGGGGAATATGGACTGTACTGAGGGCATGGAGTAAAGTCTGACTCCCTCCCACTGCTGGGCCCCTCTCTTTTTCTCTTTCTTCAGTTTAAGAGCTGCACACAAAACCCAGCTCAAGCTGCTTAAAGGCCAGGGCTCTCCGAAAGCTACTCAATGGCCATCAGCCACCATCAAAGGAAATGTACAAAAGCACGCAGACCTGCACCTTCACTGAGGGGGGGATTAAGGAGTGGAGAAGTACATTTCGGGGCCGATTTCTTGCAGCTCGGCATGTGTAATGAAGAGGAACCTACGGAGAGAGAAAGAGGTCTCCCGCGGTGACTGGAAATAATAGGGCATCTGCTGATATTTTGTGATCAAAGTGACCCGGTACAATATATAGAGAGGGAAATAGGTGAATGAGGTTGCACAAAGCGGCGCCGCTATGTTAAGCACCTAACCTAAGACGCCGCAGATAAGGAGTTTAGGGTCGACCTTGGATTTCAGGGCTTGTTTGGGACAAAGCATCTTTATCCAGACAGCGTTTATGGTTCAGCTCCTTGGCTGCTCCTGTCGCCCTAAAAAAAGAAGGAAAAAAAGGGAGGCATTGTGGGAGCAGATGGAAAGACGGAGCTGCAGTAATGAGCCGACTTTCCGCCACAAGCAACGAGACACACACCGGAACAAGGCCCGAAGCGTTACCTGCTTCGGGGCATTTCCTGTTTGCTGTAGCCATGACAACGGGATAATCTGCCTTGCGTCCAAAACTAACAGCCAAACGCCGACTGCAGTGACTTAAAAAACTGGAGCAGCAGCTGGTGAACTGAGCGAGGAAACTATTCCAAACGCTTAAACTGTAAAAATTAAAAAGAAATCACAAAGAAAAAGGCTTTCGGTTGGTTGTGTTACTCAGCGACGAGTTCACCAGGGTCAACTTTGACACAAATATACAGTGAAAAATAGTCACTTTCCATAAATAAACCAGAACCAACTACCATGTGAAATTCAACGGGATGCAAAATAAAAGTGGCAGAATAATTCCTCCACTATAAACTCCCCCCTCTCTCTCTCTCTCTCTCTCCTCTCCCCTCCTCCTCCCTTCTCTTCTTGTTTCCTACTCTGCATCCAAGCGAAGTATTAGCCCGGATCTTTCAGCACCACTCTGCCTGTGCAGGATGGGAGAGAGAGGCGACAGAACGAGGGCAGGATTGTGGTATGTGCGGGGCCAAATTGAGACGACTCTAAAATCCAACAGATGAAAATCAGACACAGAGAGGGGGTGGAAAAGAAAAAGTAGGTCCACTCCCTCAGGATCGTAAGACACCATCCAAGTAGCAATAAGAGATATTCATCAAGTACACACATACTGAATTAGCCCCAGTTTGTGCCTCTCACGCAATATTTTTTTTCTAAAACTTAAAACCCAGCCATCTTTGAAAAACCTATAATATTTTTATCAACACTTGCTGCTGTTCTGAAGTTATTTCCAATAAACTAAAGAGTCTTTTCCCCATTTATGTAGCCTGAAATGCAGCATGTCCTTAATATGGCAACACATTAATGTAATATTAAAACATTTAAAACTGGTTTATGTTGTACAAATTGAGCCAAGAGTGTTTCTGGTTGCCATCTCTGCCTGGATAAGGAGACAGACTCAATATATATATATATCATATTTTTTCCTTCCAGATGACTAAAAGAGTCTTTTATGATTTTGGAAACACCTTCAGAACAAAGGTAAGTGTTTAATGAACTAAAACATCACTGGGTGTTTCCAATCGGATGATTAGAAGCTCAAACTGGTTTTAATACTGTATATGTGTACGTTCACAAACACCTAAACCAATAAACACAAATGTATTATCTCATAAA